ATTATAATTTCATATAAAAATAAAAAAATAATATTAAATTATCTAATAGAATAGTAAAAATTCTATTTATTAATAATACTTTAAGTATGATATATTTTTATTTTGGAGAGTTATTAATTAAATCTTAAAAAAATTTAAATAAACAAATTATTAAATAATACAATTTTAAATAAAATACAATCATGATAAAAATAATTTAAAGAATAAAATGTTAAAAATAATAAAAATAAATAACTTTTATTGATTTTTTTAAAAAAAACGTAATTTAAAAAAAAATATTTTCAAACCTATATTTACTAAATGAATAAAGTATATACTAATTATTATTTTATAATATTAATAGGACCATATATTTTTCTATAACTTTTATCTTCTTTTTATTGTTGTTTTCTAAAATGTGCATAACTTATGTTACCATCTCATCTTATTTCTTATCATATTTTAAATAAAAATAAAATTTTATATCATATTAATATATATACATAATTTTGTTTCATTGTATATCAAAATTTTGAGATCATAAATGAATTGAAAAATAACCGAACGAAAGAATAAATTATAATAAGAAGAAACAATATGAATAAGAGATAAAAATAGAAGTATATAAAAAAAAATCGCTTGCCTTTTGTTTTACAAAGTCACTTAAAAAAATTTTAACACGTAAGAGCAACCCTAATGGAGAACTTTGGATGTCTAAAACAAAAAATCTTAATATTAAAAATGAATAAAAAATAGTGAAAGGGTCTTAAAAATAGACACAATGTCTAAAATATGATACTTTTGTTGAACTAAGACACACAATGTCTAAAATAAATAATAAAATATTTTTAAGACCTTCTTAATAAGTTATCCATTGGGGTTGGTCGCCATATTTTAATTTTTTTACAAATACGCGTACATATATAAATATTAGTGATACATTAATTAAAGTCACATGCGAACTTTTTGGTGCATGGATTTTGTTAAGATTAGTTATAGTCTAATTTTTATTTTAATTATTATCCAATTTATATTTTTTTAAAAAATCTTTATTATTCTAAGTGTAGTGAAGTGATTGGTATGTCCGCACATGCGTGTCAACCATCTATCCGCTCTTAAGAATAAGTAAAAATGGTAAAAATTATTTCAGTTTAATTTGCAATAAATCAAGAAAAATATATATTTAAAATATATTATATATGTATTTACAAACTCATATTATGTAAGACGCAAAAAAACATATTGTAGATTATGTAAGGAGAAATAAAGCATATTAATATTATAAGAATTTAATTATTATTTAACATAACTTTTATATTTGTGATTATATACTATTACAATCATTATAAAAATAATAGTAATAAAATACATTGATTTCAGAAAATTTTTTATGAAATATTAAAACAATATATATATATATACAAACATACAAATATTTAAAATTTAAATATTACAATTAACTATGTATATCAAAAAAATTATACCCGCACATATGTGCGGACCAACCACCTAATATATGTTAAATCACTCGTTGTATTTTCTATCTGCAAGCAAGATATTTTGATCATTTTTCATTCTGAAATATTGTGAGATGAAATTGAAGTTGGAGTGTCTTAGAACAAAATTCAAAAATATTATAGAAAGTAATTTTCCTTGTTCTTTTAGTTAAAGTTGATAACGAATTGAAAGAAGGAAACATAAAAAGTGATCTTCCTAGAAATTTCCTTCAAGCATTTTGGTTTACTCATCTAGCAAAGTATTTATTGATAGAGAGAAAATTCTTTACAACCTTAGAGCATTTTCAAAGTCAATCATACTTTAAAAGCTCCGGTAGGTTCCATTATGACTCATATCTTTCATAACTTTACTGTTTTGGGTTTGTTCATAAACTTTTTTTTTATAAAACCACAATTTGGAGTCTTAAAGTTGACAACAAACGTAAGGAAGAGAGAGCTACTTAATTAGTTCATGAATCTAACAAAGAGTATTATTGATGAGCGTGCAACTTTTAGATTAATTTCAAAGTCAGTCATACTTAAAATGTTGCGAGTGTATTCCACTCTGACTCGTATTTTTCCTAGTCAACATCTTTTCGGTTTTGTTCATAATTTTTTTTTATAGAACCCCAGTTTTGAAGTTTCCAGTTGATAACAAATGTAAAAAAAAGATAGAGCAACTTAATTAGTTCATGAATGTAACAAAGAGTATATTATTGACGGGGAGTACAACTTTTAGATTAATGTCAAAGTCAGTCACACTTTATAAGTTGCGAATGTAATCATTGTGACTCATATTTTTCATAGTCTACATTTTCGGGTATGTTCGTATATTTTTTATAAAACTACAATTTTGTGTTTTTAAGTTGATAACAATTTGTTGCACAGAAAAAAGAAGTTGATAACAAGCTAAAGGAAGAGAGAGCTAGTTGTCTCCCTTGAAGCTTCTTCTTTTTTTTTTTTTTTTTTTTTTTCAATCTAACATTGAGATACAATTGATGAATAAATTATACGACGTTTACAGAAATACTAAACGATTATCAATTTCCCAACGTAATTATTATATTTGTTAATTCTAAAGTTGATAACAAACTGAAGGAAGAAAAAAATAAAATAGTAAGTGATCTTCCTAAAATTTTGATTTATATTTTAATCTAACAACAAACTTATTGATTACAAATGGAGTTTTTTTTAGTTCTACTGACTATTTTATTTTTTTCTATAAAAGGTTATGATGGATATGAGTCAGTAGAACTAAAAAAATTATCTTTCTTTGGTTCAGCTTTTTTATAAATAACCATCACATCTGTCAAATCATTCATTTGAATAATCTTTATTTTCTTTTTAAGTTTGTTCCTTATTTTGTTTTTATTTTTTTTTCTATAAAAGCACAATTTAGAGTTTCAAATTTGATAAAAAAAATTAAGGAAGAGAGAGCTGAGTAGTAGTATTTCCTGGAGTTCTTTCTAGATTTTTAAATAGTTAGAGACAAATTTAAGGAAGATAGAGCTACAACTGTCTTCCGTGAATTTTTGTTCAATTTCAATGTAACGAGGAATGTTATACTAATGCATGAAAACAAATTTTAATGACATTATCTTCAAAGTCGATCACACTTTGAAACGTGCGAGTAAATTGTATTATCTTTTGCAGATATATTGAACGATATAAGCATTTTACATTAAACGACTTTAACTATGTGACTTATAGGATTTGACTATTGTAGATTCTGGAGCCAACCAACTCATTTTGGTTCTCTTAAATTATAGCTTCTAAGTTAGTATAATGAGAATAGAATCAGAGGAGGCAAAAGCCACCTTCGTGGTCTTCAATGGCCGCTATAAATTTAAACACCTATTAATTTGTCAATGTAAATTCTAATATCTTTTGGTGACTTGATGATAGTTGGAATCTGATTTGCTCGATAAACATACGTGCTCTCCAGATCGAAACAAGTGTTCTTTGGACTGAGAATTAATTAACTCTTCTAGCTTGTATAGATCACGTGACAATGGAGAAGGTCGATGTTTGATTGCAATAAATTGATAGACTGTGCGGCAAATTAGACTGTGAGCTATGCAAATTAGGGTTCCATGGGTGCTTGTCACCGTTTGCTGTATTTGTTTTTTTCAAAAAGGTAAACTTATATCTACATTATATTTTATTTTTTCTTCGATGGCTGAAAGATCTGATTGATTGATTTCTTTTTATTATTATTTATGGGAATCTATTTATTATTCAGAAACTTATGTAGTAAAGGGATTTGAAAAAATATTTTTTTTTCAGAACCCGTAGGGTATATTCCTAAGTTATTTTCTCAAGCGATTTACACAACAAAAAGGATTTCTCAAGACTTCGTCACTCAATGTATCTATTTATAGAGATGTTTACGATACTTTATTTAATTTATTCCCAAAACTTACAAATTCGTAAACATTTATACTATATTGTTTATTATTACTCAAACGAGTGAAACGCTACAAGTGAAGAAGCTCCAAAGTTTATAATGAATTCAAGGTAAAAAAAAAACAACGATTCAGCCTTCTTACATAATTCTTTCAAATTTATGATTCTTTAAGTGCTCAACAATTTGTTTTGAACCATTTTAACAAAATTGAGACATTCAAAAGTGAAATGACTTTTTTTAATTTCTTTATTAATGATTCTTTTATTTTCTTTCATTTTTCTCATATAAATAGCTCATTCTAAAAGGTGTTTCATCTTACAATTATAATCCCAAAGAAGCGGATATGACGAGTATCGGACGAGACATGCATATACTTCATTACTTTGTACCACCTCTATAAATGTTAAGTTAAATATATATATATATATAGAAAATTTCAAACAAATAAAATATGGTTCGCGAATGATGTATTGATACTGAGTGAAACCATTAATTTGTCATCATCATTCATAGATAGAAAATCGAATAAATTTTGTTTAGCCTTTAGAAAGAATGTTTGATATATTTACTTAAACTAAAAACCACGAGTTACGTTGTACTAAAAAGTCTAATATGAAAATATAAATATAATGTTGACAGATTTCACGTATATAATCGCTGCAGCAGCAACAATAGGTCACGTATCATAACAAAACAAAAATGGATCAAACTTTGTTTACATTTTACATTTAAATATCTGTGCAAAGACGAAAAACAATACAAAGATTGATTCTATATTCTAGAATCACAATAGAAACCAAGTTAAATCTGCGTACAAAAATCGAATAAGCGCGTTTGTAGACACAGAGTATACGATATAACACGTGTATAGATGTATGTGTACATATCTACGTGTATGTGTGTGTATATATATAGAAGGAGAGAAGAAACAGAGCCATTAATGAAAAGAAAGAAAAAAGGGACAGAAACGTACCAAAAGAAGTAAGAGAGAGACTTCTAAGTTCTGAACCAAATATCATAAAAGACATTTCCTTTTTCATGCATCCTTTTTTATTGTTTCTCTTCATCTTCCCTCCCTTATTTTTTGCCTATTTTCTTCCATTTTATTTAAGTCATTTCAATTAACAACTTAAATCAATTTCTCCTCTTCAACTAACAAAACAAAAATACAATAAAAAAGATTCGAATTTTTTCCAACAATTTAATTAATTTGTTTTTGTGGGCATTTTTTAACTTTGTTATAAATAAAAAAGGCTTTCAACTTTTACTCCGATGAGCTCTCTACATTTCTCCTTCTTCTTCACGCCGCCTACCAAATATAAACACTCTCTCTATCTCTCGCCATTCTCTCTCTCTCTCTCTCTCTCGCACTCTCTTTGCATTTTCCTCTGTACTTTCCCAGGAATTTTTTTTTCTATGATTTAATCTTTCCCGGAAAAAAAAATTTGTTATCTTTTTCTTTCCTGGTTTTTTAATCTCTCTTTTGTTTCCTTTTCTCTCTTTGCGTGTGTGAGATTTTCTTCCCTTTCATCACCTTTTGACGATTGGTGATTTTATATGTTCATGTTGGTTCTTCAACCTCACTGGTATTCATCTCTCTCTCTGTCCTAAACAACATCTCTCGCATTGTCACTGAGATTTTATCTCTAGTGGGTTTCGTCTAAACATGGAGATTTGATCGGACGAGAAGATCGGATTCCTTATTCTGCGATTGTGAGTTTTTTCTTTCTTTTCTCAGCCATTTTTGGTCTCTGGTCGTCGTACATTATCTCAGTCTCTTTCTTAAAACCGGTCCCCTTTCTAAGATTTGTGTGTGATCGTACAATATTTTATCCTCTGATTTTTGTCCGTACATTTTCTGGACTTTTTGATCAAATCGGATGATCATTTGTTTGTTTTGTGTTTAATAGTGTTTGATCTCACAATTTCACAATGCTGCTATGAAAGATTTATATGTGAATGATTGTTTTCAGTGATTTTAGCTTCTAGTGACACTACTGAAATCATCTTGAGACAAAAGATTGATGCTTTGTTGCTGATTAGTGGTGGACTCTTATCCCAATGTGTTCTTGTTTTGTTTTTTTGCAGGAGGTGTCAGGAGTATTAATATTCGTTGATCATCAGACTTTGGAGCTGAAAGTTTGGATTTTTTTTTTTCCCTCTGTTGAGTGCATAAATCACCGATCTTGAGATGGATCAGAGAAGCATAGAGCCAGAGTTTGATGAATTTGAGAAGCTTCTTGGAGAGATTCCGAAAGTAACTTCAGGAGACGATTATAGCTGTTTCCCTATATGTTTCAGCTCAACGAGAACATCACCATCCATCATCAAGAAGACTGCTCGATTCGAAGAAGAACAGAATCTTCCCGATGACCACGCATTTACCTCTGCGTTTGCTGACAGAAGCTTCCCAAATCAAACTCGGGAGAATCCACAAGTTATGTTCATCCCTTCTTACCACTCTCCGTGTGCACATCCTCAAATGTTCACGAAACAGCAACGTGTTGGCTACTTTCCGAACATCTCTCCTGCTCAGCCGCACCATTACCAGCCGACCTCACAGTCTCAGTATCAAGCTTTGGATCAGTCTCATGTGGACTGGAGGAATATGGAAGAAGAAAGCTTTCAGAGGCTGAGTCTTCAAGAAGAACAGTACATGCCTCTGAACCCTCATTGCCTCTATCACTACAACAGAAACCACAGAAGCATGGATACTGCTCCAAGACAGGAACATTTCGATTATTACCGCCGAGCTGAACAGCCCAACAGAAACTTGTTCTGTAACGGAGAAGATGGTGATGAGAGCGTGAGGAGAATGTGCTATCCAGAGAAGATTTTGATGAGATCACAGCTCGGTTTAAACAACGCTAAGGTCATAAAGTACGGTGCTGGAGATGATTCACAAAGCGGGAGGCTTTGGTTGCAGAAACAACTCAATGAAGATCTGGCGATGAGCATCAACAATCTTGCGTTGCAGCCTCAAAAGTATAGCTCTCTTGAAGAGGCAAGAGGGAAGATACTAATCATGGCGAAAGATCAGCACGGATGTAGGTACCTGCAGAGGAAGTTCGCTGAGAAAGATGAGAATGATATCGAAACGATCTTCGATGAGATCATTGACCACATCAGTGAGCTTATGATGGATCCCTTTGGGAACTATCTAGTTCAAAAGCTGCTCGACGTATGCAGCGAAGATCAGAGAATGCAGATTGTTCATTGCATAACTAGAAGAGCAGGAGTGCTTATCAGAATCTCTTGTGATATGCACGGGTACAACCATCTCCGATATGATTATCTTATATGTTTCGTTCTTTGCTTGATGTGATGTTTTATCGTTTAAACAGGACGAGAGCTGTTCAAAAGATCGTTCAAACGGTTAAGAGACAAGAGGAGGTCTCGATCATCATTTCTGCGTTGAAGCATGGTTTTGTGACTTTGATAAAGAATGTAAACGGTAATCACGTTGTTCAACAGTGCGTGAAGCATTTGTTACCTCACTGCGGAAAGGTAACAACTTTTCTTTACAGTTTAAATGATTCACTGTTACGAAGATGTGATCCATTTTTTTTTGTTTTGTCTTGATCTCTTCAGTTTCTTTTCGAAGCTGCGATTACTCATTGTGTCGAGATTGCAACTGATCGACATGGATGCTGCGTTCTGCAAATTTGTCTTGAAAATTCCGAAGGAGAACAAAAGGATCGCTTAGTCTCTGAAATTGCCTCACATGCTCTTCTCCTTTCTCAAGACCCTTTCGGGTATCTTTCTTTTTGGATCTTTTTTCTCTTTTGAAACCAATGTTTGTGAAAAGATGCAAACTGTTTTGTTGTTGCTGTTGCAGGAACTATGTTCTTCAAAAAGTCTTTGACCTACACCTTCAATGGGCGATCAACGAAATCCTGGAGCAATTAGAAGGAAGCTACACAGAGCTATCGATGCAGAAATGTAGCAGCAACGTAGTAGAGAAATGTCTGAAACTAGCTGATGACAAACACCGAGCTCGCATCGTTAGAGAACTCATAAACTACGGTCGTCTTGATCAAGTGATGTTGGATCCTTATGGAAACTACGTCATTCAAGCAGCTCTTAGGCAATCCAAGGTAAACAAATACTAAAACTCTAAACCACAATTTTTTTTTATTGATTTTAGATTTCAGTCCCTAGAGAATCAGATTGTTTCAGATTCAGTACTTAAAGATCGGAATTGTTGTACAGGGGAATCTTCATGGTCTTTTGGTTGATGCCATTAAGCTTCATATCTCATCTCTTCGTACCAATCCTTACGGTAAAAAAGTCCTCTCAGCTCTAAGCTCGAAGAAGTAAATCAGAAGGTAATATATATCCGAAAAATAAACTTTTTTCCTCGATTTTTTTCTCTCTCGATGTTACCCGTTAATTTGTTTCCTTTATTTTTTCTTGACAGATGCAGAATTGTAGCAAATGTTGCTGTTTGTTGTTGGTAAAGTTACCTTGTAAATGTAATGAATGTAATAAGAGCACAATTCGCAGGTTTTTGGTTTATATTCTAAAAGACAAAAGATTCAAAGAACATGGCTTTGATCTAATCTGCAATTCCTCTCTTTGTACAATTTGAAAGACCATATCACGGTGATATTATCACCATATATTAAATGATTTTACTATATATAAAAAATGAAAATTTATTATGAATATATAAATTTCCCCTCAAAATATCTGAGTGTTATTCAAGAAATGACCATAAATATCAAAAATCAAAGCCGTAATTCTATCATCCAACTTAGAGGTATAAAAGTTTTGTTGTGATTTGGATGGTTTCTTGGGAGAGAAGTAAATGGATTTTGGAATAAATAGGAGTAAATAAATGGATGGTCAAGATTCAAAAGAGAGTCATGGGTTTTTACGTGCTGGTTATTCACTATTTTACAAATAAATTAATTTATAGTATTATAAAAAAAAAGCGTAACGATCGTGGCTAACAAGATGAATTGATTGTGACTAGAATATAATAAACTGTTAGATATTGAAAGCTTGAAACCCCCACATACCCACATATAATGGGCATATGATGATTGAGTCAACGTGTCAAAATCACAGAAGGTGAAGAAAAGTCAAAGCTTTGTAACTAGAGTGTTTAATCTTGGTTCGTTTGGTTCAGTACGAATGGTTTGACGGACCTGGTTTTATTTTTATTTTATATTCGATTTTTAATCAAATATTTCAATCATTTGTTTTTGTAACGTCAAACCAACATTAAAAGTACCAATTAACTTTTCTTATCTTTTTATGTTTGATTTTGTTTTTGAATAAATAAAATTCGGTTCAAAAACTCGGTTCTTAGAAATAGAACAAGTATGTTTGACCAAATTGGTTTGATTTCCGAATTGGATATAAACCGTATCGGTAAAAGTCTGGTCTTTATGACTGACTGAATCATGTGAAATGATAATACACTTTTTTATCCTTTTCTCGCTATTTATTATTCGTTTACACTTTACTGTCACACAGAGAGGACAGACAAACTAAAGAGATCGATTGTTGAAAAAATATAAGAAAAAACAACAATTCCAAAATTGTCGAGATAAGACGATTGTGAAGAGACATGGTGTTCCGCGGCGACACAGTGATGTCCGTAGCGCATATATCGGCGGATATTTTTCAGCGATTACGGTGGATTCCGCCGTCGGATCGAATCAGCAGCGGCGAGATGTTGCAACTCGTCTGCTGTTTTCCGGTTCAACAATTTGGTCGATTCGTGTTGTGGTTCTGGAATTATATCTGTGTTCCACCACCCGAGATTTTATATTTTGATGATGATCTTGATACTGATGATGTTTATGGATCATCATCGTCTTCTACGATTGTTAATCATCACAATTATCACCATCTTCATTTGGAGTGATGAAATTTCCGTGTCTGGTTTTTTTTTTTCTGATTTTTTACTTGTAAAGTTTTTTTCTCCTTATTGTATAGAAAAATCATTTTGGGGTTTTTTTTTCCTGGAGTTTTCTTGGATTAATCGAATTTTGTTTCTCAATCATTGTTATCAGAGTAATCAAGAGTTCTTGATCATTTGGTGATGCATATAGTTGTAAGATTTCATCATTGTTGTAGTAGTCAAAGGAGCATGTTTTGATCTCTATTACTTGTCAAAATCGTTGTCCTTTAAATCTAAGCTCTTGATTGAATTGATAGAGATCATCAAGTAACTCATGAGTTTTTTTTTCTTCTTAATATTCGAAAATGTTGGAAAATCGATTTTTTCTTTCTCAGAAACTACTGTGGTTGATTCAGTTCGAGTAATATTTTTCTTGTGTGAAGATCATTTGTTGCAGTAGAGGGGTCTTGGGATAAAGAAAGGTACATTTATCAAATCTTTGAACTCCCTTAGTATGTTCTTTGAGACTGAAATCCATTTGGGTTGATTTTCTGTTAAAGTTTTCAACTTTTATTGTGTGTAGACTGAAATCCTTGAGATCTCCTACTGATTGGTTCTTGATGGCCATTTTTCAGGTTTGATGGAGTCCAGTTCAAGATTTGTGTAGCCATTACCAGGGAAGAAAGGTCTCTTCACCTGAAAACGTCGAAGATTAAAAAGCTTGCAAGTCTTTTGAGCTTTAAATGATAGGATCTCCAATATTTGACTCTTCCTTTGATCTCCAATATTTTATTATATATTTTTAATATAATAAAATTATTTCTATAATATAAATGAGTATTATATTTATTTTATATTAGCTTAATTTATGTATTTATATGTTTTAAATCTGAATAAACATTATATATCATTAATTTTTTAATTTTTTAAAATTTTAATCTACTATCAAATTTGTTTAGCTAACTATCTATAAATGTATATGTAAGAATAAAACAATATATTTTTAAGTACCTTCATGCTAATAATAAATGTAATTTATTTTTTCTACTAAATTGTTATTTGATCCTCTTTTGAAATTATATAAAGCAAATTTCCATTTAAAAAAATATTAATTAATATGATTATTTTAAACTATAAAATTTATTTGTTTATCAAATATTTATTATAGACATATGTTTCTAAAACTACCAAACTATAAGCAATAACATTCATATCAAAATCATTACTATTACTTTAGAACTAAATAGAAAGTTCTATTTGAACTGTTGAAATATCAATTTAGTTGAAGTTAAATAATTCAATTTTGGTTACTATAAACATATTGTAACTTTGAAAATTAGCACAGAGAAATTTTATCATTTTACAAAAACCAAAAAATTGCATTTTCCGACAAAACAAAAAAAACATTTTCCCACAAAACTCAGAAATCGCCTATTCCCACCAAAACCAAAAAAATTCATTTTCTCGTCAAACCTGAAATTACATTTTCCCTCAAAAACCAAAAAATCACATTTTCCCGCTAGAACCTGTGTTTTCCTGTCAAAACAGAGAAATCAAGTTTTTTTACTAAAACCAAAAAATTTCATCTTCCTGCAAAAACAAAAAATAGTATTTTCTCGTCAAAACCAAAAAGATTTTTTTCCGCAAAAATCGTCTATTCCCACCAAAACAAGAAAAAATTATTTTTCTCGTCAAATCAAGAATCACGTCTTTCTACTAAAACCGATAAACTGCAATTTTCCACGAAAACCAAAAATTGTATTATCTCATGAGAAATTGTATTTCCCGCAAAAACTAAGAAATCATATTTTCCCTCAAAAACCGAAAAATCAAATTATATGTCAAAAACTGAAAATTTACATTTCCCATCAAAACCAAGAAATTGTTTATTCCCACCAAAATCGAGAAATTTTGCTTTTCTATCAATCCAAAAAATTGCATTTTCTGCTAAAATTGTCAAATTACAATTTTTCGCAAAAATCAAGAAATTACATTATCCATCAAAAGCCGAAAATTTACATTTTCTATCAAAACCGAGAAATCGTATTTTTCGTCAAAATTGAAAAGTTGCATTTCCCTCGCGTTTTCTCGTCAAAATCAAAATTTTTATTTCTCACCAAAACCAAAAATTCACATTTTTCTGCCAAACCCGAGAATTTGTTTTTTTCCGCCATAACCGAGAAACTATGTTTTCCTACCAAAACTGAAAATCACATTTTTCTACCAAAACCAAGAAATTCTCTATTTCCGCCAAACCCAATAAAATTTGTTCTCGGTAACCAGTGGAAATGCGAATCTCCAAGCTGCGGTGGTCTGAGTTTCTCCTCATTTGCTTTCGCCTTCCATTTTTTTTGTAAACTTTGAGCTTTTTAATGGGTCAGCAAAATAGTAAATTGATTTTATTAGTGTGTTAATAATATGTTTTTATTGGTTCAAATTTTTGCTGATGTGTGAGCTTCTTATAACATAACGCTTTTTACATTGTTGTTATGGAACCATAGTTGATGATGAGTGTACATTTTCTTCAATCATATACGTATCTATCAAACAAACACATAGGTAGAAATTTTAATTTTTTTTGCTGTTATTTATTATTTGAGTTTCGGTTTGGCAAAAATATAAAAAAAAAAATTTATTTTATTATTTGTTGTTATTTATTTTGGGTTTGGCAACAAAATAAAACAATTTTTTTATTTGCTGTTATTTATTATTTGGGCTTGGGTTTGACCAAAAAAATAAAACTAAAATTAACAATAAAAAATATTTGGGTTTTTAATGGTTTTAAATTTAAAAGTTAAAATATATTGATGACTTGTATTAATAAAATATTTTTATTGGTGTTTTTTTTGCTGAAGTGTCATCTCCTAAAAGCTTGATAATGCTGATGTATCAAGCCATGAAGAGACTTATGGGTTATTGTTGTGTTGATTAAAGTGTTTTCTATAGTATATTTTTGCTTCATAATCCAAATTTCTTCATACTAGTTAAAGTTAGGGGTGGGCACAATTCCCGTTTCATCCCGTCCCGTCCCATCCCGTCCCAGTTCCAATTCTAAATTCCCGTACCATATGGGAATGTGCTTCCCATATGGTACAACATATTGATTCCCATTTGGAAATGGGACGAGACAGAACGGGAACGAGAATTTCCGAAGTCCCATTTGTCCCGAATTATATATAAATAATAAATTAGATATTTAAAATATATTACCAAAAATGATCATTATTATATATTAATATATTATTTTATATAAACGAAAGTTAAAACTTAAAAGTTGCACATCTAAAGTTCTAACTTATAAGTTATAGTCTAAATACATGCTGACTGCTGAGATTTAAACGGATTATGTTGGATTTTATTTTTTATTTTATTATATATGACTAATAAACTATATGTGGTTTTTTAAAAAAAAATTGAAGCTTTTAAATTTTAATATTTAAGTTAAGTTTGATTTCATTTGTTTTTTGGCTAATTTATAATCTTATATGACATGTTATTATTATTTATTAGGATTTAGGAAATGAACAATGGACGAATATAAATTGAATTTTAAAATTTTTTTTTTTACAATTGTCAATTTTTCATGTTATTAGATTTTTTGAGAATTTCCGTCCTATCCCATTCCATTCCCGTTCCGTCCCAAATTTTGGATGAAACACATATGAGACAATTATTTTGATTCCCATATTCCTGTTCTGTTTCCATTCCCGCAAAATCCCGTCCCATATTCCCGTTTGCCCACCCCTAGTTAAAGTCAATACTTACGTAGTTGGATTGATTGATTAATAATATTAATTAAACAAATTTTAACTTGGGCCAACCGTTAATATAAATTAAACAAATTTAACTTGGGCCAACCAGGCCAGGTCTGTTCGAATATAGGGTCCATGTCTTTTCTAGATACGAGGTTACATTGTTTTTCAATGCTCTTTGTTGTGACTTGCGTTGAAGGAGAGCTCTCTCTCGACTTATAGTTTTATACTTTCAAAGATTTGTGGAAACAAAATCATAAAGAACCGAAAAAGTTGTTATTCATGAAACTAGAATTCAAACCAAGATCACAAATTGTGATTTTTTGGATTAATCAATAGAGGAACTTATGACCAAATCCTACTTAGATACATCTCCGCAGATTCTAATGACCACAACATTATCTAAACTCATGCTTAGGAAGATAAATTCATGAAATGATGAAACACATACCTTAAGCATAAGATCCACTGGTAGTGCAATGACGAATCAATGAAGAACAAATTTCATCCTTAAAGATTCACAAAATCTAGCTGATGTAAGAACATTGCATGCATCTATGGGTAGGGCCAGTGCTTGTAAAAATTATTTATATTATTGTTATAACTTCTAAGAATCGGCCAATCTTTTACTTAATTACACATTTGTCAAAAATGGTCAAGAAAACAATTTGAATTATGAACAGAATACGTATTTTTTTTGTTTTAAAACGGAAAATAGTTTATATCTAGACACCTGGTGAGTCCAATGATCCACCACCATTCCGATTAGCATCGATGTAATGATCTGAACCGTTGATGGTAATTTGAGACTGGGTTAATCACATATTTTGTCTGTTTAGAGCGCGCACGTTACAATACTTTTGTATATAGAAAAGACAAGGGTAGTGATTAACGAGGATGATGGCGCAATTAGTTAAAGATTATTATTACTAGTAACCAGAAAGAAACTTGTAAAGGCTCATCTTTTCTACTACCTACCTACTCAAAGCTATCTAACCAACAAAAAAAAAGAATTACGATTCTAACTACGAAATTTCGTTCTTCTTAGTATTAATTATTGTTGACTTCTATCGTGGGCTATGAAGTATATAGATTTAGCGTTATTATTGTTATAAATAGAGATGTTTTTTGAAAAATTAACATGAGGAAACTGGATATAATTAACTCAACTGTAGTAGTTTCAAGAGTTCTGATATAAGTTTTAAAATAAATTTAAATTAACAATCGTAAAAAAGCCTATTTTATTTATTTACCAAAATCTCTTTTTGTGGAATCTCATAATGATGCTCTCTGCTACACTGTTTGACTCATTGGATTCTCCACCGTTTGTTAGATTTTGCTACATTTTTTCCGTCTTTACCCCTTTCTCGAGAATAAACACTACGCACCGTACACGTGTATAACGATAAATCGATCGTAATGAGATGACGCCGTTAAAACATAAACGGCGACTGGCAAATTCGGCAGTGTGCCTCCGTTTCCCTTGGTAACGGCGAGCAAACCCAAAACAGAAGAGAGACCAAACAGCTCCATCGGGAGACAGAATCTTGTGTCTGCTTCCCCATTATATACAAGTTACCCCTTGACTGAAACTAGTATTTGCAAAACAAACAAAACGCAACATTATCATTACGAGGCAACTTGTAATAACCATATAAATTTTCAATTTCTCAAATTACACCACTACTACAGTATACGATCTTTCTCTTTTTGGTTATTTTGTAATATATATAGATCATAAACTTTGTAGTTATTTTCTGTATATATATATATTTTTTGAAATAAGCTTCTTTTATATCTGCTCATGCCTTTTATAGTTACCACTTGCCACCCTAAATTTGTCATATTAACGGAAAAAGCTTAATCTTAACTATGTATTAGTTATCTATTTGGTGATAATGAAAACTATAGTATTAGTTTTTGTAACAAAACAATGTATTAGTTGTTTAATCTGTAACTAACAAAAAGCAACAAGCTATTCAACCAGTAGTATGATGGGGTCAAAACAATATTTTAGAGAAATACTGATAAAGGTGACACTTTTTGCAGAACTTTGTTCTCGTTTCTTTATCTTATCTTTATTGACATCGTTCGATACGATGTTTCAGAATTTATTCGTTTCAAAAAATTACTATAATTCAATAGAAAGAAACACTTATATTACAAGGAATATATGCTTGAAAAAAAGTACGCAAATATATTTTTATTTTCCAAATATTCAATTTTGGAGATTTTCATTTTTCTTTTCCGACGTTAGCAGTACACGAAATCTCCCAACTGAGTAGTAGTGAACTACAGTAAAACCTCTATAAATTAATAATATTGGGACTGCAAAAATTTATTAATTTATAGAGTTATTAATTAATTGATAAAAATTCAAAATTCAAAAATTTATTAATTTATAGAGTTATTAATTTTCGGTTCAAAATTCAAAATATTTGTAAAAAAACAAAAAAATATTGTCAACATTAAAAAATTTATTCAGAAAATATCATATCAGTGAATTTAAAAAATAAGTCAAACAATTTTTATAAACTTGAAACAATAATATAATTATATTTTACTATATTATATTATTTATATATGCTTAAATATACACTTATTAATTTATATAATTATTGGGACTATATTTTTATATTGGAGTTTCAAAAAAAATATTATCTTATTATCTTATAGAAAATTATTAATTTTTACACTGGCCCGACTTAGGACCGACAAAAATTATTAATTTATAATGATTATTAATTTATCGAGTATTAATTTATAAAGGTTCTACTGTAGTGATAAGTTAGTTAGACGCATTTTAACGCAAAGACCATTCATGTAAACTATTAAGGGGGTAATACATGGAAACTTTTAAACCCTTTCGCAAAAAATACATGGAAACTTTTGTAATTTGGGGCTCGTGAAATTTTAGGAGGAGTTGCATCGACCACCTCGCCATGACTCGTGGACTCCACTCACATGATCACATCGTATATCAAAATTGATTTTACAGTTAGCTAAACTTATACTAATTAATAGTGTATTTGTTAGTATGCTAAATTTGTATTTATAATAGTTTTAGATTTAGACATATCTACTACATATAAGTTAGTTAGTCAAATGTACATTTCGTTATTGATGAGTACTTTTCAAAACAATGTCGTTTTGAATTCTAAACTAACCGAATGTCTAGTCTTCAACGATTACTCGTGAAAAAAATAAAGAACAACCCTTTTAATTTGTGTATATTAACTGTTTTTAGCAAATGACCCAGTCGGTAAATTGTGTTAATCAGCAGCATTCATGCACTTTTAGTTACGAATGATTCATTTTATTATACAAATATGTTTTACCTTTTTTTATGTTTTATGATTAAACAAGTAATCATTCGAATACCCATTAAACAAATAATCATTTGAATACAATACCCATTAGAAAAAGTTGGGAGTTTTTCCGAATGATTTTTTTTCGACGGTTTCATTTTCGTTATTATTCTGGACAGAGCTTTTTTATTTATTCGTGCGACAGATTAAATTGGATCTTTATTACTAGTAGTTGTTTTTATTAGTTTATAAATGTCTATTTAAGGGATAATTTAAAGAAGAGAGAGAGAAAGTGGCTACAAAAAAGGAAGAGAGAGAAGAGAGGGAGAGAAAAAGTGGAGTCTTTACATCATTAAACGAGAGACCCACTTCAATGTCGCTGCAGCATCACTGGTGTTAGTGGTGGGTTACAGAGGAAGAGGTCTAGTAGAAAAGAAGAAGAAGAAGATAAGTAAAGGCGTTTGCTTTTTCAAAATACTTCACCAAATAAAGGCATTTCTTAGAAGCATACCCAAATCTACTTCTCTTTTCTCTTTTCTCTCTCTTTCTTTCTTCTTGTTGGATTTAGACTTAAGAGTGAGAAAGATGGATGCTGCGGCTCATTTTAGCAAGGAGAGAGTTTTCAGAGGGTTTCTGGTTTGGTTCTGCATTTGGGGATTGCTCTCTCTAACATGCGCTGGGAGGCTGAGCGTTTCAAGGCAGAATTTCGAAGTGCACAAGCACTTGAAACGATTGAATAAACCAGCCGTTAAGAGCATTCAGGTTTTTAATCTTTTTTAGTAAGCTCCATCTTCAATTTTATAGTTTTTGTTTGTTTGTTTCTGTTAGACTGTTACCAAGCTACTTTTTTCTGTAACTCTACATTTTTTCTGAGATTTACCGAGTTGGAGATGATTACTGAAAAGTCCTAAATGCTGGCTTAGCCCTTTTACTTTCCTAGAAACTTTGGTTCCATCATCTAGTTGTTAGTAAGAAAATGTAGGAAGAAAGTTGAATTTTTTTGAGTATTATGTGAAAATCTGACTCCAAAATGATTTACAATTTTCTCTTGAATGTGTGTTTTGATAAACACAGAGTCCAGATGGTGATATAATAGACTGTGTTCACATATCCAAGCAACCAGCTTTTGATCATCCTTTCCTCAAAGATCACAAGATTCAGGTAATTTGTTTCAGCATTTGTCTTAAATTCACACTCTTCTTCTTTCAGTTTTTGCCTATGTCTTAAAACATATTGTGGTTTTTTTTCTGAATCAGATGAATCCTAGTTCAGTCCCAGAACTGATGTTTGAAGAGAACAAAGTGTCTGAGAAACCAAAAGAGAGAATCAATCCAGTCACTCAGTTATGGCACAAGAATGGGGTGTGTTCTGAAGGAACCATACCAGTGAGGAGGTCAAAGAAAGAGGATGTCTTGAGGGCAAGTTCTGTTAAACGGTACGGCAAGAAGAAGGACCGAACAGTTCCTCTGCCTCGGTCTGCTGATCCTGATCTCATCAACCAAAGTGGTCATCAGGTAGATTCTGATTCTTTTACCTACATGCCGATCCACTGTGTGAATTTCTTGGCCTAAAAGCTCTCTTCTGTATGTGCATTTGGGTTGGGATCTTGTGGACGAAACAGCACGCCATAGCTTATGTGGAAGGAGGAAAGTTTTACGGGGCTAAGGCGACTATTAATGTCTGGGAACCCAAAGTACAGAGCCCAAATGAGTTCAGCTTATCTCAGCTATGGATTCTTGGAGGTGCTTTTGGTCAAGATCTCAACAGCATTGAAGCTGGTTGGCAGGTAACACCACCTATATAAAATCATACCATTGTGAACTTAATTTCAGTTACATCTATATGTTCTTAAGCTTCTTTGCTGTATATGTACGAATCAGGTTAGTCCGGATTTATATGGTGATAACAACACGAGACTGTTCACATACTGGACGGTAAGCTAAAGAAAAACTGTGAACTTTTCTTCAGTTTCTGATGATCCTTACCGAATAATGTTTCGTTTTTGTATTGATTTCTCTGTTTGGAACGAACAACAGAGCGATGCCTATCAAGCTACTGGCTGCTACAACCTCCTCTGTTCGGGTTTTATACAGATCAACAGTCAAATAGCAATGGGAGCCAGCATTTCTCCGGTCTCTGGCTTTCATAACCCGCAATACGATATCAGCATTACCATTTGGAAGGTAAAAGCCAGTTTCCTTTTGTCAAAGCGAACCACTTTTCCTCAAAGATGCGTAACTTTATGTGTCAGTGATTGTGTCTGCTGATGAATAAGAATGACTTTCATCTGTGAAACTCCTCTCAAGAACGATTTCTTTTCAGGGCATTCTTCAAAATTTCAGCTTTCTTTTCATGGAACTCTTAAATATAGCAACCTTTTGTCCTGAAAAGATACTAACTTTATGGATCAGTGATTGTGTCTAATGATTCAAACTGATAACCTCTGGAACATTTTTCTTGTAGGATCCAAAGGAAGGGCACTGGTGGATGCAGTTTGGGGACGGGTATGTGTTGGGATACTGGCCAAGCTTTCTATTCTCATACTTAGCGGATAGTGCATCGATAGTAGAATGGGGTGGAGAAGTGGTGAACATGGAAGAAGACGGTCACCACACGACCACGCAAATGGGAAGCGGTCAGTTTCCGGATGAAGGGTTCACGAAAGCGAGTTACTTTCGGAATATTCAAGTCGTCGATAGCTCTAATAATCTGAAAGAACCAAAAGGGCTCAACACTTTCACTGAGAAATCTAATTGCTATGATGTTGATGTTAGTAAGAATGACGATTGGGGACATTACTTCTACTATGGAGGTCCTGGAAGAAACCCTAATTGTCAGTAGAAGATGAACAGAAGAAAGAAGATGGTGAAGATGAAGATGTAGAGGAACACTTGTATTGGTTTTTTCAATGTTTGTGTGAAGTGTGAAAATATCGTTTTTGTTGATTTTTTCTTACACTTTACTATCTGTCTTTTTTTTTTTGGTTCTGGACAATTGTTTTTGTATTTTTGGGTTTCTAGGTTTCGGTTAGGTTTTAGTTTTGGTTTTTGGGTTTTTATTTGTTTCTTGGGTTGTAAGAGAACAAGTTTGTAAGTGTGGAAAAGAGACGTTTGTAACCTTTAAGATAAGTAGTGGTACCGGACCTTTGGGTTGTCTTAGAATCTTTCCTTCGTTGCATTTGCCTATGAATTAGGAATTTAGGATGGAGGTTTGATTCATTGTACCAAATAATTACACTCATAATCAATGAAATGTCATCATTTAAAATCTTAACTATAAGTGGTTCATAATGATAAAGTGGTGTAATTTATTTTGGTCTTTTGACACTACATAAAGTTTAAAAGGCATAAGGGAAAATGATAACTAAGCGATTAAAAGTCAAGTACGAGTAATCTCAGATTAAATGCCATGTGCTAAAATATGTACTAATCTTTTTTATGCAAGTGTTTATGTGATTCATGATGTTGGGTCGTGTGTTTAGATATAGTGTACATACACACTATCTATTGTTGGTGAAACAAATTTTGATTTAAATTTGTAAAATGTATGGTATATTATGGAAAGGGAATTAGCGAAATAACTGGTTAAACATTGAATTATTGGAATGGGTGACTACGATAATTATATAACAAAAGGTTATAATGAAAAGTATGAAGAGAAATACTAATGATAATATAGATAAATTATATGTTGACAAAAAAAATATAGATAATTTATATTTCCAATAATTACTTAATAATGTTGGAGTTAAATATTATTACGTCGAATTATAAACGAAAATTTGATACGCCGAATCATATATATCAAAGTCTATTAATTAATCAGAAGAAAAGAAAAGAACATATGGGTTAGGCCAAATCATGTTACTTGAAGCACATGGAGAACATGAAACCATCATCCAATTTCCATCTTCTTTACCTTATAACACTATAAGAAACAACTAAACAGCTCATTGCTTCTCTCGTATCTACTCATTTCACACACACAAAACATATTAAATTTATTAATCATTTTCTTATAGACAAATCCCATACAGATGAAGAGTACACAAAGGGTAGAGAGGCGAGAAAACAAATATGCAAAAAGATCATTCGGAGAGAAGAAAACACATTCATTGAATGAGAACACTATGAAAATTTGAAACCTAACGAAGATATATGTGATACCAGGAAGCAGCTCAAGAGGGACTGCAGGATGCGTGTAGCTGAAGATGCTTTTAGCTGACGTGGAATTCAGCGGTTGGTAACTACGAAGGAAGTCTCGAATATATCTTGAATATATTCGAGAGTCTAGAAAAAGGAAAAACTTGTAAAGAAAAGATATGCAACTAGATTCTAGGGTTTCACTCTTGGGTAGGTTGTATAAATAGGAAGTCGGACAAAATGTGGTCTGTACACTTTGCGCCGCAAGCATTAGAATCATCTTTGAGCTTTCATAGCAAAGAGAAGCAAAAAGGTTAGTGTCCTCTTCCCTGATACACGAGCTGTGTGATCTTGTGAAGAATGGTTTTAGAACTAGAAATCATTGGGGGCAATCTAGGATAGAGTTGCATAATTCCAAACAATTGTAATCAGTTGATTAAGTTGTTGATTTTAGTTTAATAAAACTGGACTTCGCGCTTTCCAAGTATTTGTCTGTTGCCTGTCTTTTGCACTTACATCTAACTTTTTAAGACTTAACCAACAAAGAACAAAACTAACAAAAAGAGAGATATATCTATAATATTTGCATAAAAGCGCAGAAGATATTTTGAGAGCAAAATAATTAACTGATTATCATTAGAAAAAAACTTATTGAATTATGTTTTCACTTTTAATACTTTTACGAATGTTTTTTTTTTTGTTAAAGTAAAACAACCAATGGTATTTCGATGCTAGATCCGGTATATCAAATTGTTTCAATTTGTTTTGAAAACGAAATTAAAATAAATACTTTGGTAAACGAATAGGTAAAAAATGCCATCATTGATATATAATACAAATCCAAATTAGTGCGCATTGCTCTTTCCAACTATTTCTTCTTTTTTTTCAACTATTTATATACATAGTTGATGAACTAAAACCTTTACGTGTCATAGATCAATTCCACAGTACAACATAACACATTTCTTACACAACTTTCTTAAAATTAAACTAACATTTATAGTGGGATATAAATAATAAAGTATTAGAAGCATTCAAATTAAATTAATCAATGCGTTGGTGTAAAGTGACATGTACAGACTTGGCCTTACATGCGTACTCGTGTATATAAAACACTAACGAATGTAGTTCACAAATCACACATCAAAAATAACAATACTCACCAAAACCTTTTTTTCCTTCTCTTCATTTGCTTCCTCCAGAGTCTCAAATCCAAAAATACTAACAATGGAGGCAATGAAGATGAAGATTGTCGTGGCGGTTCTGGTTGCGATGATAGCCTTCTCTGTTGTTCAACAGACGGCTGCAGCCGTTGATGCTCCGGCGCCGAGTCCTACCTCCGATGCTTCCTCGTTTATCCCGACGTTCTTCGCCTCCGCCGCGGTTTTGGCCTTTGGATTACTCTTTTAAGAAGTTTCTTTTCCCTTGAATTAAATAAAATCAATTAATTGATGTTTTAAGTCTGGCTTTGTGTGTCTCTTTGAGTTCTTGTAGTTGATTTTTATGTTTGTTGATCTCTTTCCCTCTTCTCTATATGTATCGTTGTTGAAATTGACTCATCCTAATATTAATAATATTTGTTCTTTTAATTTGATATTTTAATTTATGTAGTTAAAATCTTAAAGTGCAGATACGATGAAACCAGGAACCGAGATATTTGCATACCGTTAAGCTGGATATCTAACTGGATCCAATAATCTAATATACACCTGATTTGTTTAGTCACTTTAACCGTATGCTAATTGGAATCTTCATTTGAAAGCAATTTAAAGCTGCAAATATGCATATGTTTTATCAGTGACGACTAGAGCGGACAAAAAGCCAACACCTTTTAGGTTTTCACATGGCATATATTTTTAAGCAAATTGTAATTAGTTGAATTTCTCCCAAAATTAAGAGCTTCTAATTTCTTTGGTATTGACTGAGTATTGACGTATGTTTAATCCTATAACTATATAGGAAACAAGTTTTTGATGAAAGTTTTCAATTTATTCGACGGAAGGTGACTTTAGTAGGCCGATTTTTTTTTGTCATAATCGTAAGTGCTCATCGTAGCGAGTACTACTTAATCGGATGCAACTCTTCCTCTGTAAACTTATTCGACGGAAGATGACTTTACAAAACAAATCGTTTAATAACGACGTCGTTCGAAGCAACTCTTCCTCTGTAGAAACCTTGTCAATCAAGTCACATATATTAGAGTGCTGCAAACATAGTAGTAATAAAATTTAGAAAATTAAACAATCAGAGATGCAAGGAAAATGTAAATATGAAGGAAAAAATAACCTTGATGAAAAAAATAATATAAAACAAAAGTAAATAAGGAAATTATACAATCAAATACTAATTGTAAAAGAATAACGAAAATATACTACACTAACCTCTATATAAAAAATGGGGGTAAATTTGTGTACGAGGGATATACTCGATTAGATTGACAACAATCGACTCTTGTGATTTGAATTCTAGTCTTCTAGGGCATTGATTTGGAAGAATCATTGCTTTTTTTTTGGTTGAGGATCTTCGTGTGTCGCTGGTTTTCTGTGTTCTAGGGTTTTGAAGCAAGTTGCGTAAAGGAATTTTGAGGATGAAAAGTGAGAGTATTTAACAATGGCGTTTCTGTAGATACCTTGTCAATCAAGCAACATCAATTAGAGTGCTGCAAACAATTCAATTTCCCTTTCTTTCTTTCTTTCTTTCTCGCTAATTTTGTTTGTTTGGAGAGACAATATTATTTTCTTATATGATTCAATTCATGTTATTAGCATGAAGTCAACTGTTTCGTTTCTTTGCTTGTTGGGAAGTTGCTAATCGGCTCTTGTAGTTGATTTGCAATGTCATTTTTGTAATCTAGACAATCATATTGAGATCAGCGGATTGAATTTTTCCTTTGGCAACCAAAGACACAATCAATGTCTCTTTTGAGCTCTTGTAGTTGATTTTATTCGTTATAATTTGAGCTCTTTCTCTCTATCTCTTAGTTTAATTTGACTCATGTTAAAACCCATAATATTTTTCTTCGTTATTATATAGTCTTAGGGTGCAGGATTTGCATAACATTATGTTAGATCTAATTATCTAATAAAATAGGCAAAATTTTGATAGAAAAAATAAAGAAGTAGGCAAAATCTTATTAAATTTTAAAAGATTAGTCCTTTCTTAGATGAAATGTCGGTTAAATCTCTCTGAATTTAATAACCGACGATTTGAAATCAATTAAACCCATGTAAATCCTGCTCATTAATTAAATAGGTGGAAAATTAAGTTTAAAATAAAAAGGAAAAAATATCTTACCAATATGGCAATATCTGTTCTGCTTATTAACCCTAGGCTTTTTATATACAGTATGTTGTTTTAATAAAAAATCTAGAACAGGCAAACTGAGAAAAACCGCGGTTGGAGAAGCAAAATAGGCAGCCATGGTACCTGTAAGTCACAATTCTAACATGGAGAAAGTCGAGATATATATAAGTTTAATCTTCTTTCTCTGTTTTTTTGTAAACTTATGTTGAGGGTTTCTGGAACAGGAAGATGATCTCACTGGAAACTTGAAACGAAAAGTTGCTAAGCTCTTTGAAGCATATATGAAATCAATGGTTCCGGATGAACCTGTTGTTAAGCCTACCCATTCTCCAAAATTTGGAGATTACCAATTGTACTTCCCTTTTTTTTTCCCCTTAAATAAGTTTGATTTAATGCAAACTTATGTTCTTTCCCTCCCCACTTTTGTTTTGCAGTAACAATGCTATAAAACTCTGCTCCAAAGGAAAGGATCCTGAAGATGTTGTTCAGGTTGGTTTTCTCAAGAAAATTAGAGTTTTGTATCTCTCACCACATGATAAAACACTTGGATCGATTCTTGTTTATCACGTTTTTCATTATCAGGACCTTATGAAAATCCTCTCAAACTCTGAGATGGTGGAATCATGTTCCGTAGAGAAAGGATTTGTCAACGTTGTACTATCAGCTAAGTGGATGGCCAAGATACGTACGACTTCCTATATGATTTGGTTTTCGAGTCCTCTCAAAACATACATGTTCTTTTGTTTAGCGTTTTAAAATCGCTTCTCTAATCTGTATGCAGAGCATTGAAAATATGCTTCTCCATGGTATTGGTACATGGGCTCCTACACTTGCGGTTAAAAGAGCTGTGGTTGATTTCTTTTCCCCTAACATCGCGAAAGAAATGCACGTTGGCCATCTACGATCAACTATCATCGGTGACACCATAGCTCGCATGCTCGAGTACTCAAAAGTTGAAGTCCTACGCAGAAACCACGTTGGTGACTGGGGAACACAGGTACTCTCTTTGAACCACTCTGTTTCCTTCAAACCATTGTTGTTACTTATTACTGATACAAAGAAAGACTTCGTTTGTTCTGTAGTTTGGGATGCTAATTGAGTACCTGTTTGAGAAGTTTTCTGACCCGGAGCATGCAACAGAGCTAACAGTTGGAGAACTTCAGGTGAATCTAGGCACTTTGGCAAAGAAGCAAAGCAACTCGGTTTCTTCTAACTTGCGATGTGATTATAACAGGCTTTTTACAAAGAAGCGCAAGCTAGGTTTAAATCGGAACCTAACTTCAAGGAGAAGGCACAGAAAGGTGTGGTCCGTCTACAGGTAATAACTCGATTTCTCAATGGCGTTTTTTTTTATCTTTGTTCAGGCAGAACCGATCACTAACTTGGTTGCATTACTATCTAAAATTCTAAACAAAATTCGCATTTTGCGCAGAGTGGGGATCCTAAGTATCGAATGGTTTGGGCTAAGATTTGTGAAATCAGCCGGATTGAGTTTACTAAGATTTACCAACGTCTTGGAGTTGAGCTTGAAGAGAAGGTAATATATATTATATTGAAAACATTATTATATAAAAAAGAATGGGTTATGTAACGTCAATGCCACTGACAGGGAGAAAGCTTTTACAATCCTTATATCCCTCAAGTTATTGAAGAGTTGAGAAGTAAGAATTTGGTTGAAGAAAGTGAAGGCGCTCAAGTGATTTTTCTGAAAGTTGAAGGCATAGTTAAGCCTAAGCCACTCATCGTTGTCAAGAGTGATGGTGGTTATAACTATGAGACGACAGATCTTACTGCTCTTTGGTTGGTTTATACTATATATCTTTCAATCTTTTCTCCAAAACCTTAGCATGCATATATAGTAGTACTCTAATGAAATATGTCAAATTCTGCTTTGTCAAGGTATCGACTTAATGAAGAGAAAGCTGAGTGGATCATCTATGTCGCCGGTTCAACCCAAAACGAACACTTTGATTTGCTGTTCAGAGTAAGTTTTCAAGATGTTTGGTTTTACGTGAAATGTTTTGATTCTTGATTTTTTAAGTAATTCATGATTGCTGTGACTTTAATCTGAACCAGGCCGCAAGAAAAGCAGGTTGGCTTCAAGATAATGAGATTACGAGCCATGTTGGTTTTGGTTCAGTCCAAGGACCAGATGGCAAACCATTTAGAACTCGGGATTCAGAAGTTGTACGTTTAGTTGATCTGCTAGATGAGGCCAAGGCTCGTAGTAAAGCTGCCCTTATTGATCGCGGTAATAATCCCCTTTTGTTACCACTTACCAGCATCGTTTTACATTTTGGGATTCTTGAATCATTCAGTTGTTCAGTTTGCTATGTCAATGTGATAATACTCATCAACCTTGAGATTTTGCTCTCTGTGTAGGTAAGAACAGAAGTATAAAATGGACTCCTGAGGAGCTGGACAAAACAGCTGAGGCAGTTGGATATGGAGCTGTGAAGTAAGTGTCTGATGCATAAACTATTTAGCATCTTTTTGTGTTTCTGTACAAAATTGTGTGATATTATAGTGAGAGTTTTTTTATAAAATGTTAACTCTTTTGTTTAATCTTCTTTGAAGGTATGCTGATTTAAAGAGCAACAGATCGACAAATTATAAATTCAACGCTGATCAGATGCTTATGGACAAGGTAACTAAAACCATCATCTTAGATCTTTTCATCCTAAGAAATAAAAAAATGTAGATATGAGCAGGGAGATACAGCTGTTTACCTTCTCTACGCTCATGCTCGGATCTTTTCAATCATCGAAAAGTCTGGCAAAGACATGGATGAGCTTAAGAAGGTACCCTTTTTGTTTGCTGCATAACCTTAAACTATTACCTTTCTATGCTGTTCTTTCTCTTAAACTCACATCTTCTCTGTTTTTTTTGTTTGTTTGCAGACAGGAAAGCTAGTGTTGGATGCGGATGAACGAGCACTAGGGCTTCATTTGCTAAAATTTTCAGAGGTAAGGAACGCATGATCGATATCAATCTCTTTTGATGGAACTATCATCATATACGATTAGATCAATTTTGTGAATGATTTTTGCAGAATGTTGAGGAGGCATGTACCAACTTGTTACCGAGCGTGTTGTGCAAGTACCTCTACAACTTATCCGAATGCTACAACAAATTCCAATTTAATTGTCAGGTACAAATTTTTTAATTTGTTTTTCTTGAATAATCAAAACCATTTCTTCATTACTTAAAACAATTATAAAAAACTTTCTCAGGTTATCGGTTCGGAGCAAGAGACAAGCCGTCTCTTACTATGTCAAGCAACAGCCATAGTTATGCGCAAATGCTTCCACCTTCTCGGAATCACTCCTGTTTACAAGCTTTGATACATACAACTAAACAGAGCCAAAGCCCCAAAAATAAGAAGTCTATTCTAACTTTTCTACACAATGAAGACAACAAGAATCTCTCTTACAGACTTGAGATGGTGAAGATATTTTTCTTTTTTTGGTGTGGTTATGTTACTGAAACCGACTTTGGTGAATCGTAAAAAAGGGTTTAAAAAAAAAAAACTTTAGAATGACCTAATGTTTCTCTCAGATCTAATGTCTTCTTCTGGAGAGACAAGAGAGAGCAGAGGAAGGTGTTCTTGTGGGTTTCTTGGAGATTGTAGCTTTTGGGTTATAAACCCTTTTGTAGCTTTGATCTATTATTCCTCCAGTGCTCCTACACGCCTTTCTTCCTGCCCCATAATTTCTGTTTTTAAAACCTCTCTTCATTAGATCTTCAAGGCTTTTAACATTTGCTAGTGATGTGAATGATTGAGATTTTCCTTCGTAGAACTTTGATAATCCCCTCCTGCGATGAGATTAAATCAGCTTTTGTTATTACCAGAAAACAAAGATCAATCAAACAGATACTAGTTGAGATGAAAAATCTTTAGATCCATTTCATTATTAGGTATTAAACCCCAACAAATCACTTGCTTGAAAAAGAAGTTTTAAAGAGGTTAATGATCAAAGAATGTTTTCTTACTTGATTGGGAGGTGTGACATGAGGTCAGAGAGATCTTCAAGAGGTCCATTTGAAGAAGATGATGAAGCATCATCATCATCATCCTCTGTTAAATCAGATGAAGAGCACATGGAAGATACTGAACAAGATGATGAATCCTCTTCTTCTGAGAATGTTTTAGCTGCTAACATCGATCTTGAAACTCCTTTAACAATGGCTTCTTCTTCTTCGGTCCTTCTTGAATCATCATAGATCATATTGCTCATTTGCTTCAGATTCAGATTCAAATGAAGATTCATCTTTGAAATGAAGATAAAACACAAAGGGAATTCTTGAAACAGGATATGAAAAACAGAACGAGAGAGAGAGAGAGAGAGAGAGAGAGAGAGAGAGAGAGAGAGTTCTTTTGTCAAGATGTGTGTTGTTGTTCTACAATTCGAAACACAGAAACATGAGTTCTTTTTACAGATATACATCTACATTTATATATATGGATATGTGAAGAGGTTCTAGTTATTTTAAATTTTAAAAGAAAAATAGAAAAAGGTAAAGAAAAAAAAGGATAAATATATGTGTGGGTATTACTTACGTGCAAGCCGTGGATAACGTTGACCCTTTTGTTTAGTCTCACTTTTATCTCAAAATATTTCTTTCTTTTTGTGTTTATTATTGTTATCTACAATCTATTGCATATGTTAATTGCTATTCTGATATGCGGTTCTCATTCTATAGGCCGTCACTGTCCTATCCCGCTTTTTGTTTCTGTAACGTACTTTTTCTTTAATTTGTCATTTATGAGAGATATAATTAAGAAAATATATACAAAAAACATTAATTCGTTGTAGTAGTATATTATATATAAGATGATAATAAGATAACTATACGATTATTTTCCAATTTCTCCCGGTGAAATATAGACATTTACCACAAAAATAAAACAGAGAGAATAGGTCTATAAAGCTTGCAACACACAGTCACAGATGATAAAGAAGAAATAAAGTCGGTTTGTGATTAAATAGTTATATATATTTATTAGAGTAGTATTATATGGTTTAGATTTGTTTAGGAGTTTTCAATTCCCCATGGTGGTGTTACAAGGCAAAGAGGATAAGACCCATTCTTTTAAAACATATCCGTATCATGTCCTCGTCACCACTATCCTTACCCATATTTTTAAATTTAATTTTCTGATTTTGTTAATTGGACCGAAAAGTTTAGTTCCCATCCCTAATAACGACTTTTCCACTATTTTAAAAAGAAGAAGAAAATAACAAGATCTATCCTCAAAATTATTTATATTTGACAACCTATGTATATTGATAATTACGCTATATCCTTAAACCAAGAATCTTGTCCGGTTTCAAACAGCTTTTTCCCGACACATTAAGAAAACATATTTTTCTAGAACTTTCTAACAATCATCAAGTTTCATATGACTTATATATATTCAAAGTAAAATCTTTGATACTTGAATATTCATATTGCAAATTGAAATTTTTAGAAGGTGTGTCAATATAAAAGTATAAAACCATTGCTACAATTTTTTAAATCTCCTTTTAACACAGCAGAGAGGAAATAAATTCGCTTTACACTTTTTATTTTATTTTTATTACTTTTTATTTGCGCTCCATTAAAAAAGTACAAGAAAAGCGCTAAATAAATAAACAAAATAAAAAAGCACTATCATGGATCAAAACGGGTACAAAGAAAACCCACGCGCAGACTCAGCGCGTAGAATGCCAAGTAATATAAGATGGGTCAAGAAAAAAATTAAAAATGGTCCAGAAATAATAAATCAGGAAATAAAAACTTGAAATTGAAAAAGGTAAGACCCAAAAAAAAAAGTAATATTGGGAATAAGTTACATTGTGACTTCTTCTCTACGTCAAATTATAGGATCAGGGAAATATTAAATCGATCCGTTTTTTTCTTTTTTTTAAGTAGTGTTCTTAAGTTTTCTTCTTCGTTTGCGTCCCAAGTTTCCCCAACATGCTATACTTCGACTCAAATTAGGGTTTTCAAAAACCGAGAGCAAAACTCGACCAGACCAAAAAAATCATGGAGGAATCGATTATCAATGATTTACCAGATGATCTGATGTTGAAGATATTCTCGTTGCTTCCGATGTTTAAAGACAGTGTTGCAAGTCGGCTCATATCAAAACGGTGGAAGGATGGTTGGAAACTGGTGCCGGATGTCATTTTTGATGATCGTGATAAATCATGTGGGAGTTTGTTGGCTTTCATGAGTTTTGTTTACGGATCTTTGTTGATTAACAAGCCTCGAGTTCTGGAGAGATTGCATCTCAAGCTTAGCCGGAAGCATTCGGCTTCAGACATCGATTTTTTGGTTAATATCGCGGTTGATCGATCTGTGAGAAAGTTAAGAATCCAGCGGTTTGGAGAAACCCTAGAATTGCCTAGTTGCTTGAGTACCTGCATAACCCTAAGGTCATTGATACTCCATGAAGTACGTATCAAGGTTGTTCCGACTTGTCTTTTATTGCTATCTCTCAAAAGTCTGCACCTTTTATCGGTTCAGTTCTCGGGAGACAGATCTTTTGCAAGTCTTTTAGGAAGTTGCCCAAGTCTTGAATATTTGATTATAAACCAAACCCAAGTTGACAGTGCGAAGATGCTTGAGGTTATTGCGCCTTGGTTTCGTTTGCCATCACTCAAAAGTCTGCACCTTTTATCGGTTAAGTTCTCAGGCTACGTATCTGTTGCAAGTCTTTTACAGAGTTGCCCGGTTCTTGAAAATTTGGTTGTAAAACAAACCAAATGTTGCAATGTGATGTTCAGGGTTGCTCCATATAGGATTTTTTTGTCATCACTTAGACGTCTGCACCTTTTTTCGGTCAAATTCTTTAGCGGTGAATCTGCTGAATGTCTTTTAAGAAACTGCAAGGCTCTTGAAGATTTGGTTATACACCGAACCAAAGATGACAATGTGAAGATATTCAATATCAAGGTGCCTACTTTGAAGAGCTTGTCTATTGAAAACTCAAGAAGGAAACACGCCTACGTTCAGGAGAGTCATGGGTTTGTGATAAATGCTCCTGCTTTGGAGAAACTGAACTTTAAGGATACATTCAGTAACTTTCTAATATTTGAATATATGCATGAGGTGACCAAGGCGAATATCGAGGTTATTTGCGACCAGTCTGAGAAGTTCATAGGTTCTCTTACTTCAGTTCAACATCTTTCTCTCTGTTGTCTAACCTCAGAGGTAAACAGTTTGTTACTCCAACAGGCAACAACAGTGTCAATATTTCTAGCTCCTTTTATGTTTTTGTTATTCTCATTATACAGTAAATAACTAATTCAATTGCATGCAGACTCCATATCCGAAAGGCAGATTCTTCTTCTTTCTTGAACATCTGGAGCTATGTACATGTTCTGCGGGATGGGCGAATCTACTTGCTTGTTTACTCGATGACTTTCCACGACTTCAATCTCTTAAGCTTAAGTCGGTATGTAGAACGCGATATCTTCTTCTTTTTTTTTTTTTTGCATAGTCATATTTTTAAACGTAGAAAGATAGTATATCATTTAATCGTCTTTGTGTTTCCGTTTTTGTTTGTTTTGTTTTAACGATCTATAATACTAACATACGTAATTTGTCTCTTTTTCGTCTCAGCAACATAGCGCCCGTTACAATGATCCGACGACGAACCTTTGGAACGAACCAACGGTTGTTCCAAAATGTTTATCGACGCATCTCGAGATCTTGGAATGGAGACAATATGAAGGCACGGAGCAAGAGAAGAACGTGGCTGCGTACATACTAGCAAACGCTCCTTGTCTAAAGATGGCGACATTCTCAACAAGATGTAGAAACAAATATCATCGCATGCTCAGGAAGTTAAAGAAACTCAAGAGAGTTTCAGAGACATGTCAGCTAGTGTTTGAGTAAACTCTTCTGTGATATGATCAGGTTCTATATAGCTTTCTTCGTCCTTTTTCCCTGACTCTATTTTTGGTGTTTGTGGGTTTTGTTTTCTAATCTCTGGATCGATTCTTTCATTAGTGAAAACAGAGCAGTTTTCGTTTACATATTTTGAGTAAAACAAAAAAATTATAGACGTTGGAAAGATTCAATACTGTTCATGCATTCTGATGGACATAATCATATAATCAGGATAACGAGACTCGAAAAAATAAAATAAAATAAAATAGATGGGACTTTCAAAAAACTAATAAAAATGAAAGAGTACTGTGTAAGAATTGTCACTGTAAAGTTCAAAAAAAGAAAAAGAAAAAGAAAAAAGAGTTGTCACTGTTTAGCAACGATCATATAACTCTATCGTTAAATACAAAATTACTTGACTTTGATTCTAACAAGTACCTGAATGGGTCTTTGGAGTATGGACCCATGAATGTCCATGACTCATCTCCACCACATGTAAATTCTCTCTAAATAGGATTTCAAGTCAAGACTAATAGTATATTCTCATCCTTTGATCTGGCCTCCATGAAATGTCATAGTTTTGTAAGAAAATAAACTTATTTTAATTGAGTGACTCTATTAACGATCTATTAAATTGAGTGACTCTATTAACGATCTATTCATAGGAAGAACACAATGAATAATAAAACCTCGTTTCAATATTGATCCCATCAAATAATCTCTACTAGTAAATAAGAAGTATATTTTAAAACCTAACTTTAAATTTGTAATTTATCATATGTTATGTGAATAAAAAAATATGAAATAGGGATAGACTAGAGCTGTCATCAAGTAATCTCTATACTATTAAAGTTAAATTGTGTGTGTGTGGGTTCTATTAGCTAAACCTCCAAGTTGTAACATTGGATGACATAATCCGATACTTTTGATAATAGTTCTGAAATATCAAGATTCTGATATCAAAATTCCTGTATTAAAATTTTTTTTTTTTAAATTGACTTTATTTTTTTAAGATTCGATTCCAAAAACATTATATTCTTTCCACTAATTGTATCATCAGTATCTTTATCTCTGTGAAGAAAGTCGCAGCATCTCCGACTATTGAATATATCTTGAGGAATAACCCATATACTTCTCTATTCCATAATCTTCTTTCCGTGTTCCTCAACACCTAGTATATAGATGTAAGGCTACAAACAAATATTCAATTTTTATGTGCTCCGTTTTATCATTAATCTAATTGAGATCTTGGGATGGAGACATCAATACGAAAGCAAGATGTACATACTAGCAGATATGGCGGCATATATTCTCACCAAGATGTACAAAATACCATAACATGCATGATCAGGATGTTCCCAAAAACGTAGAGAGTTTCAAAGCATGTCAGCTTGTGTTTGAGCTAACTTTTATGTGATGGTGTGTGCGTGTCTCTAATAGACACAGACTTTCTTAGCTTATTCATCTTATATTTTGCTTTTGTGGGTTTTATTTTTTAATATCTGGTTCCTTTTTTATAATGAGGATATACATTATATTAGGATCTTAAATTATTGCTAGGAATTTTTGTTGTTGTATTTGTTATTAAATCTAATTTTATTATAATTTATAATTGCATCTAAAAAGTAAAAACTCTAAAAAAATTAGAATTAAAAATCCTTTTCACGGTTAAAACAAAATGAATTATCATTAATTTGTATGGAAATCGGAAATTTTCAACCCCATCCGAATCCACGTAAAAAAAGGAATGCAGCTACCTTTTGTAAAATGGAAATATAGAAACTTTAAATTACAAATAAATTAGGAAGCAGACTTTTTAAATAAAAAAACTATAGTAACTGTTTTCTCTCATACATTAAAAAATATATTTGTATCTTGTAATCGCGAAACCTAGTTTTTCTCGGGATCTCGCTTATTCTCACTGTTGCATCCCAAGTCTAACTGGAGTCCATGTGTAGAGTTTCGTGACGGATTTTCCAACACTGAGAGCGACTTTCGCCAGAACAAACGAAAACATGGAGGAAGGAACAGTAAAATTCTCCAGAATAAACGAAAACACGGAGGAACGGAGGAGTCTCGATGTTTTGCCAGATGAACTGATCTTGAAGATATTCTCACTCCTTCCGATGTTTGATGAGAGCCTTGCAACAAGTTTCATATCAAAACGGTGGGAAGATTCTCAGAAAGCACTGGTCCCTGATGTCACGCTTGATGATGAGAGGTTGGTGCTTTTAACGAGTTTTGTTTATCCATCTCTGTTGTCCAACGATCCTCAAGCCCTAGAAAGATTGCATCTCAAGCTTTCTCGAAAATATTCGGCTTCAGACTTCAATTTCTTGGTTCAAGTCGCTGTTAATAGATCCCTGAGAAAGCTGGTCATCGACTTGTGTAGAGGAACCCTAGAACTGCCGATTTGCCTGAGCACTTGCACAACCCTAAAATCGTTGATACTCAGTGAAGTAAGTATCAATGTTATCCCGCGTGGGTTTTGTATGCCATCGCTCAAAAGTCTGCACCTTTTCGTGGTTACGTTCTCAGGGAACGAATCTGTTGCAACCCTTTTGCGAACTTGCCCGGATCTTGAATATTTGGTTCTAAACCAAACCACGGTCGATTCGACTTGGGTTCGTTCTTCATCGCTCAAAAGAGTGCTCTTTTTATCTGTTGGACAGTGGGAGGAATCTAATATAACTAGTCTTTTACGGATTTGCCCGGTTCTTGAATATATGGTTGTAGACCAAACCAAATGCTACAATTCGATCTTCAGGGTTGCTCCGTCTACGCTTTTGTTGAAATCACTCAAAAGTCTGCACCTTTTCTCGGTGAGATTCTACAGCGGTGAATCTGTTGAACGACTTTTAGGAAGTTGCAAGGCTCTTGAAGATTTGGTTATAATACGAGCAACATATAAGGATGTGAAGATATTCAATATCAACGTGCCTACTTTGAAGAGCTTGTCTATTGAAAACTCAAGAGGGAAACGCGCCTACGTTAAGGAGAGTCATGGGTTTGTGATAAAGGCTCCTGCTTTGGAGACACTGAACTTTAAGGACACGTCCAGTAACTTTCTAATATTTGAATACATGCCTGAGGTGACCAAGGCGAGTATTGAGGCTATTTGCGACCAGTCTGAGAAGTTCATAGGTTCTCTTACCTCAGTTCAACATCTTTCTCTCTGTTGTGTAACCTCGGTATCAGAGGTAAATAAACAGTTTCTTACTCCAACAACAATGTCAATATTAATTTCTAGCTCATTTTATGTTTTTGTTATTCTCATTATACACTAAATAATTAATTCAATTGCATGCAGACTCCATATCCGAAAGGCAGTTTCTTCTTTTTCCTTGAACATCTGGAGCTATGTACATGTTCTGCGGGATGGGCGAATCTACTTGCTTGTATACTCAATGATGCTCCAAGACTTCAATCTCTCAAGCTTAAGTCGGTATGTAAAACGCAACTCTTTTTATTTTCATATTTGTGTTTCCGTTTTTTGTTGTTGTTTTGAACGAATAACATGTAACGTTTGGTTCTGTTTTTTCGTCTCAGAAACATAGTGGTGTCCATTACAAATATCCGATGAAGCTCTGGATCGAACCAACAGTTGTTCCCGAATGTTTATCGAAGCATCTTGAGAACTTGGAATGGAGAGAATATGAAGGCACAGAGGAAGAGAGGAAAGTGGCTGCGTACATACTAGCAAACGCTACTTGTCTACACACGGTGACATTCTCAGGATGTAGAGGCAACTATACGGAGTTGAAGGAAATGCAGAGAGCTTCAGAGACATGTCAGTTTGTGTTTGAGTAAACTCTTTTGTCTCTAGGAGACAGAGATGTCTAAAGATGGCAACATTCTCAACAAGATGTAGAAACAGATATCAACAAACGTGCTCAGGAAGTTAAAGAAACTGCAGAGAGTTTCAGAGATATGTCAATTAGTGTTAAACTCTTGATCGTGATGGTTTTCTTCTTCCTTTTTTTCATGAACTTTAATTTTGGTATTTGTTTGTTTTTTTCGAATCTCAGGATCCTCTTTAGTTTGTGTTAACAGAGTATTAATCTACATATCATTTCAAGAAGATAATCAGAACAAAAAAGAATTCGTAAAAATAAATTGAAACTAAATACAGGGGACTTCTCCGAAAACTAGTAAATACTAAATATGAAATGCTTTCTTTCTTCTTTGTGTAAATACTGTTATCATAATTTTATTGACAAATAAATAATAATTTGACTTTTATATTAATAAATACTTTTGAATGTGTCTTAGGAGTATATGGAGTATGGACACATGAGTGTCAATGACTCATCTCCACCACATGTTATTCTCCTTGGATGGGATCTCTCAAGTCAAGACTTCATTATATTTTTATTATTATCCTTTGATTTGGCCGTTATGAAACGTCATAAGTTTGGAGGAACTTTTTTTTTATAAATTGACTTGGTCTATTAAAGTAGAATAGAATTGAATAATAAAATCTCATTCAATTTTGATGATCAAGTAATAATATTCTTAGAGACACATTACACATCATGTATCTTATCATATCCTATCATATCATATATCAAATGCAGAAGAAGAGAAGCGGACTTGCTTATCTTAGGTAGTTAACAGGTGGTTCCAAATTCCCAACAAGTATCCCGAGATCAATGTCCTTGTCCTCAAACTTTTTAATAAATGGATGACTCTGCGAACATGAACAAAATTCGGATGTTTCATCAACGATCCTAAAGAATGTTATACATAGAGTAAAGAGTGGTGAGTAAGAATCACTTACCAAGAGATCTAGAGATGATGATCTCGCTGGAGGATCCTTTTGTAAGCTGTTGTTTAATGTAAACAAGAACCATGTGACCATTAACATTAAATTCTTTGTGTGCATCTACGCAAAAATAAAATATGAAGATGCAAGAGTAATTGAGTTACCAGGATGATACAAAGGAGCAGAATTCAGGTGAGAATTGATCAGAAGGAGCAGTAGGTGGTGGACTCTCTACGATTGCTGCCAAGAGTTCATAAAAGCTAGGCGGATTTAGCTGATCTTCAGATTCTAAGTATGGGAATCTTCCTATAGCACATTCCAATACTGACATGCCCAAACTCCATATGTCGCTGCTGTAGTCGTATGTGCTTCCACTGATCCTCTCAGGCTGTGAAGTGAAGAAGGAAGAAAAGGGACATGATTATGTACATTTTCACAATACCAGATCTTCAGGAGCTTTGTGTAAAAAGTGTTATGATTTTGAAAATGCTTTCCGTACCGACATGTAGTTGTAGGTTCCAACAAATGTGTCCCTCTGTCCCATGGAGCTAGCAAGACTTGCACTGACACCAAAATCTGAGATTTTCACTTCTCCTTTATGGTTCACAAGAAGGTTTGATGGTTTAATGTCTCTGTGTATGACGTGTCTTTCGTTGTGCAGATACACAAGGCCAAGCAAGACCTGTTAACAAGTGGGAAAAAAAGTAAGTATGAGTGATAAAATCATGAGAATGCTTTGGATCATTTGGTGGGGGTATAGGGAAGCTCAATGGACCTGTTTACAGACAACAGCAAGGTAAGGTTCAAGAATAGTCTTCACTTGTCTTATCACATCAGCAAGAGATCCACGGTCCATGTATTCGAGCACAAGGGAAAAGGCTCCGTTGTGATAGAAAGAGTGGTAGCAGACAACTACATGTGGACACTGTGATGATGCTTGGTTTATCTTGAGCTCCTGGACTATTTGCTTGCGGATTTCTTCTTGTATGTTCATCTGTATGACCTGTGTGATTCATCAAATAAACAAACTCAAACCCCAAATGCTCAAGTCCTGTGTTTCATTCACAGGGATTACAGAGTAAATAATGAATTCCATTTGAATCATTAAGTGTAACTAGGCAAGAAAATCTCCTTCGAAATAGTTGATTAAACTATCAAAAGAGCAAAACTTTTCTGAGAAGAAGCTACACAAAGTTATAACAAGAAACAGGTTAACGAGAAGCAAACAAGTTTTCTTTCTTGTGTTGAAAATCAAAAAGTTACCTTCATAGCAAATAATTTGCCAACCCATTTATGCCGAACTAATTGTACGACTCCACCGCTGCCTTTTCCGATGACTTTCACTGTCTCTAAGTCTTCAGCAGTAATTTCGAAATCAAGCTCTTTGCTATCAGATGGCTATCATTGAAGACAAACCACACACACACACACACAAGAAATTGCCTTAATTACTTCTTCTCTAGAACAATTAAGATGATTAGGGTTTTAGGTCAGTGAAGTTTACCCTTGATTGCTTCTCATCTGACGTCAGCCTTAGCCCCTTCTGGTTCAGCAGAAAATCTCCATCGTGAAACGTTCCACTTGCAGTCCTGTAGGCATTGACCAATTACCCAAATCGAGACGATTAAGTTCTTACTTTTGAGATTTTAGTCGAATTAGAATAACATTCAATCGATTTCTCAGATGAAAGACTCATTCAAATCCAGAAAATGGCTCAAATGGTTTGATTTTAACTTGCAATCCCACGAATCAAAACAGATCGCAGTACAATCAGAAATTCGAAATCCCAAATACAAATCGATCTGATTTTATTTATAGCACCATAAGATGTACGATTTCTATTCGTTTCGAAAGCCAGAGAGAAAAGGAGAAACGCGAAACTTACAGGAAGGAAGAGATTGGGGTCTCTTGAGCTGGAACAGAGAGCTTAAGCTGTTTCAAGTTCGATTTGATCTTCATCTCCTCTTTTTTCTTCTTTTCGCACGGTCTTGGGATTATCGCTCTCCTTAGGGTTTCTAAATAAGCAACTTCAAGAAAGAGAGAGAAAGTGTGAAGTGGAGAGAAGACGACGGTTCTTCGTGTTAACGGAAATAATTTTGAACGCGAGAGACCGGGAAAGATAAAAAAATATATAATTAAGAAGGAAGAAACATAAATGGGCGGTAAAATTAGCCCAGTAATATGTAAATGGGCCCTAAATATCGGTTATCTTAATTGATTTATCGAATCCATCGGTTATCTTAATTGAGAGCTTGGAGAGCTTCTGCTTCTGACTTATTATGAGTTTGAGTTTGAGTTTGAGAGTTTCCATTGCAAAGCTTTCGAGCTTCGAGAGGGAAACCATGTCGCATTCTTCTGTGCCTCGCCAGAAACTGATGAGAAGGTGTCGGCAGAAGAAAGAAGAAGAAGAACCCCTTGGAGGAGATATGGAGGATCTCTTTAGCGAAAAGGAAACCCAGAAAATCAGAGAGTCGCTGCTTGATTGGTACGATGATAATCAGCGAGATCTTCCATGGAGGAAGAAAAGTAGTGAAAGTGAAAAGGAGAGAAGAGCTTACGAGGTTTGGGTATCGGAGATTATGTTGCAGCAAACTAGGGTCCAGACTGTAATGGAGTATTACAAACGCTGGATGCATAAATGGCCAACAATTTATGACCTTGCTCAAGCTTCCCTTGAGGTGATTCTTTCTAATTTCAGTTTGGGATGAAACAATCTCTTTCTTGGGTTTTGGCAAATGGAAAGCAAAGGCTTAACCTTTTTGGCTCTCAAATGCTTTTTCCTATCATTAGTAGATGTAAAAGAACTTTCTATTCTTGGGTTATGTGTCTGTCATTGTTTTGAAAAATTGTCTCCTTTGTAGAGAGTGTCCGTGTTTTTTCAATCTTAGTGTGTGAAAAATATTGAGAACAAACTTTATGAATCTCCCATTTGAGTACTTATGTGCAGTAACTGAAATGTAGAGGCTGTATATTAGCTGAGGAAAGAGCTGTCTTCTCTTCGTAAACAGTGTCTGTGTTCTCACTTCTCAATCTTACTATGTGGGAATTGAGAACAAACCTCACAAATGTCCCATTTGAATACCTATGGGGGTTGTGTTTTTCTGGTAAAGAAGGTGTTAGAGAATCCTGTTTGATGTGCAATTACTAGGAAGTAAAGACCTAATCTTTTTCAGTTTTCTCTGCATATTCTATTAGTCGTCAGGAGTATGAGACCAAAAAATGATCAACAAAATTGAATTTTTTCGTGCTGCAGGAGGTAAACGAAATGTGGGCAGGTTTGGGGTACTATCGGCGAGCACGTTTTCTTTTAGAGGTGAATACACTTTCTGAAATCTAAGGTTTGAAACTAGTAGACACTTTCATCAAATATCGTAGCAATGCTTTCTTTCTTGTCTTGAGTCTCGTAGGGAGCGAAGATGGTTGTTGCAGGGAAGGAAGGATTTCCTAATCAAGCGTCTAGCTTGATGAAAGTTAAAGGAATAGGAGAGTACACAGCAGGAGCAATTGCCTCAATTGCTTTCAATGAAGTGAGTCAGTTTTATTTACTTAATACATTTAAGTAATCTTCACTTCTTTTGACACTTATTATGTTTCAGGCAGTACCTGTTGTGGATGGAAACGTGATAAGAGTGCTTGCCAGACTAAAGGCCATCTCAGCTAATCCCAAAGACCGGCTTACCATCAAGAATTTCTGGTGAAAAGACACTTTTGAAATCGCTCGAATGTCTCGCTATTGAGTACAATAACATGAGAGTAGATGAACATATAGTGTTTATATCTTTGTCAGGAAACTTGCTGCACAGCTTGTGGATCCTTTGCGTCCTGGAGATTTCAACCAGTCTCTGATGGAGCTTGGTGCGACTCTATGCTCTGTATCAAAGCCAAGTTGCTCTACTTGTCCTGTTTCAAGCCAATGCCGTGCATATTCGGAAAACAGAACCATTCCCGTGACAGATTATCCTACAAAAGTGGTCAAGGCCAAGCCAAGGCATGACTTTTGTTGCGTATGTGTACTGGAAATTCTCAATCATGAGAAGAACCAACGAGGAGGTAGATTTGTGCTTGTAAAGAGACCTGAAGGCGGTCTTCTTGCTGGTCTTTGGGAGTTTCCATCTGTTATATTGAACGAGGAAGCTAATTTGGAGACAAGGAGGAACGCTATGGACCTCTACCTTAAGGAAGAATTTCATGTCGAACCGAAGGAAACATGTGCTATAGTTTCAAGAAAAGAGCTTGGAGAATTCGTCCACATCTTCACACACATACGTCGAAAAATTTATGTGGAGCTATTAGTTTTACAACTTACAGGTTTGACCCGTAACTATCTCTTTCTTTCGCAGACATGGACGTTATTTATAGACAGAAGTACTTTCTTCTCTGTGTCTTATACAAGGTGGAACAGATGATCTGTTCAAAGGTCAGGCGAAGGACGCCCTGACATGGAAGTGTGTGGACAGTGATGTACTTTCTACCATGGGACTGACATCAGCTGTTAGAAAGGTACGCCCTTTTCCTTTAAAGGTCACATAAAAAGGAACAAATTTTGAAACTATTGGTGATTGTTGAGAAGGGCAGTGAGTTTCGTCATATGTCCTTACTTCTTAGGGTGATTTATGGTTGTTCGATTTGAGAACTCCATGGTTAAAAGTAAGTAAATGTTGATGGAGTGCAGGTATATTTAATGGTTGAAGCACACAAGAAAGGATTATCTGTTGCTGCTCCTGTCTCATCGAATATAACAGCCACGTCGAGGAAACGAAGAAGCACATGATCTCCTTCTTCTTACCCTTGTCTATATGTATTGTCTAGCATTTGGATATGAAAGTCTTGTTTAGTTTTTAGTCTTTTGACCAGAACACTTGTGATCTTGGTTTGAGAATGAACAATTAGTTTCTACTGAGTAAATTCATTGGATCCCTCCAGAGGATTGGTTATGTAGCAAAATTTATTTGCTTGCGGATTTCTTCTTGTATGTTCATCTGTATGACTTGTGATTCATATAATGGCGAAGATGAGCTTAAGCTGTTTCAAGTTCGATTTGATCTTCATCTCCTCTTTTTCTTCTTTTCGCACGATCTTGGAATTATCGCTCTCCTTTAGGATGTCTAAATAAGCAACTTCGAGAAAGAGAGAGAAGTGTGAAGTGGAGAGAAGAAGACGGTTCTTCGTGTTAACGGACTAATATTTTTGAACGCGAGAGACCGGGAAAAACAAAAGTTACATAATTAAGAAGATATACAAATGGGCTATTAATTTAGCCCAGTAAGATTTAAATGGGCCTCTGAGAGACGGTACCAGGTGAAATGTTGGTTCGAAACAATCCATCGTATGTTAATGAAATCAGCTGAGTAAAAGAGAAGCGTAATTGGTTTATTTGATTTTGGCATCAAAAGAAAAGTTGATAATTTTAAATTTTAGATATTAATATTCATTGCTAAGAAAGCCTAAGATAAGCACACATTTATGATCGAAGTTATGATTTTAGCTAGAGCGTATCCGGAAGCTCACAAAAATTAAATTTTATGGGACCGGTTTTGTTTTGTTTTTTTATTTTTGGGCTCATATGGGACCGGTTTTACTTTATACTGGGGTACTTTTTGAGAATACACAAATAGTGGGACGAGAAAGTAAAAGCTGGAATACTCTCAAAGCTAAGCGGAATCGAGACAATATCATCAAATCGAATTTATTATGCAGCCTGAGGCCCGGTTCGTTTCCGACCAGTGTTCAACTTCTGACAAGAAAAAAACAACAATATAGAAAGAAAAAAAACTAAACTAGTTTCCCACTCTCGGCGGAGAGAGAGAGAACTTTTTTTTTACAGAGAGAGAAAAAGCTTCAAACTCTTTTCGCAGAGGAGAGAAGGAGCTCGAAGAAGAAGAAGATAGTGCAGTTATCATCAATGGCGAGAGGTTTCAAGCTCATCTTTGCCATTTCTCTCCTGCTTCTGCTTCTGGGTTTGCCTCTCTCTCTCTTATCTCTCTCTCATATTCACTAGACGATTAAAGCAAATGATTTTTGCACTTCGAGGAGCTTTCTGAGACTCTGTTCTGCTAAATATTTCATTAGTTTCTAGTTTCGATTCATATTCAATAGAAATTCGATACATTTCATAACTATCTCGTAATCTACTGTAGAGCTTGAGCTTCTGTACAATTGCAGTTCTTGGAACCCTTACGCATCTGTGATTTTCAAATCGAATCCCAGAGGACAAATTTGGTCGGAAAAAAACAATTGATTCTGCCTTCTTTTTTTTTGCAGACTGTTGCCACGGTGGCAAGGTCGGAGTTTGTTACGGAAGAAGCGCCGACGATCTTCCGACGCCGGAAAAAGTCGTTCAACTGATTAAACAGCATAACATCCAATACGTTCGTATCTACGATTACAATCCACAAGTCCTCAAGGCATTCGGAAACACGAGCATCGAGCTCATGATCGGAGTTCCAAACTCCGACCTCAACGCTTTCTCTCAGTTCCAGTCAAACGTAGACACGTGGCTAAAGAACAGCGTCTTGCCCTACTATCCAACGACCAAGATCACTTACATAACCGTCGGAGCCGAATCCACCGACGACCCACACATCAACGCTTCGTCTTTCGTCGTCCCCGCGATGCAGAACGTCTTAACCGCTCTGCGAAAAGTCGGCCTGAGCAGAAGAATCAAGGTCTCGACCACTCTCTCCCTCGGTGTACTCTCAAGATCTTTCCCTCCTTCCGCTGGAGCATTCAACAGCAGCTACGCCTACTTCTTGAGGCCAATGCTCGAGTTCCTCGCGGAGCATCAGTCTCCTTTCATGATCGATCTTTATCCTTACTACGCTTACAGAGATTCCCCGAACAATGTGTCTTTGGACTATGTCTTGTTCGAGTCTTCCTCTGAAGTGATCGATCCCAACACGGGTTTGCTCTACAAGAACATGTTCGATGCTCAAGTAGACGCTCTCTATTACGCACTCACGGCTTTAAACTTCAGGACGATCAAGATCATGGTTACAGAGACCGGATGGCCAACGAAAGGCTCCCCAAAGGAGAAAGCTGCTGCGTCACCTGACAACGCGGAGACATACAACACGAACGTAATCCGCCACACGGTTACAAACCAAGGCACGCCTGCGAAGCCAGGAGAGTCGATGAATGTTTATATATTCTCTTTGTTCAACGAGAACCGGAAAACCGGTTTAGAGTCGGAGAGAAACTGGGGGTTGTTCTATCCTGACCAGACAAGCGTTTATCAGCTGGATTTCACGGGGAAGAACAGCCTGTTTAGGTCGAATTCGAGCGGTACGAACTCGAGTGGGAGTGGTAGTAATAGCTGGTGCATTGCTTCTTCTAAAGCTTCGGAGAGAGATCTGAAAGGTGCTTTGGATTGGGCTTGTGGTCCTGGGAATGTTGATTGCACCGCTATTCAACCGAGCCAGCCTTGTTTCCAGCCGGATACTTTGGTCTCTCATGCTTCTTTCGTGTTCAATAGTTATTTCCAGCAGAACAGAGCAACGGATGTAGCTTGTAGCTTTGGAGGAGCTGGTGTTAAGGTCAACAAGGACCCTAGTAAGTAAAACAAAAAATCTCTCCAGGTTTTGGCTTCTGCAAAATCACAAATCAACAGTCTTTTTTGGTTTTGACCTTAATTTGATTCAATGTTGTTACAGGTTATGACAAATGCATATACATATCGGCAGGCGGGTCTGTCATAAAGACATCAACTTTGTCTCAGATTTTCAGACTGAAGAAACAGTACATACATATTCTTACTGATTTGTTGAAAACTTCTGCAGGAACAAAACCAAGGCGACGAATGCAACTGCGTTGAATTCCTCCGCTTCAACTTCACGTGGAAATGAACTTCCCAGATGGATTTTGAGACTGTGTCTCGTGATCCCGTTGTTGTTCGGTTTGCAAACTCTGAATTCACAAGCATTGTAACCCAAAATCTGAAAGAAAATTGAGTCAGTGTGTGTTTTAGCAAGAATGTAGCAATAGCAAGTAAAATTTGTTCCTGAGCGGTTTGGTCATGAAACTGTGACCGTCTTTAAGATTTTGGTCGTTCTTCCTGCAGTGGAATTGATGTACAGACATTAATTGTGTCCATAGATCCTTGTGATCTGAATCTGTACTCACTGTAGTTCAAAAAGTTTCAATCTGTATAACCATTCATCAACAATTAGAAAAAGATATGGTACCACACTGCCCATTCATTAAATAATTTCAACTCGACACAAATGAAGACAATACCGTACTGTTTTATAATCATACAACCCCCAAGATACCATCGCATGGTAGGTAAATAGTAATACACACTCGGACAATTGAATGGTTTGGTCACACTCGATACATAAATAGTTTTTTTTCTCTCACGACACAACTAGAAGATCACATGAGCGACAAGAATACAGTAGCAGCTTGGGGTTTCAGAGCCCCGATTCAATCAGGTAGTCACCGAGCCTCTCCACAACCGTGTTGCACTGCCCAGGAGCCATTGGTTCATCATAAATCCCAAAGACCAAAGCTTGGTTCGTCTTCTTGATGGTTACACCACCAGCTCCCTACAAATGAAAACAATTGGTTCATAAAAACAAGTATCATGGAAACACAAAGGTTTCATCTAAACCAGAGATCAATAAACACAGCCAAGTTACCTTCTTTCCTCGAATGACAGCATTTGCCTCTCCTTGGATCACCATGTACTTTGTGCCACCGATGAACAATCCCGTAGGGGCAAGTGTTCCTGGTTCAATAAAATCGTTGTTGATGCCTTCGATTTCCTCAGGCTTCAACTAAACAAAACCACCAATACTGAAACGGTAAGAGAAACGTAGACACGAGGGACAAGGCAAATGCTGAAAATCACATTTTTCGAAACAGCATTTCTTATACAACTATATATATATATATATATATATAAGTGAAATCTAACTCTGGAAGAACCACAAAAACCCACGAGCATGTGAATCAGGAAACCAAGCTCGCTCCACCACAAAGAACTACTCCATTTCCAAAGTCACATCATTTCTGATTAAAAAAGATTTAAACTTGTGAATCGCACTTCTTCTACAGCAGCATCTATGAAAACCCTACAGATATCACTAAACGAATGCATGAGCTAATATTATCAGATATTTCTAGATATTCCATCAACAGATCCAATTCAAAATTCGACTAGGGAAGGCGATTAAGGGGGGAGAACTAAATTGATCACGAAAACGTATTAAACATAAACCCCCAAAAAGGGTTGCAGGTTTCAACAACAAAGTCCCGCCGAAGCAAACGCGCACAGCCAATAAGAATCAGCTCTGGCTGAAGAAACAAACCCTAACCTGAGGAAAATTCGCGCTCTGAGCCCAGACGCTACCGTCTTGGCCGAGAATTGCGGCGGCGGTGAGGCGGTTTCCTTCAACGTCGCACATCAAGTGATCGTCAACGTAAGTCTGCCACGACATCTTCGTCTTCTTCCTCTTTCTGCCTCGGCTCTGCTTCTTCTGTGGTTAATCGGAATGTTCTAGTCTTCTAGAGATAGTACGAGTGTGTGGTGGCATTTAGGCAAATATAGATTTATACATATAGACACGTGCCAGTATATAAACTTAGGAAATATAATTATTTTTATTTTTTTTAAACTAAAATTATAATTACAATAATTACTATTATTAAAAAGAAAAAGGAATACATTATATATAAAAAATCATATGTGTCACTTACAAAAAGGAAAATTTAAAATAAAAGTAAATACTAATTTTAGAAAAAAAAATAAACTATTATTCAAATCTTTATAAACACAGAAAATCTTTTATAATTTTATTACATTGATTTTTCTCAAATTCTAATCAATTGGATGATATGAAGAATTGATACAGCAACATAAAACAATCTGAACTAGGGAAGCAGAATGAAAAAATATATCAATTTCGCTTTTATATTATTTTATTAAATGAGATTTTTGATGAAAATTTGTTAGAAAAAAATTATATTTATAAAAAATATAAAAGTAGACACAAAATGAAAGAGAACTCTAATTTTTTTAATCAATTCTATTATAAGTAGTTTTTCAAAAGTATTATTAATCTTTTTTTTATGTTCAGAGTGATCCAATTTTGTTTTATATATTTTTTTAGTTTTTTTAACGAAATATGTATTAGTTAATTATAAACAAATGTATATAGAAATCAAAGTTTAAGTTAAAAATAATTGAATTGTATATAAGTCAATTAATTAAATTTTACCACATCTAATAAATATTCAAAATTTAAAAGTAAAATAGGAATAAAAAAATAAATATAGTCAAAGCTAATTTTGTTTTTCAATTTACCTTATACGAGTTTTAAAACAGTTTTTAAATTTGCCTATACGCGGATCTTAATCTTGTTTTTACATAAAATTATATTAAGATTTGGGTATACTGAATATAGATTTGAAAACTCTTTTAAAATTTATAAAAAATGATCATATCTTATTATATAAATTTAAATGCGTCAAAGTTAGTAATTCACATAGTGGCGATACATATTAATTTAAATCAATAAAATTTTAACATGTGTTACGAATTAAATAAAAATAAAAAGTGACATACTCCGATTAAAAATAAAACTAGATAAATAAACAATATTCTAAATAAAAATGATTACAATGTGAGTAAATCATTAATATTTTGAATTATAGTAAACATTTCTCTTTTTTAATTAATTAATTTTTTATTTAGTAAAATTTTAATCATGATGTACATCAGAATCTGAATTAAATGACTCGACAACAATCATGTAAATTACTAATGTTAATGTATCTAACTTTATATAATAAAATGATTATTCGATAAATATTACAAAAACTTTGTAATTGTTCGGAAGCAAATTTTAAGATGCTTACGTGAGATATATGACCGCAGGAGCATACGGCTTAGTCGGTAAAAACATCACCTGCACGAAAACAGTACTCTAGAGAGTTGATGGTAGGCGTAATGGAAGGGTATCAATGCTTTAGCAAGACCATTATTTCGCCTTAAAATTTATCGTGGTTAAAATTGGTCTAACAATAATATTTTTTTTAATTTTATTAATGTTTATATTATCTAAATGACCATGACAATCTTCCTATATAAAACTAACGAATTATGAATCACTTATAAACTTATATAGTTTTATTTATAAATATTATTTTTATCAATCCAACATATTTAGAAAACTTAATATATTATTTATATCATCTTTATTATTTTTACTATTTAACTATTAATTATTTCATTAATCTTTCACTTTTTATTTTTTGTTTTTTCTATTTGTCATCAGGAACTATATTTTAACTGCTTCCTTCTTCTACTTGTTTTGTAGAATCTGTATTTGAACTGCTTCCTTCATCTACTATCGCATCATATTTGTTGTCACTATTTAAAATTTCAAAATAAAACTTAGCAACTATAAAATTCTCACTGTTATATAGCTATATATTTTTGTATACAATTATAGGATCATGTAAATTATAGTGATATCAACCAATATATTTTATAATTTAGATCAATGCAAACTGATATGTTATTAACTTAATTATGAGATATACAAAAATTAATCAAGATAAAGAAAATATTAGTTATATTAATTTATTAATAAAATGAATAGTTGAAAAGTGATAACTTTTAACAAAAAAAAACTCACCCCATCGAAAAAATAAATTTACTACCATTCCAATATAATTTGATGATATCGTCTTTCTTAAGACGTCTTGCATTTCTAAGTTTTGTCCACCCATTTTTGAGTCGATAACTAGTACCTTTATGAATAAGGGTTACCCAATAAGAATTGTTGTTATCTTTAATTTCTACTTGAATACCATTTCAAGGCATTGTGATATTTGTCTTTTTTAGTAAGGGTTATTGGTTCTTGTATTTTGGTAGATTTATAAATCTTTTTTGGATTTGATAAATTTATTGATTTCAAAATCAGCAAAATGGAAAAAAATCAAATCTACTCAAATACCAAGGTTAGACCTTGTATTTGGGTCTTTGTATTTTAGTCATGAAAATCTTTCCAAATCCATTCAAATTCAATTAAAACTAAAATCCTTATAATACTTAGATTCTAAAATGATAGAACCAATAACATTGTATTTCATTATGCATTTTAAAATCATAGAACCAATAACACTATATTTCAATATAAATTTTAAAATACAAGAACCAATAACACTGAATTTGGTTTGGATTCTCAAATCCATTAAAATACAAAAACCAATAACACCTCCTTAATATATGCTCGACATTCGTTTTTAGTAACATCAAAAATCCTTAACCAGACACATCAGTGTCTGTTAATGCTTTTTCTATCATCATACTTCGATCCATTGGACTAAACTTTCAATTGTTTGAAAGATATAATTAAAAATGTTTTCTTTTAAAAACAAAATTTGAGGAGTTTGAAAAGTTTAACAAATATATATATTTCTGGACCAAAATAGAGTTAAATTTATTTTAACAGTATTAATGCTCTTAAAAATAATTCTCTAAATTTAGTTACTTGTAAAGATTTTTTTTTCTAAGTAAGCATATGTTACTTTTCTAAACTTCAATGATTTATTCTTATGCTAAATTGTATTTATACCAACCTTGTTTTTTTTTGTTCTTAAAAAATCTTCTCATACATACAAGCTAAGTTTATTACAATAGCTAACAAAACATAAATCTATTAATATCAATTTCAGACACTATAATTTGCGTATTTGGTACCTATATTGTTGGCATCTCTATTTAAGTGTCATAATGACTCCATTATTTTCAACGTTTATTTTTTAATTATAAAATGCAATTAATAACAAAAATTCCAGTTATTAATAATACATAATGTGGTTTTTATAAGTAGTTGTTTATGAAAATTAAAAAGTGACAGCAAAAACTAATTTATATACAATAAATACATTAATGTTGTTTAAAAGGTATATTTATTACTAAATATGGGAAATTATCTATCATAATAATTTAATAATGATTTGATTATATTTATAGTTTATTGGCAAATGATCATTAATCAGCAAAATCTTTGTTGATGCCTTCGATTTCCTCAGGCTTCAACTAAACAAAACCACCAATACTGAAACGGTAAGAGAAACGTAGACACGAGGGACAGGGCAAATGCTGAAAATCACATTTTTCGAAACAGCATTTCTTATACAACTATAACTATAAATATTAGTAAAATCTAACTCTGGAAGCACCACAAAACCCATGAGCATGTGAATCAGGAAACCAAGCTCGCTCAACCACAAAGAACTACTCCATTTCCAAAGTCACATCATTTCTGAATCGCACTTCTTCTACAGCAGCATCTATGAAAACTCTATAGATATCAACTAAACAAATGCATGAGCTAATATTATCAGATATTTCTAGATATTCCATCAACAGATCCAATTCAAAATTCGACTAGGGAAGGCGATTAAGGGGGGAGAACTAAATTGATCACGAAAACGTATAAAACATAAACCCCCAAAAAGGGTTGCAGGTTTCAACAACAAAGTCCCGCCGAAGCAAACGCGCATAGCCAATAAGAATCAGCTCTGGCTAAAGAAACAAACCCTAACCTGAGGAAAATTCGCGCTCTGAGCCCAGACGCTACTGTCCTATATTGTGGACATCTCTATTTAAAGTGTCATAATGACTCTATTATTTTCAACGTTTGTTTTTGAATTATAAAACACAATTAATAACAAGAATTATAGTTTTTAATACATTATGTGGTTTTTATAAGTATTTGTTTATGAGAATTAAAAAGTGACAACAAAAACTAATTTATCGACAATAAGTTTAAAAAATAGATTAATTACTAAATATGCGAAATTATCCATATCATAAAAATTTAATAATAAATTGATAATATTTAAATATATTGGCAAATGGTCGTTTATACAAATAAAAGTCAACCAAATGACCATTAATTGTGGACTATTGAATGGTTTGGTCACATTTGATAGATATACAGTTTTTATTTTCTCTCACGACACAACTAGAAGATCACATGAGCAACAAGAATACAATAGCAGTTTGGGGTTTCAGAGCCCCGATTCAATCAGGTAGTCACCAAGCCTCTCGACAACCGTATTGCACTGCCCAGTACCCATGAGCCATTATTTCATCATAGATATCAAAGACCAAGATTACACCACCAGCTCCCTATAAATGAAAACAATTGGTTCATAAAAATAAGTATATAGTAGGGAAACACAAAGCTTCATCAGACAACAATTAAGCAGCCAAATTGCCTTCTTTCCTCGAATGACAGGATTTGCCTCTCCTTGGATCATCATGTACTTTGTGCCACCGATGAACAGTCCCGTCCGGGCAAGTGTTCCAGGTTCAGCAAAATATTTGTTGATGCCTTCGATTTCCTCGAGCTTCAACTAAACAAAACCAATCTAATTACATCATACATCACTATAGGCAAATCAAGTTCCGCAAGTATTGTAAATTTAATATGAAGTCTACCATCTATTGACGAAAAATAATAAGTCTACCGTTAAACGCATCACTTACATGGCAAGCGAGAAGTAATATCACAATTGTAAATGTCGTTTTTGTCAACAAAGGTTTTAAGTCAAAATAGATATGATAGGTTAGTTGGATAAAAAAAGTTTTAGTTCTTTCTAACTATAAACTCATCTTCCAAGACTAGTAAAGTAATCCTCTCATTATTATCTAAAATAACCATGGCAATCTTACTATATAAAACTAACGAATATGAAATACTTATAAAATTATATAGTTTTATTAGTTTTTATTAATCCAACATATTTAGAAAACTTAATATATTATTCATATCACATTTATTACTTTTACTATTTAATTATTAATTATTTCATTAATCTTTCACTTTTTTGTTTTTTGTTTTTTCTTTTTGTTATCAGGAACTGTATTTGAACTGTTTCCTTCATTTACTTGTTTCGTAGGAACTGTACTTGAACCACTTTCTTCATTTATTTGTTTTGTAGGAACTGTACTTGAACTGCTTCCTTCATCTATTTCTATCGCATCAGATCTGTTGTCATCATTTAAAATTTTCAGGATAAAACTTAGCACTTATAAAATTCTATGTATTATATAGCTATATATTTTTGTATATATTTATAGATCATGTAAATTATAGTAATATCAATCAATATATTTTATAATTTAGATCAATGCAAACTGATATGTTATTAATTTAATTATGATACATAAAAAATCATCAAAATAAAGAAAATATTAGTTATATTGATTTATTAATAAAATGAATAATTGATAAGAGATAACTTATAGCAAATAAATAAAAAATAAAAACTCACCCCATCGAAAAAATATATTTACAACCATCCCAATATAATTTGATGATATCTTCTTTCTTAAGACCTCTTGCAACTTTGAGTTTTGTCCATCCATTTCTGAGTTGATAAGTACCATTTTGATGAATAAAAAAGTTTACCCAATAAGAATTGTTATTATCTTTAATTTCCACTTGAATACCATTTCGAGGCATTGTAATATTTGTCCTTTTTAATATGTGCTCGGCTTTCATTTTTGGTAACAGCAATACACCTTTACTACACACATCAGTATCTGTTAATCTTTTTTCTATCATCATATCTCGATCCATTGGACTAAACTTTCAACTGTTTGAAAAATATAATTAAGAATGTTTTAAAAACTCAAAAAAAATTATGGAGTTTGAAGAGTTTAATAAATATAAATATATATATATATATTTCTGGACCAAATAATGTTTTGTCTTTAAATATATTTAAACATTATTAATGCTCTTGAAAATAATTCTCTAAATTTAGTTACATGTAAAAATATTTTTTCTAAGTAAGCATATGTTACTTTTCTAAACTTTACAACTTTATAAGTTAAATTAATTATTTATTCTTATTATGGTAAATTGTATTTATATCAACCTTGTTTTTTTGTCTTAAAAAATCTTCCTATCTATATAAGCTAATATTACAATAGCTAAGAAACATAAAATCTATTAATATCATTTTCAAACACTAGACTTTGAATATTTGGTATCTATATTGTTGACATCTCTAGTTAAGTGTCATAATGACTCTATTATTTTCAACGTTTATTTTTGAATTATAAAACACAATCAATAACAAGAATTCTAGTTAGTAATACAAAATATGGGTTTTATAAGTATTTGTTTATGAAAATTTAAAAGTGACAAGAAAACTAATTATCTACATTAAATACAGAAATGTTGTTTAAAAATTATATTAATTACTAAATATACGAAATTAATAATGAATTTTTACAATTTATTGGAAAATGATCAATAGTGGAAATAAAAATGAACCAAATGACCATTAATTTTGGACTACTGAATAATTTGGTCACATTCGATATATAAATAGTTTTTTTCTCTCACAACACAACTAGAAGATCACATGAGCGACAAGAATACAGTAGCAGTTTGGGATGAGATAACAACAGTAAGGGCTAGTATCTCCAAGGTCGGGTATCGGAGTTCTGCGCCGTCTAAACTTTTACTAACATAGAAAACTGGTTTTTGTTCACCATGGCTTTCTCGAACAAGGATACCACTGACGGCCGATCTGGATATAGTGATATAGAGGTAGAGGGTTTTGCTGTCTTCGGGTTTGGCAAGGATTGGTGGAGTCGAAAGATAGGTCTTTAAATGTTGGAAGGCGTCTTCGCACTTGTCATCCCATAAAAAGTATTTGTTACTCCGAAGGAGTTGGTAGAACAGGAGACACTTGTCTTTAAAACGGAACATGAATCAATTAAGGGCAGTGATTCTGCTAGTTATACATTGTACTTTGCGGGTAATTCTTGGAGATGGCAAGTCGAGGATCACATAGATTTGCTTCTGGTTAGCTTTGATTCCGCGCTGAGTTACTAGGTAACCAAGAAGTCTGATGTGACTGCAAAAGTGCACTCAGCCGGGTTCAACTTCAAGTCGTATGCATTCAGGATCTGGAAACATTCTTGAAGATGCGTGATATGATCGTCGACTTTCGGGGATATTATGAGCATGATGTAAACCTCTATTGTGTGGCTGAGCTGATTGGCGGATATTTTGTTGATAAGTATCTAATAAGTGGCTCCGACATTCTTGAACCCGAAAGGCATGATCTTGTAGCAGTATGTTTCCCCGCTCTATGATGAATGAGGTTTTCCCACGGTCGCCAGAGTGCATCATGATCTGGTTGTAGCCCGAGAAGGTATCCATGAAGGACATGAGCTCGTTGTCGGCTGTTGCTTATACGAGTTGATCGATCCGGGGAAGTGGAAAGCTATCTTTGGAGCAAGCCTTATTCAGGTCGGTGAAGTCTACGCACACTCTCTATTTGCTGTTTTTCTTCTTCACCACCACGAGGTTGGTTAGTCAGTCCGGGTATTTGACCTCGGCAATAGACCCAGCCTGCAGGAGTTTATCTACTTTGTATTGGATGACTTGGGCGCGTTCTGGGCCGAGTTTGTGTCCCTTCTGTTTAATAGGCTTGAATGTGACGTCGATGATCACCTCGTGGCTTGTAATGTTTAGGCTGATCTCCGTCATGTCGGCCATGGACCATGTAAAGGTGCTGATATTCTTGTAGAGGAAGGCAATTAGTTCGTCTTGCATGCAGCTCGGTTCCAATTCCGACGCAGCGGTCTGGATTTATTGCATTGATTTTGACTTGGATGACCAGGTCGTTCTTGAGTTTCTTGTGGTGCATGAGTCGGGGGTCCAAGCTGTCAATGATGAAAGTGGAAGAGTGGCGTACGCGTTGTTTGTTCAGAATGGGCTCAATATAATTAGGGACCCTCAAGCAATTTTTTTATTTTGATTTCAATAATTATTTAAAAAAAGATACTTAAAAATATGTTTTAAAAATAGTTATCATCTCATGATTTAAATAAAAACATATCAATTTAACTATTGATAACATGTTGTTGTTTAATTACTATATAAATCTATATCTGATCACATATATACATAGATTAAAAAAAAATTGAACCCCTAATATTAGTAGATTTAGACCTGAACCCGGGGCGGTCGCCCCTTTTGTCCCTCTCACTAAGCCGCCCCTGTGTTTGGTGATGTAGCAAGATCAGAATTTTTGCTGATCGCTTCGAATAGTGATAATTCCGACTCTGCCCATGAACTTGTGGCACTGGTGGTATGGGGAGGGAATGGTGCGCATGGAACTGATCCATGACATCTTAAGAATAATATTGTGAATTACGGATTTGTTGATTACATCGAACTTTACGACCTTATGGATGCCTCCAATCTCAATAGGTAGCTTGATTGTCCTGATGGTTTTATTTATAAATACTATTTTTATTTATCTAACATATATAGAATAATTTATATATTATAGTATTTATAGTACATTTATTACTTTCACAATTTAACTATTAATTATTTTATTAATATTTTACAATTTATTTTGAATTAATTTATTTTTTGTTTATCATCAGAAACCGTACTTGAACTGCTTCGTTCATCTACTTGTTTTTGCAATAGATCTGTTGTTACTATTTAAAAATTTAAGGATAAACATTAGCAACTATAAAAAATTTGGTGTTATATACATATACTAGGTAATAACCCGTACCCTGTGCGGGATGAAATAATTATTATTTATTTAAATAAAATATAGTTTTAAAATCATAAAAAATAATAAAATATAATTAAATTTATATGAATTTTATATAATATTATATTATAATATTGACAATATATTTTTTTATGAAATATAGAGTAATTTAATTATTATATAAATTATTTTAAAAATTAAATATCATGCATAGTACATGATATAGCTCGATAGAAATACGAAGTCACCATATAGATTTTTTATATTACGTAATTGATGATATAATTCAACATTTCCACCAATATTTAAAATTTGGATATATAATATTTGTATATATATTTAATTCTTTTTAACTCTTAAATAATAATTAAATATTGTTATTTAAATAGTTTGTTACTTATCTACTATATCGAATGAATTAAAAAAAGACACAATTTTCATATTTTTAATTTAAAAAATAATAATTATATCCATAAATTATCTCTTTGTAAAAGAATAAAATAATTATTGACTCCAAAAAACTTTAATCAAAAAATATTATCTAAAATATAATAATAAAGCATAATTGAATATATGATAAATAGTAAATTGAGAGTAATGTATACATAATAAAGCAGAATATTAAATTTAACATGTAATATGGTTAGAGTTTTGATGCGTTTTTGCTCTGATTGATTATATAAAAGATAATGTGACAGATAAAATTTATTTATAATTAGCTTCTATAAAAATATTGATGTTAATCCATCTTATATATTATTTTTACTCTAAATAAATTTTAAACATTGATGACTTATTAGACAAAAGTGTTAGTATAATTTCTATTCAAAATCTTTGAATATATATATATATATATATATATCTAAATTAACAAAATAAATTTGAATTAATATATTACTTATATCTAAATTAAATTAGTGAATGCACTGTAGATTAAATTACTTATATTATTAATATATATCAAACACAATAATTTTCATTAAAATTAAAATTATTAATAAATTCTCAATTAGCTCATAATTATATTATATTAAATATTAAATACTATTCATTGTATACTAAATTTTGGAACAAGTCTAAATTATGAGCTAATTGAGAATTTAGTTTTGGAAAGAGTCAATTAAATCAAATTATAATTGTTTACTTTTACTTATAAAGATTATAATGAACTCAATTGTTAATTAATTTTTATAATGATTATAATAAACTCAAATTATAATGATTTATGTTTATTTATTAATAGTTTGAGTAATTTATATTCAATTTTTAAAATTCAAATTATAATTATATTATTTTTGTTATTTGGATGATGTGATAATTTATTTACTTTACAAAAGTAAGTTTAAATGAAAATAAGAAATTAGATTTTTGGTAGAAAATGTAATTAAAGAAATACTTAATATGATGTATTTGTGGTAAGAAATAAAACAAAGAGAATATTTTAATAAATTAAATGTTGATTTATAAAATGAAATATAACATATGTATGGACCTAAATATAGAATGGCATATCATGTAATTAGTCTAGTAATCTAAGTTTTTTAAAAAAAAAAATAGCTGAGAATGAATGTAGAATTGACACATCAGCATAATGACATCACTGTAAATACTTACAAAAATAAAGTTATTTTTTAAAAATGCTTCTCAATTAATATATAAGGGATGTTTTTCTATACAATTATATTGATCATATAAATTACAGTGATAGTAACCAATAAATTTTATAATTTAGATTATAATTATAAATTTAATAAGTGAATAATTGATGAGGAATAACAGTTTTTTAAAAAACTCACTCTATTGAAAAAATGAATTCAGTTCCATTCCAATATAATCTGATGACATCGTCTTTTTAAAAACCTCTTGCTTTTCTGATTTTTGTCTACTCATTTCTAAGTTGATAATTAGTAGTTGTATGAACAAGGTTTGTCCAATAAAAATTGTTAGTATTTTTAACTTTTACTTGAATACCATTTTGAGACATTGTAAATTCCATCTGCTCTAATATGTTTTCGACTTTCAGCTTTGCTAAATTCAACACACCATTATTAGATATATCTGACTTTGCTAATTTTTTTCTTATCATCATATTTGAATTCATTAAATTAAACTTTCATGTGTTTGAGGGATATAACTAAGAATGTTTCTAAATAATAAAATATTTGAAGAGTTTAAAGAGATTAATATATATATATATATATATATATATATATAGTTCTGGGCCGTAATAATGTTCTTTGTCTTTTATATTTATTTTAACCATATTAACGCTCTTAAAAATAATTCTCTAAATTTAATTACTTGTGAAGATATTTTTTTCTAATTTAACATATGTTACTTTTCTAAACTTTACAACTTAATAGGTTAAATTAATTATTTATTTTTATTATGCTAAATTGTATTTATATCAACCTGTTTTCTTTTTTTAAAAATTCTTCCTATATATACAAGCTAAATTTATTACAATAGTTAAGAAACATAAAATCTATTAATATCATAAAAATATTATTTCCACACACTCTAGAATTTGAGTATTTGGCACCTATGTTTTTGACATCTCTATTTAAGTGTAATAATGACTCTACAGTAAAACCTCTATAAATTAATAATGTTGGGACTTCAAAAATTTATTGATTTATAGAGTTATTAATTAATCAATAAATTAATAATTATTAATTTATCAAGAAATTAATATTTTATTAATTTATAGAGAGATATTTCAGTTTAAATTCAAAATATTTGTCAAAAAATAAAAAAAAAATGTTTTTAACAATATATAATTTATTCAGAAATGATCATATTAGTGAATTTGAAAAATAATTCAGACAATTTTTATAAACTTGAAACAATAATATTACTATTATTTACTATATTATATTATTTATATATGCTTAAATGTATAATTATTAATGTATCTAATTATTGAGATTATATTTTTACATAGGAGTTTCAAAAAAATTATTATTTTATTATCTTGTCGAAATTTGCTAATTTTTACACTGACCTGACTTGGAACCGACAAAAATTATTAATTTATAGTGATTATTAATTTATCAAATATTAATTTATAGAGGTTTTACTGTATTATTTTCGACGTTTGTTTTTGAATTATAAAACAGATGTAGATTTCTAGTTGTTAATACATAATGTGGTTTTTATAAGTATATGTTTATTAACATTGAAAAGTGAAAACAAAAACCAATTTACAATTTACATTGACGTTGTAAGTGTTAAAAATAATGGAGTCATTATTGATCCAAAAATGACAACAAAAACTAATTAACCATTTAACCAACATATTTTGTAAACAACCATATAACCAATGCTCATCTTTTTTAAAACCCACGAATCGACAAGAAGACAAGAACCGAGGAGAGAGAAAAAAAAGATTAGTATTTAGGAACCACATTACTCAGGAAAACGAGATATTTCAAACAATCGAAATTTGGCAATGATAACAAAACAAAAAAAAAAAAACTATTGTTAATATCAGTCAATTCAGAGATATTACCAAGGTCAGATTTCTATTTTTATAGGCCTCATAGATTCCTATAGGCCTTAATTAATTCAGATGGGCCTTAACATGTCATTCGTAAATGAGGTTTTATTTTGTAAATATATTCTGATGTTGAAGAACAACCTTTTGGTTGGGTGGGAATCGTTTTGAGTTTGACCAACTCCCTCTTTGAAGCAGTTTTTTTCAAAAAAATCCGGCAATGATCGATGAAACGGAGGAGGATGAACAGACGCAACGATCATCTCGAAACGACGGCGTTTCAAAGGAGAAGAAGAAGAGTAGAGGTTTGAAGGGCGATAAAGCAAAGAGAGCTCTAGTCGGAGCTGGTGGTCGGATCCTGTTTTACCCGACTCTTTTGTACAACCTCGTCCGCTTCAAACTCCAGTCTCAGTTCCGATGGTGGGATCAAATCGATGAGGTATTAGGGGTTCTGCTGTAGGTTTAAACAACGCTTTTGGTTTATACAAGTTTGAATTTTGACTGCAATGTTTGGATCCGAAAAAGGGGAAATGTGTTTTGCTTTTGATGTTTGGAGCAGCTGAATTTTTCAATTCTTCTTGCAAAGGAATTAGCTTTTCGAGCTTTGACTGTGTCTTAGGTCTAACATCAGGTCTTAGCTTCATCATTCTGGGTTTTGAATTTTCTCCTCAACCATATCTGAAACATCTTCACACAATCTAAAAGATGAGCCCTTTCTCAAATATCATCTGCTCATTTGGTTAAAAAGGGAAAATTAGTTATATTGAGTGTCATTATCACTTTTTCTAATGCAAAAAACCTTTCTTTTTTTGGTTTTCTTCTCAGTATCTTCTGATGGGAGCGGTTCCATTTCGTAAGGATGTTCCGAGACTAAAACGGTTAGGTGTTGGCGGCGTAATCACTCTTAATGAACCTTTTGAGACTTTGGTACCATCTTCTCTGTACAATGTAAGGCTCAATGTCCTCTCAATCTTGTGTTCCTTTCTACTTGTGGAGTGTTTCGATGAATTGCAAATTGTTATTAGGCTTATGGAATGGAGCATCTAGTGATACCAACACGTGATTACCTCTTTGCTCCTTCGATTGCAGATTTAACCCGAGCTGTAAATTTCATTCATAGTAAGTGATGTTGTTGTGCCCTCTCTTTTTTACCCGTATCTGCATTTTACTGTTTCTGTTGCTTATTATGCATTTTCCTTTTTTATGTAACAGAGAATGCTTTGCTCTGTAAAACCACTTACGTTCATTGCAAAGCTGGTCGTGGAAGAAGTACCACCGTTGTTCTTTGCTATCTGGCAAGTCCATTAATGAGTTTACATTTCTCCATTAAGCGATTCATTCCCAGTAACATTTATCTCTTTGTGTTTTTCAGATTGAGCATAAGAATATGACCGTAGCTGCAGCTTTTGAGCATGTGCGATCAATAAGACCACGGGTTTTACTGCATCCTTCACAGAGGAAGGTAACTCTTGCCTGCTTTATTGATCTATGAGACTGGTCCTGAAGCTGAAAAACATTGATCTTTTTGTGTGTGTGTGTGTGTGTGATTCTTCAATACAAAGTCTAGGATTTTGTTACTGAAAGATTGTGATTTCATGTGTAACTAGGTGGTTGAGGAATTTAACAAGCTACAATCTCCTTTGAGCTAATCAGCATTCATCTCAACTTGTGATGTTGTAAGTTAATGGCAGAGATCATAGCTCGGCATTTCTGGAAATTGATCAAAAGCTAGGCCGGCCAGAGAGGTTTTTGCAAGACTTCTCTTCTCTGCTTCCTTTAGTTGGGTTAAAATCTCCGGTTTAGACCATCCGACTCGGTTTGGCTCCTGCGAATTTGTGGCCGGTTTAGTGATTAATTATATTCATTATCTCCGAAGAAAAACCAAATACAAGATTGAGGCCCTTTCGAGCCTGATTGATCTTTGAACTATATATGAGATATGTAATTTTCATAATTATAATAATTTTGGTCCTACCAGAATGGTGGAAACGTTAACCAGTCTGCATTTTGCTGTGGAATTGCTTCTGAACTTTCCTGCAAATTTACATATTAATTTCATTTTTGTAAGTTATCAATATGCAAAATATGGATCAATAATCACATAGGCTATAGTCACTAATTAATTAAATACTTGTTAAAAACTTACGTCATCTGTGCAAGTAGCTGTGCAACCCATAATTAAGTCTTCTAATCCGGAACCAGACGATCTACTCCTTAATTGCTGCTGCTGTCATTATTTTTTATTAAAGTACTAGTAACAAAAAGAAACACACAACCCATGTATATATATAATTCTTACTTTTCCAAGCTAATCTACTTTTTATAGGAGTATGAACAAGATTGATTCTGTGATATATTGCATGATTTACTTTTTGCATGAGCCTGTAGTTCTAACATCATTTGTTTTTATTTAAATGAGTTGTTATGATTAAATGTCCAAGAAGACAAGAAACACTGTTACACTACTATATATATCCATGCACGTTCGCGTGCATTGACTTCATATAAGAAATGTATTTGGAATTAAAATTTGGGAATATTTATGAAGGATCATTAAGTAAGGGGACTTTACCTGAAATTGCACAGTACTTGTAATATTGAAGATTGACTCATGTTGATGTGATGACGAAGATGGCATGTGAAATTCTCTTCTATCTCGGACTTGATGATGTTGATTATGATCATAGATCATATGATGAGATGACAACGATGATGATGGTCTTATGATCCCATCATGTACTTCCTCGCACGTGCCAGACATACACCGGTTTTCTCTTCCCTTCGAAGCTTCGGCTGTCCCCTTAATTACATACATTATTGCATATTAATCACCACACACGATATTGCATTAAGACACCACAATGATTCGATTTATTTTTATGTAGATTTTTTGTTATTGAAACTTGTAGAAGATTAGCTTTAGAGTACTGTTGTTGTCTCAAAATAGTATCATCTGAGGAAGCCATTATTTGTAAACAAAAATTAGTAAAAGAATTGTGGTAATCCACCAGTTCGAGTTGCTACCAAAATATTTTTACTCATTATGTTTTGGTGAAGTAAAAAATACTTCAAATCATAATATATATACACATACCTCGTCGAAGTCTCTTGTAAAGGGATTCGTATTAACCCTAGAAACGACGTCACCGGAGCCAAGACTCTGCAAAGCCGCAGCAACGCCGGATATCTCATCTCCGGCTCCAATTCCGATCAAGTCCTTGGAACTAGCATGCTGATCCGACCAATTAATATTACACTGTCTAGGTTGTGTTTGATAAAAGATCTTAGAGACGACAAGCTCTCCTTCTCTTTCTTCTTCATGAATCCCTAAATGATATTGATGCATCACCCAATTTGTTTTTTCTGGTCGTCGATTCTTGCCGAAGTTTGTGTAGAGTACTAAAATCTTCTTGCATCCTCTTTGTCGACCGTTGATCATAACCGGTCTTGTTTTACCGGTTTTGTGCCATCTCGTTTCTGATGATGATCCGGTTAACTCGGAGTCGTGATCGGTTTGGATGATTTTGCGTCGTTTTCTTGTTCCGGTTGTGTAAGCTCTTGATGGTTTGTGGAAGAAGTGTTTGCTTAAACCATCTCTTGTTACCCCTAATTAAGAGCAAGAATATTTAAAATGATTTCAATTGGATTTCTATAAATTAATGTAAGAGACAAGTTACTATGAAGAAAATGCAGTGAATTTTTCTAAAGTTTGGCTACCAAACATTATCTAAGAGTCCAGTACTACTCTTGCATGCACATTAATTCTTTGGTACATATTTACTTATGTATATATAATTAGTATAAATCAAAAAGTTTTCAAGAAAATATCACATCATTTTTTTTTTCAAAATAAGGTTCGTTTTTTTCTTTCTTTTTATATAAATAAGAAAGGAAGAAAAAATCGAAATTAGTTTCGTTCTTCTCTTACACAAAATATATCGATTTCCACTAATGTAGAATTTTCCAAAAGAAATTACTAATCCTTTTCAATTCATTATTAGTTAAACAATATAATCTACGTATTTAACTAAAATGTAAAGGTACACATATTAGACTTATTTACGAATAAATAGGACACTAATAAAAAACTTATTCAATAAATTAATAATTTAAAATAATCAAGGGTATTGAAAATATAAAAACAAATTATATGAACGTTTTTTACTAAAAAAATTAAATTAGCAGTAATTTCTAAATGGGTTTACAGTACCAAACATTATCTAATCCTGAACTTTTAGAGATACCCAATCAGTCCAATATTTTTGTGTTATCGGTCCATGCAGATCATATAAATCAAACTTTTTGTGTTTTTTCTTTCTTAAAATATATCTTATTAAGTTTGTTGAATCGAAAATAAATAAATGAACCTGGAAGCTTCTGTGGATGAGTGTAACATATCCCATCTTCACCATCAATGGTGGGGATAAACTCATCTATTAGTGGATGAGACGATGACCATTTCTTATTTTCTTCTTTTCCCTTCACTTTTGCTTCTAAATGCTCTATAAGTTCTTGATCCGTCGGATCGAATTTTACTCCCGCCGGCAATCCAACCCAATTCTAGAAAGGAACAAAAAAAAAAAAAAAAAAAATAGGATGAATGATGAAGAACAAATTTAAAGAAACAAAAAGTTAAAGGAGAATATACTTTTATTTTATTTTGGGTTTTGAGGAGTTTTATGTATATGAATATGTGTTATAATATATGGATATATATTACTGGTTTAGTAGCAGCTTGAATCATGCGGCCGCATCCAGGACAGTGTTTTGATCCGCAAAGATAATGATGTTCTTCGAGCTTTGAATCTATGAAATTACATTTGGTATTATTCATTTCCGTTTGACAGGTAGCTAAAATGATATATCTCCGTTGTATGAGAGATTGATCTGCAGTTCATGAAAAATAAATTAAGCTTTCATATATATATATATATATATATATATACAATATCCCAAGCATGAAAAGTACAAAAACTGTATGAATATCAAGATTACCAGATTTATACGAGATCTACCGAAATTAAAAGTGAAAGAAAAGATTGGAAAGATGAGATTGATCTCAATATATTTATAGAGAGAGCTGGAGATCAATGATCACATCTTAAAAAATTATTAAGAACATAAAGGAAAACATGATAAGAACAAAAAACATTAAAAGCAAAGATTAAGATTACCAGATATTTATATCGACTGGATTGAAAGGGGAAGACGAAGAAGAATTTGATAAAGACGGGAGTGTTCTCAATATATATAACTATAGAGAGATGTAATAATCTATCATTTATTTGCAAGTATATATATTATATGATTTGAAAAAGGTTTAATTATTATAATTATTGTTACCATTGTTATTAGTATCTCACTTTGGTTCCAGAAGAGACACAGAAACACATGTAGATACGACTTTAAGTACTGAAAAATCTATGTCAAGTAGATAAAGAAATGAAGAAGAAAAGAGGAAGAAGAAGAGTAAAGGAAATAAAAGGAGTTGAGACTGAAAAGGTTGAAAGTTGAAACCCTAATTTTGCTCTCTCTTGTCTTGTCTTGAGTCTTGTGACCAAACCGTTTTTGTCCTTTTTGTCTTAATTTAAGTTAAGTGTATTTCATACGTACAAATACAAGGCGGTATGTACAATAGTTATTGTACAAAGGTATATATGTACAATGCTTTTGTACAAACAATATTAGTATTTAAGAATTGTGATGTTGAATAATAACAATACTTATAAACTGATTAAGTTTAATTCTAATAAGGGACTTAAATCCATTATTTTCAATTATTATGATGATTAAGAAAAATTGATTAACTCTTTATTAATAATTTCTAAATTACTTGTGTTTTAAACAATTATAAAATTGCTTAAAACGAAAACAATACAAATTAAACTGGATGACTGAATGAAATGTTGCAGGCGTTCTATTATCTACAAATCTTTTTTTTTAACTTCTACAATCTTTTTTATCATCGATCGTAGATGTGTGACAACAAGAGAATATACATGTCTCCCAAAATATTAAGATCGACATGTAATCTGTATTTATATACTAAAACAAAACCAATAGGGTATATTAGTCAAGACATGATTTCCTCTCATTTACGTGTCTACGTTAAATTTGAGCTCTTAGGCCATTTTTAGCTAATTAATCATATAATTTGAAATCAAGAACTTTTGAACACAATTTCGTGTTAATTTAGGAAACACGGCTCTTTTTTAAAATAAAGAAGGCAGATAAAGAGCATAGGAAAAAGCATTTAAGGATAATCTCTTTGGATTATAGGACAAACACATGTTTTTAAGAATATTTGTCTTTTTACTTTGATTGACATTATTTTTGACATATATCTATGTAATTAGTTTTGGACGTTGGACCCAATGGGTCCCACAGTGAGGTGGGTCCAATGATGCTGTCGGAAGATGGGGCCTAGCCGCAGATTTGTTTGAACAACAGATCAGACGGTCATGATTTATTTGATCTAATGATTATTAGGTTTCGTATTTTTCTTTGAAAAGCGGAAAGAAAAATGAAGTAAAAACTCCGCTAGAGAGTTCTGAGTGTGTGTCTGTGTGATACGAGAATAAACATTTTTATTAGCCTCTAAGAACATATATTGAGACATTTTATTTTATTTTAAGAGTATTTTGTTTATTAAAACATGTAGACACATTAACAAAATAGTTCATTTTGAATTTCGAGGTTATAAGAAAAAGTTATTATGTATATTTTATATTTATATTTCAGATAATCATCCATCAAACACTATGAGCCTTTACTTGTGTGATTTTTGTACTCAAAGATGTATTGTTTCAACTTATCTCTAAATTTTGACAATTTGATTCCTGGGCCGAAACATAGCCCATCTATGGACCTATAATTAATGACAGGCTTTCACAATAGCCCATTTAGTTTCGTTTTTGTTTCTTGCCCTTAATTGGACTCACGGTGAGGTAGAGTAGACTGTAAAGCGTTGACATGAATGTATTCACGAACATCGATCTATATTTTCCATTTTTCAAACACGAATTTCATTTTAACCACAAATACTAATTTTTATGTAACTTCCGAGATACGAAAAATAATAAAAGTATTTGATATGTATAAAGGGATTGCAATTTTTTGTTTTGTTTTTGCGGGTGATTAGGGAAAGTCATATGAAAGAAACAGAAACAACGTACGGCCAGATTTTATGCAACTTGGCTACTTTTATTCAGATTCGAAATCGACCGGCAAATACGCATTGTATCATGTTGATCAACGTCACTGGACGATTTCCAGAACAATACGAAGAATCATACGATTACACGTGTATAGTTATTATTTAACATTACGCGAGCTGTTTTCAAACACAAACACAAACACAAATATAATATATACTTTTTTATTTAAAACGGCTAAGCAAGTATGTCATCTCATAGCATTATAAGCAGCGCAAAGGCTTTTTTGTCAACTCTGTTTTTTTTTTTCATTTGTAAAATATTATATCATCTCTTTGTAGCCAGTAAATTGTTGCATGACAACATAAAAACGACAAATAGATTTTAAGAAAAATTATACAAACATAATTAGCCGACACAATATTGGACTTCTCTTTCTTTCTTTTAAGAGATTCTTTTATTTTTTTAAACAGCTGGAATATTCTTCAGGATCTGAATTCTGAAATTACTACAAATGAAGTAAAAACAAAACTGAAAGGAAAATATCATTTGACAAATTAAAAGTGAAATTACTTGTTTTCCAAGGCCCAACTATAATAGATTTCAGAAGTGGAAAGTTACAATTAATGAATTAGTCTTGTTCTGGAAGAATGTGAATCATCTTCTCCAAGTTTCAACGTTTGGTTTTTTTTTTTTACCTCATCATCATATAAACACGAGAATCCTGCAGCCAAGTGCATATACATATACCCATGTATATGTGTATGTATATATTATTCTCTTTCGTACCCTATAAGTTTTGTTAGATGAAAATCCTTAGATGCCCACCACTTGTTTGATCATATTCCCCCAATCTAAAATAGCGAGAAACGTTCTTATTGGTCTGAGTCTCTCTCTCACTCTCTCTCTCTCTCTTCCTTACCTCTTCTGATATTTCTTAATCGACTCGAATTCTCCAACTCCGACAAAAATGGGTCGCCTTGTATTTGACTGACGGGTTTGATTCATTTTCCTTTCTTCGTTTCTGAAATCGGGTCTCTTTTTTCCTTCTCATTCAAAGTAGTCTCTGTCGCGGGTTCATCATCTTCGTGGAGAGAGTTTTATCTATAGTTGATCGTCGTTATGTCTAGTCCAAAAAGCATCAAGCCGAAGATCGTCAACGGTCCTGGTGGTTATATACTACAGGACGTTCCTCACCTCATCGATTATCTTCCTGATCTTCCTGTACGTTGGTTCTCTGATTGTTGATTCGTTGATTTGATGATTCCTTGAAACAAAGGATGAATCTTTTGCTTTGGGTTCCAATATTTTGATCTGTTCATGGTTTGCTTCGAATCAAATGGTTGATCATTCGTTGTTTTAGTATGTTTAAAGTTCGAATCTTTTCTCTGTTTTTGTTCAGACATACTTGAATCAAATGGTGATCTCTTTTTTTTTATGTTATTGCAGACTTATCCAAATCCATTGCAAGACAATCCAGCTTACTCAGTGGTAAAGTAAGTATTTTTCACATGTTTCAGACGTTTCCATTGCTTAGGGATCAAAATTTTTTATTTTGTTTTTCGTTTTCTGTTTTATCAGGCAATACTTTGTTGATGCAGATGATAGTGTTCCTGAAAAGGTAAATTCCTCAAGCATAATCCTTCTTTACCCTGAATTGTTTGTAATTGTTACTTCTTACTCAGCAACAAAATGTTATATACAGATTGTAGTACACAAGGATGGTCCAAGAGGAATCCACTTCAGACGCGCTGGTCCACGCCAAAAGGTTTACTTTGAGTCTGATGAAGTGCATGCCTGCATAGTTACATGTGGAGGTCTCTGTCCTGGTCTCAATACCGTTATTAGAGAAATAGTTAGCAGCTTATCATACATGTATGGAGTAAAGAAAATTCTCGGAATCGATGTGAGTTTTGTGAACCACACAATGAATCTCTTCATCTACAGTTTGGTTTTTTTTCAAGAGAGTATCTTCCTTATGATTATGAAATTTTACAGGGTGGATACAGAGGATTTTATGCCAAGAACACTATCCCCTTAAACTCTAAAGTCGTGAACGATATCCATAAACGAGGAGGAACAGTCCTTGGGACTTCACGAGGTGGACATGATACCACAAAGATAGTTGATAGCATCCAAGATCGAGGAATTAATCAGGTTTACATTATTGGTGGAGATGGAACACAGAGAGGAGCTTCAGTAATATTTGAGGTAAAGACGTAAAGTCCTTTGGTGATATTACAGAATATTAGTGCTCAAGTTTTAAACAATCAACAGACTGAACTTTGATTGTACAAAACCATGTAGGAAATTAGAAGGCGTGGACTTAAAGTTGCTGTGGTTGGGATCCCAAAAACGATTGATAACGATATACCTGTTATAGACAAATCTTTTGGGTTTGACACTGCTGTGGAGGAAGCTCAACGAGCGATCAACGCAGCGCATGTTGAAGCAGAGAGTAATGAGAATGGTATCGGTTTTGTTAAGCTTATGGGTCGTTACAGTGGTAAGCTTTTCTCTTCCTGTGTGTTTTGCCTTGAAACATTACACTTAAAAACTTGTTATTAATAAAAGGCTATGTGATGATGTACTACAGGATTCATAGCGATGTATGCTACATTAGCCAGTAGAGATGTTGATTGCTGTTTGATTCCCGAGTCACCATTTTACCTCGAAGGAGAAGGTGGACTCTTGGAGTTCATAGAGAAACGGCTCAAGGAGCATGGCCACATGGTGATTGTTCTTGCTGAAGGAGCAGGACAAGATCTGATGTCCAAAAGCATGGAATCTAATACTCTCAAGGACGCGTCTGGTAACAAACTTCTTAAAGACGTCGGCTTGTGGCTATCACAAAGTATCAAGGTATATAAAAAAAAAGACTCGAATTTTCTCTAATGCGCTATTACAAAAAAAACTCATCAGTGTTTTATACGTTTTTCTCTCTGGTGATAGGATTATTTTAAGAAGATTCAGATGGTGATGAATCTCAAATACATTGGTAACAAAACGATAACCCTTTTACTCCCCCGTTTTTTTAATTTCAGATATTTGGATTTACTGTTTCTTTGTAAACTCATTTCTCTCTTCTCGCTTTTTAGATCCAACATACATGATCCGGGCTGTTCCAAGCAATGCATCAGACAATGTCTACTGTACACTTCTTGCTCAGAGCGCGGTTCATGGTGCAATGGCTGGTTACACTGGCTACACCAGTGGTCTTGTCAATGGAAGACAAACATACATCCCTTACTACGTAAGTTACTGATGTAGATCAAATGCGTTATTGCTGTAATAGTTTAATCCCGAGTTTAGACTTGCGAGAAGGATCTCACTGTTGATTAGGGTTGTTGAAATGCACCAATCTGGTTTGACCTAACAGAGCCTGTGATTTGATATTTTTCTTGTTGTTGCAGAGAATAACAGAGAAACAGAACAATGTGGTGATTACGGATAGAATGTGGGCGAGGCTATTGTCTTCTACGAATCAGCCAAGTTTCTTGGGACCTAAGGATATACCTGAGGAGAAGAAAGAGATGCCGGAGACGGCGCCTCTTGACGGTGCAAACTGTGACGGAGTTGTCGATATTCCTCCCGTGACTAAAGAGATCACTAAGTGAAAGTAAAAGCTTTTGGTTATAGAGAGAACCTTTGAGGCATATAGAGTCAGGGTTTTGTCCTGAAAACGATGCCGCTTTAGGCGAAAGTGAAATAATGGTTTTTGCCCTTTTGTTGGCAAACACGATGTTCATGTTTTTAGTTTTATTTTAGTTTTGTAATTCTTTTTTGCACCTTCACATCGTTTGAATGAATGTAGTAATTTTCGTTCCCTATTTCCTCTGTTTATTTTCATCAAAAACACCAGTAATGGATAAAAGCAGAGGATCTTGTAATTCCTTTTTGTTTTTAAAAAAAAAAATCAATATCAATTCTGTTGATGATTCATACCAAAAAAAAAAAAAGATTGTTGTGAATTTGAGTCGTTGTGGTATATAATGATTTGATGCTAGTGAGTAGTGAATTCGTAAAGAACATATAAATGCGTAGTAAGTATGTATATGCTTACGTCATTATTTACGGGATAGTTTTTACTAGTATTGGATTAGTAACATTATCGAGTAAATCCGAAAAGGTAATTATCCTTTATAAAACACTGTATGTTTCTTAGACTCCAGAAGGAAATACTCTACAAATTCAAACAATACACTATCATCTCAAAAAGCTTAAAACAGAGGATATTAGGATAATATTTTTTTTTTATTAATGATAATATTAGTTATATTAATAATAGGACAAACGGGATACAATATTTTGTATCAACATTAGCTAGTGCTAATGAAATAGTACAACTTTATTAACTGGGCAGTAATGCTTTCCAGTGCTTAATCAACTACTAATATAATATGACACCATTTTTTTTGGTAGACGCCGTGATGCAGATTCACCACCTCAAATTTTCCGGGAAATACTGAAAAATCCAAAACAAAATTATCGAATTTTAATAACAAGAAAGTATACAAAAATTATCACAAATGCTGTAAATTTAAATTATTCTATTTTGAAAGATCGTTATTTTATTTATATCCATAGTACCGATTTTATATATCCTTCAACCAATTTTTTTCTTAAAATATAAGTATTGTCGGATTAAGTTAATTTTTTTTCAAACCAGATAAAGAGAGAGACCCTCACTTTCTTGATAATCGACATGTAGTACGGCTTAACCTTCTCGACATCGACGTGTACTTTGCTTTTGCTGTATAAGTCGTACTTGCTGTATTATATAAATACAACGTACTATAAATCCAAGGATCGAATTAGGATGTTGTTAAGATATAATTTTATTTAAATGAAATAATTACTTGAAAACATGGAGCCATTTGAGATTCTCCTTGTCTTCCTCATTCATAAGGTGGGTGTAAGCTCCAGCCTTGTGCAATGCTACATATATTAATCACGTAAACATGTTAACTAATTAATCAAAATATGTTACTAATTAAGTGTTTGTTTTGTTGATAATCTTTTTATCCTTACGATAAAAGGAGTGGTATCGGATGATGAACAGTCCCGGGGATGGCAAGGTGCTCCCATTCTCTTTGGCCACCTATAAAAATACAATCAACGATTTTACAATCCTTTTGATCATAATTAATAACGATAATATATATGAAATTATAGTAATAATAACTAAATAATGTACCATATACATGTAGTCATCATGGCCCCATGACATGGAAACATTTTCAAGGCCACATCCTTCAGAATAGATCCCAGTTTTCGTATTGTAATTTGGGTTGTTAAAATCAGGGTTTTCCATAAAATACTGCAAAATAAAGGTAAAAATGAAAGAAATATTAAATTAATCAATTTTAAATCACTTGTTTAATATAATACTAATAAAGTATAGATGCTAACTATGCTAGATATTTATATGTTAAAGTTACTAATTAGATAGCAACATAGTGAGGTTTATATGTACCTTGTGGTGTACGTTAGACTCATCAAATGCACATCCAACAGGAAATGTGTCACCTGCAGGTTTTGATAGAGAATTCATAAGAAGTTACTAAATAGTAAATACTAATAGGAGAAGGTAACAACTAACAATCAATCAGGAAACATGATCAATTAGTTAATTTCCTTGATAATTAATTTTTGTAAGGAAATCACAAATAATTAGACTTACCAACAACAGCCCACTGAGGAAGCCCTCCAAACTGTGGAAGAGTAAGAACCTTCCCAAGATCTGGAAATTTACTACATATTAGCATTTTTAAAGATTTTTATATATGATTATTTTGATTTTTCCATAAGCCTTATTTTTTTCATAATTAACGATAAATTACCATGGATAAGAGCAGTCAAATGAAGCCAGTCTTCATTAGGATAATCCTTACGGATTGCCTCTGCAGATTGAAGCAAATGCTGAATTTGTGGTTCATCAAGATCAGGATCACTCTCGTCAACCACTTCGTTAAGGAGTTCACAGCATTCCCAAATGTTCATCACCTTCTTGTCCAATTTCCCATACTCTTCCCTCATTTTCTTTACCTGAAATAGTTATTATATATATGAAAAACATCGAATATACATTTTGGCGTATATACACTTTGGTTGAAATCTTCAGAAACAATTTAAATTTTCTATCAGGAGTTCGTGAATCATACCCATGCAAACTGTTATGTGGTTAGTGTATATCCATCAAAACAAACTACTAAACCCTAAATTATATAATAGATAAGAGATTTTACGAAGTCTAAAGTTTGATTGTGGTGTTGTGTTTTGTAGAATTCCTCGACGCTTTTCTGCCTCTCGCTGTTCGTATCCTCGTAATTTCTGCAACCATATACATTTATGAAATATATTTTTCTGAATTATTTAAAAATATGTAAACTATATATTTTTTTAAAAGAAAACCTGAATTGACGACCAAATGCATTCATCTCAGGAGCCAAAAACACATCATCATCAGATGATTTCTTCGTCATTAGAACCCCGTTGTCCAACTGTAACTCTTCGGTCTTTTTTTGGGTCGTAAAATCCTCATGCACTGAAAGAAACACATATAGTAAAAACTCATTAACGTTTTATATATTTATTTATTTCGGTAACTGATAAAAGAAAATATAAATCTCTAAATTATTGGAGTAAAGGCAGATAGATAGATATATGTTTACCAAAAACAGGGTTTTCGACAGAGATAGTCATCTTCAAAGAAAAGAAAAAAAGATGAATTAAGAGCTAAAAAGATCGAGAGAGAAATGTCTACACAAAAAGGTGTAGTTTTGAAGAAGACACAAAAAGGGTATTTGTAGTGGTGATGGATTCGGAGATGATGATGATAAGTGCTTTCCTCTCTATCTTTAGAGAGAAATCCTCCAATTATTATTTGACCACAAATTATTTAGCAACCAGGGATTCATCCACTCGTCACACAGACAAAAGTTAAAAAATTAGAATAAAATCTGACCAACATAAATACGGCCTTATGTCAAAACAAAATAACTTGTTTAACTTACCAAGTCAATACTATGTGTCTTCTTTATATAACGCCAAGTTACTTTGTCTATCAAATGATGAATATTCCAAACTTTATTCTAAATTACAATATATAAAAGTTGAATAGAAACTTTTATTTTGACTTGTGATCTTCCTTTTTTAGAGGTGTCATGTTCAGAAATATAGTAGGCACACACAATTAACACATCTGTCATATTTTTACGAATTATTAAAGAAACATATTTCCATCAAATTATAACTTTCTGTACCATTCTTATTTTTCTTACCCTTTTTAAATTCATTTTAATATCTGTACTTCTTGCTACTTTTGAAAATTCATTATATCCTTTTATATTTTGAAATTATAATATTATCTTATAAATTGTTGACATCTGCTAATATAATAATTCATTTGTGATATAGTGAAAATTGAGCATATCTTCTATCCTGGTTGTCAAACATGCATTCTCTGACTCATCATGGATCGAAAAAGATTCCATCGAAATGGCTTGTTCACGTGGCAACTTCAGTTTAGTCTAAAACTTCCGTTAAGCAGAGCAACAGCTACTGGGGAGGGGGAGGGGGCGTTCCAATTTTTTTTGCGGGTATAGAGCTGAAGACTGTAATCGAGTATTTTTTAATTTTCGAACTGGGTTCAGATAATTATAATTCGGGTTCGGATCGGTTCTTACATTGTATATAAAAACTGATATTAATCTGAAAAAAATTCGGTTACAAACGGATTGGTTCGGTTCTCGAGTATTTCGGTTATATGTATTCGAATTATAACCAAACATGCTAAAAAAATATCTGAAATCTAAGAAAACAAATGGTCAAAATAAACACTAAAATCAATATCAAAGTGAAAATATGATTCAACCATTCAAGCAGAAACTGTAACAATCTCCATTATTGTTTATCGAACAACACTGCAAACTCGACTAAAAAACCGTAAAAGTTATCAAATTGCAAATTCAAATTGCCAAATTTAAATCATAAATCACAAAAAAGGAAGATGAAAAAGACGATGGTATATCTGAGATTGATTTCGAGATATCTCAAAAGGAAGAGAAAGTGAAGATTGGTGATTTAGGGATTCCAGATTAAATTTGAAGATTTAGAAATTATGATATTTAATTAATCTGAGAATTTCGGATAGAGATTGAACGGGAAAGACTAAAAAAGCTACATATCATGTTATCCTATTAGATTTTCTTCAGATTGAAAATCGGATTTTAGGGTATAACCGAACCAAACCCGGACTCAAACCACAATCATCATGAGATCCAATTGGTTATTACAACAATATCGAGTCGGTTTGGTTCAAATTTTTTCGGGTCGATTTAATTTGAATTTTCGGATTTGGTTCAATATGCCCATCCCTAGCAACAACTTATGCTAGAAATTTAAGTATTACTAAATGTAGATATAAATGTAGATATGTTGGTATAATTGCAATTTTTTATTTTTATTTTTATTTTATAATACTACAACCACTATTAAACCTACTAATCAAATCAATAAAGTTCATGAAAAAATGTAGAGGAAATCAATTAACCTTGTTCGAGTTATGATAATGGGCTTAAATGACAATATATGGCCCATTAATAATCGGGCTTTGTGGAGTCGTCTCAGTCTCACCTATATTCTTCACTGGCGCATCAGTGAATCAGAAATACGCTGTCTTCTTCCTCCTCCGAGCTCCATGGCTCTAAACAACTTTTTGCTCTTCAGTGTGACTTTTCAGCTTCTCCTTCTACTTCGTGTTTCATCGGAATCTTCATGGAGCACCGGAGATGCATCTCGAATCCCGATGAAGCTCCTCGAATTCGCCAAGAGTCCGGAGGTTTTCGATTGGATGGTGAGAGTGAGAAGGAAAATCCACGAGAATCCGGAGCTGGGTTACGAGGAATTCGAGACTAGTAAACTCATTAGGTCGGAGCTAGACCTCATCGGAGTTAAGTACAGGTATCCGGTCGCTATAACCGGCGTTATCGGGTATATCGGCAACGGAGAACCTCCGTTCGTCGCGCTGAGAGCTGATATGGATGCGTTGGCTATGCAGGTGTAGTATCAATTCATTGGAGAAGTGATGTTTTTCATGGTTCATATTAACTTTATCGAATTTGATTCAAAGATATCTTGATTATATACCAAAACCAATATCAATCTCTTAGGCAATGACGATAATTAGCATTTGCATGAAGGATCATAATAGATAATCTGATTGATTTCGAATTCAGGAAGCTGTTGAGTGGGATCACAAGAGCAAAGTTCGTGGTAAAATGCACGCTTGTGGACACGATGGCCATGTCGCTATGCTTCTTGGTGCTGCAAAGATACTTCAAGAACATCGCCACGATTTGCAGGTTTTCTACACACTTTCCGAATTGGGCTTTTGCTTTCATCACTCAGCAACAATAACACCTAGACATATATATTAGATATGCGCACACTCAATACTTTGGTTTTGTCGTTAGGGAACTGTGGTGCTTATCTTCCAGCCGGCTGAGGAAGGTTTGGCCGGAGCGAAGAAGATGATAGAGGAAGGAGCGTTGAAACACGTTGAAGCCATTTTCGGGATTCATCTTACGAACCGGATTCCTTTTGGTAAAGCCGCTTCGCGTGCAGGTTCCTTGCTTGCTGGATCTGGATTCTTCGAGGCTGTGATAATCGGGAAAGGAGGTCATGCTGCCATCCCACAACACACAATAGATCCAGTTGTTGCAGCTTCAAGCATCGTCCTCAGTCTTCAACACCTTGTCTCACGTGAAACCGACCCTTTGGATTCAAAGGTTCCTCCTTTCTTCTTGTCCTTAGACAGCTCATATCCTGGCTTTTCGTCTAACAAAACCCTTTTTTTTTTTAGGTGGTTACAGTTTCTAAGGTTCAGGGAGGCAATGCCTTCAATGTCATCCCTGATTCAGTCACCATAGGAGGAACTCTCAGAGCCTTCACCGGTTTTTCTCAGCTTCAACAAAGACTCAAAGAGGTGATGTTTGCTTCAAAGATTGAACCTTTTTTTTTAGAATTTCCGGCGTCATTGCTTCACCGGTTTCAAACTATTTGATTCTAGGTTATTACCAAGCAAGCGACAGTCCACCGGTGCAATGCATCCGTGAACCTAACACCAAACGGTAAAGAGCCGCTCCCACCAACCGTGAACGACGTGGACTTATACAAGCAGTTCAAGAACATGGTCGGAGATTTGTTGGGCGAAGAATCTTTTGTGGAAGCATCGCCTCTTATGGGAGGAGAAGACTTCTCCTACTTCGCAGAAGCAATCCCTGGCCATTTCTCTTTACTGGGAATGCAAGATGAGACCAACAGCTATGCTTCGGCTCATTCATCGCTCTATAGAGTCAACGAGGATGTGCTTCCGTACGGTGCTGCAATACATGCATCAATGGCCTTAAGGTACCTTCAAGCCAAGGCCTCTAAAGGATCCAATGGCTTTCATGACGAACTTTGAAGCCAACCAACTCGTGTCGTGTTATTACATTGGTTAATGACTTAATGCTGGTTTGCAATTAAAACACACACAGCCCTTGTCGGGGTCATTGGTTATTGAACTCAAAATTTAAAATATGAAATCCAAAAGATTATAGCATAGAATCAAAACATATAAGTTTAGTCGTGCCAAAGAAAAACATATGACTAAAACAAACGAAGAGAAATCCCGAAAAGGTTTACAAAATAGTCATTATGAGAAGGATTCAGAGAAAGCTCTCTTTTCAGCATCTATCTTGTACTTCTCAGGAGACTTGTGTCCAGCTTCTATCTTCTACTTCTCAGAAGAGTTGGGTCCTCTCTTCTTCCCGAAACCAACAACTGCAAAAAAATAATCCATCAACGAACATAAATCACAATGTATATACAAACACTCAGTGTTGTAATTTAAAATGGGGCATTTGATTGCAGAGACGTGAACAATCAGAGATATTGTACGCTAACCAAAGAACTATCTCATCTATAAACATTCAGCTTATTCAAACATTTCTGTAGATTATTCCTATTACAAGGAGTTTCGAGTGATCACTAATCACAATGCACTGAATCACTAGTAATCTAATCAGCAAAAGTATCTAAATCCCTAATCTGATGGGAAAGGAGCTGAGAAATTTACCGGCGGTAACGAAACGGCGATTGTGCTGCATACGCTTGTGAGCACGACCTCTGGGTTTCTTCTTCTTGTCTTGTTTCGCCACCTTCGGTGTTTGTCCTCTGACCTTACCGGCACGAGCCAAAGATCCGTGAACTTTTCCTGAAATCGACAAACACTCACCGTTAAACAGATCCAAATGCAAAACATCAAACCAAAAAAACAAATTGATTTCCACTGATACTATAGTTTAAAAAAACTATTAAAATCTCTGAGGATTACCCATGGCCGATTTGCTTCTCTCCTCTTTTTTTTCTTCCGACGGCTGCAAGAAGCTTAAAACGTGAGCGTATTCTCAGAATTAGGGCTTTCGAGCTGATGATATGTATTTATATAATCTGACAACGAAATTTATTGGGCCTTTATTTTTAAAGTGTTTGTGCATGAGGTTATAAAATGTGGACCTTTATAAAATAATTACTATTGGGTATATCAAGCCCATAAGCAACACAAGTTTGACGATCTCTCTCTACAAATCTTATTGTATAAAGTTTTGTTCAATATCTGGAGAAATCAAGTTTCTGCAATATGCGAAATTGAGAGAATAATTGAATTATATTACAAACCGATAATGTGATTACGGAATCATATATTATAGAACCGGAAGGTTTGTTGTATTGTGTATTAGGCTTTAGCGATTCGTATGGGCCGTCACCAGTAGCAGCTGCTCATAAATAAATATCGTCTGGGCTTCATCGAATTTAGAAGCGTAAAATATAAGAAATATAAACCTCCAAACGAGACATTAAAACAAAAAGTCGATATGTCCGAGTGGTTAAGGAGATTGACTCGAAATCAATTGGGCTCTGCCCGCGCAGGTTCGAATCCTGCTGTCGACGTTACTTTCTTTTGTTTGCTATCTTGAAATGTGGTAAAAACTAAAAAGGCTACCATAATAATCTCAAAAACATTAAATAGATTTAGATAGGATACGATATCCTTAGCATTACCATTTTACTTTTTTGATGCTAGTTATGGTTCTTCGTATTTAGAATCATACAATATTACTTAGAAACGCAAATGTAAGCAAACAATCAAGGTTTAAATCGCTAAACTGTGTCTCGTGAAGAAAAAGCAGGCTTTAGATGCCGCATTGAGCTTAATCTTTTGGTGGCGTTAAGGAGATTTGAATTTGGTTGTTACGACAAGAGCTTTAATCATTTGGTAAGAGAAATGTTAAGTGAGATTCACCATTACACAAAGTTCCATCTGTGTAAATTTGAGATTCAACAACGAACTAGCATACGGAATAAGGTCTCCAAGAAGAAAATTGGTCTCTCCATAAAATGCATAAGCAACTCAAGTCGCACACTAGAAAGAAAGAAGTGAAAGGTGAAAGAAGACTTTTGATTGAAACAAGAAGAAATTTTTTAAAAAAGCCCAAAACTTGTCTTAGTGGACAGATCAATCCTCCTCTTCGATGACCTTAGTGCCAAGACCACTGAGTCCTTCCGCGGGGATTTCAGCAACGGTGACGAGTGAGAAAAACTCCTCCTTTGCGTCTTCATCGTCGTTTCTCTTACGTGCAACACGAACCCTAATCCTCCTTGGTGGACCTCTGATTCCTCTGCTCCATATTTGCTTGTTCAATTTCACGTCTACCCTAACGTCCTTTGTCCCCATTGCTTTCTCTGCAAACTTCCTGATCTCCTTAATGGCCTTTGGTGCCTTCTTCTTGAAGGTGCTGTTACAAGTTAACCATGTATTATTATTCTCATAAAACCAAACCTTAACACAATCAGTTCCAAGGTTTCACGTTTCAAGATTACATTTTGTTAAAGTGAACCCAAACAAGTATTGAATTCCTCTAAATAAGATTTTCCGCAACATTTCTCCAAACTTATTTCACAACAAGAATTACAAAATGTGTCATTTCATAGCCTAAACCTGTGACTAATTTGGAAAAACGATTAGCTTGAGACACTAATCAAACCCATGTGCTAGAAGTTTGTTACTGTAAAATTGCAAAAATCCGACCTAATTAATCTACAAATCAATGGATTTTAACCAATCAAGGAGCAAGAACATGAGCAAAAAAGAGTAAATTGCATCTGTTCAACAATCAGCCAGTCAAAGAAGAAATAAGAGTTGTAGAAAGCTCACCAGCTGTGAAGGCGTCTGTGGAGGTTGATGGTGTACTCTCTGGTCACCACTTCTTCTTTCCTTCCCTTTTTCTCAGACATCTTCTCTTTGTCTGTGTTTTACTTCTTTCAGACTCTTTACCTGCAAATTATCCATAACCAAGATTACTTCAAAATAGATTCTCAATTTAACAGATCTGTTCACAGCTAAATGTATACGATCAAAGGATGTAAAATTGAGCTCGACAAAGAGAGAGAGAGAGTACCTTCGGCTCGAGGAACGTCGAGAGACAGAAAGGCGACGATGGAAGAGAAGTAAGCATATATATGCGCACTGAACTAACCCTAGATTATTTATTTGGGCTTTAATGGGCTGATTGTTTGTGCCATTATCGAAATTGCTTACCCTAAACCTCTTACACCCTTGAAATTGCTGAGCCCATTAAAGGCTCAATATACGACCGTAGTATAGTATATGGTTATAAACCGATTGGTTTTGTTAGTTGGAAAACTGAAACTCGAATCCGAAACCAAATCGATTTTAGTGTACCAAAACAAAAAATTTCAGTATGAACAAAAAAAAGTTATTATATATGAACAAGAAAAAAAAGTTATGAGGAATTGAGGATCTTTTGTTCGGTGACGTTTCTTTCCACAGATTCCTTGTCTTTGTTGCATGACTTAGATTTTTGTAAGATGAAGTTTTTCAAGTATCAGGTTATGTCCTCTTAAAAGCTTTCCAAAGATTCTTTTTGTCTTTTCTCTCTTCTTGGTTTGCTAGCTTTATAAATAAAACTTTGGAAACACATGAACAACCATTCGTTGCTTGATTATATTTTACTCGTAGAAGATGGAGTTCGTAGGAGAGGAAGTGGTTGATTATACTTTTGTGATTCAAAAAACTTTGGTTCTATTGTTTTGTGTTGCTTTATCATGGAAAATGATAATATACATGTGCAATTTGTTAAACATTGAGAAAGAACCTATAAGGGTTCTTGTTACTGGTGCATCAGGTAAGATCAACCAAAGTACTAAGTAGTTTATGTTTGTTTTTGCTTTTCAAATCTCTCTCTTTTTCTGGGAGTGAATAATCCTGTTTAAAATTTGATTTCTAATTTTTATCGGTTGAAGTAAAAAGAAAACCAAGAAAAAAACTGTATGTTATTCAGCTTGACTTCGATTGACTTGATGCAATTTCAATTTGATTTCTAATGAATTATATATCATTGAACAGGAAACATAGGTTATGCAATTCTTCCAATGATTGCAAAAGGTATTATGCTAGGTCCAGATCAACCCATGATTCTGCATTTACTTGACATAGAACCAGCATCAAAGTCACTAGAAGCCGTGAAAATGGAGCTTCAAGATTCAGCCTTCCCTCTTCTCCAAGGCGTTATCGCCACAACAAATGCTGACGAAGCTTGTAAAGATGTGAACATCGCGATACTGATCGGCGGATTCGCAAGAAAAGAAGGCATGGAAAGAAAAGACGTGATGTCGAAAAACGCAGTGATATACAAAGCTCAAGCTTCGGCTTTAGAGAGATACGCATCAGATGACTGCAAGGTTCTTGTGGTCGCAAACCCTGCGAACACTAATGCTCTGATCTTAAAAGAGTTTGCACCGTCGATCCCGGAAGAAAACATCACTTGCTTGACACGTCTCGATCATAACCGAGCTCAAGCTCGGCTCGCGGAGAAGCTAAGCGTTCCCGTGAGCAGCGTGAAGAACGTGATCGTATGGGGAAACCATTCTTCGACTCAGTATCCAGACACCAATCACGCAACGGTCTCTACCAAAACCGGAGATAAACCGGTGAAAGAACTCGTCGCTGATCAGGAATGGCTGAAGAACGAGTTTATTGAGGAAGTTCAGGAACGTGGTGCAGCGATTATAAGAGCAAGGAGACTGTCGAGTGCTTTATCCGCTGCTAGTGCGGCTTGTGACCATATCCATGATTGGTTTATTGGAACACCTAAAGGAAACTGGGTTTCTATGGGTGTTTGCTCTGATGGCTCTTACGGTATACCACCCGGTTTGGTTTACTCGTTTCCGGTTATCTGTGAGAAAGGAAGTTGGAAGATTGTACAAGGACTCAGTATAGACGGGTTTTCAAGGGAGAAAATGGATGACTCTGCGAGAGAGCTAGCTGAAGAGAAGGCTTTAGCTTATTCCTGCCTCAATGTATGAGACCAAATGTCATGGCACATAATAAAATGTAGCAACAAATAAGTTTGTGTTTCTAAAATATCATGTAAAAATATATAACAACTTACATAATAAACGCTGAGGTTTACTAATGCATTTGAAATCTCTGAACTCTTGATGTGAAAAAAAAAAAACAAAAAGAAAGAGAGATCATACTTCTACTTGCGAGAGTATCTCCAGATGCTAAAAGCAAGAACAGCTAGACCCGCAATGCCCGCCAAAATCTGGTAACCAAAAAGAGACGCAGTTAATACATCAGTGATTGATTTTGTTACATTTTACGTGGAAAACACAAAGAACAGAACAGATGAAGACTGACCTTGGTGTCACGGATGTAGCCGGGCCGAGAAACAAAGATAGAGGAAAGGAATCCAAAGCGTGATCTCTGAGGCATGAGAATCACGGCAGTGTACTGTTTCTTGCAAGGGTGAGGAAGGATTCGCTGTAATGCCGCTTGTGCTGTTTGTGGTGCAAGTGACTCTCTCATTCGCAAACGCCCTTCTTCGAGAATCTAATAACCACATATCATTTTCTTCATTTTCATATTGTGTCTATCTAGTACGATCCAAACCTGACTAGAGAAAATATTTTTTTTTGTTTATATAAACTGACCTGGCAAGAAGCGCCCAAATCGCCAGCGTAGACCCTTGACTGGTATCCACGTAGAATCCTGTCTAACCAGTAATAGTTTTCCTGAACAGAACAAGAAAAAACAAAAATCGTTTTGCTTCTGCAGCAAAGATATGGTTTTTGGCTGTGACGGATGTGTAATTGTGAATGATAGTTAAAGAAAAAACCTGCAGGCCATTTTCGTGAGCTCTTTGTTCAATTTCAAGGATGGCTGAAATGTCTTCCTGGGAAGGGCCTTCCTCTTGAAGCCGTACAATTTCTTCCAAAGCTAGATCAACCTGAAAGACAAAGAGGTGTCTTTGGTGAACCAGAAAGGTAGCCAATAACATAGAGAAACCGTTATAGGATCATGTGAGAACAGTAACGAACCAGTTTAGAGGAGATTTCTGGATCACAGGAAAAATTTACACTGATGTCACCACGCAAATCCGCAGTTCTAGAAGGTTTATTCCCGCCAAGAAACACTGAGACCTCAGCGGAATATATCTGCATATATAAGAAGGTTCGGTCACTAAAGGTTCGTGTGATCATCATAGAAAACTGACACGAATGGCAGCATATACCTGTCCATGCGTAAATCTGAGAAACTGGATTATCTTGGTCTCTAGGAGTTTGCCTAAAAAGCCGATACAGTGGATTTCTTCGATCTATCATTCAAATCAGAGGTATGAAGCAACAAATGCATTAGACATTTTAAGTTAAAACAAGAAGCAAAGACCATCAATGTTATGGTTACACTGCGGAGTCACTTACCATTGTTCCATTTGTTAACTGCACAGGAAAGCATAACTGGACTGAACATTGAGCCTCGACCATTGGACTTCGTACGAATTCTCTGTAATATTCACACATTTAAGTCAATATGTAAATGGCAAGGAAAGTAGACAGTATTATTGTATCTGTTTGGTCAATGTATGAACATTTCTATCAGAATTCTCAAAACTTCTAATCAGGGCCAAGTGTTCAAAATTTCAACTTCTACATGTGGATTGTCATTTAACTGCAACCTTTGCCAAACTTGTAATCAAGATTTTGAAAACCATATAATTTTCTTCAATGGCGATACTGAAGCCAAACAAAGATATACTATGCTGTTGAAAAACCATATACAGCTTACCTTGTTATCTTCGTAGGGAAAGTGAATGGTAAGCCCTTGAGATCATCACGGTTGAAATTGAGAATCGGTTGAGGAGGCTTAGGTATTCCACCCTGCATGGAGGGAACGCAAGAATGCAATCAATTCCGAGCTTACATTTTTCTTTGTATCACCATTGATGTGATCCAACTTACCAAATACTGAAGAATTAGAGGAAGCGCGATAGAAGGATCGAGGTTCCCTACAATCACAACTGTGAAAGTTGATGGATCCCTAAAGCAACTGTTGAAGTATTCGCAAGCCTTCAGCGGGTCAACTTTTCTGAGTTCACTTATCCGAATAGGCTACACATCAGAGGCTATGGTTAGAAACGGCTGGGAGTTCACCGTGAGATAATTAGTCATTGAGCTAATAGAAGGTATCATACCCTAAAGAAATAAGAGTTTCCATAATTGAGCTCCTTCACTCTGTTGGCGAAGACAGTGTAAGGGTCTCTTTCTCGAGCACGGACGGCTTCTTCTGCCATTTGCATCACTATTCCCACCTCTTCTTCTTGTGGCATCACGTTTGTAGTAAAAAGTTGATAGACTAGCTGGAAAGAAGTATTAATAAGTTCAAATGCAAGGAAAAGTGGTAAAAACTAATTAGAGGAAAAGAGGAGCCAAGGCACAACAGTGTATGGGTGTGCACGAATATGTTCGTCAATAAGTTCAGCCCATCATTCAGATATTAGCAAAGCTAATACAATATATACCTAAGTGCAAATCAGAGAGTTGTGTTTAATAAAGTCTACTGCTATGTTTCAGCAAACCATGTTAACAAAAAGCCTGAGATCAACCTGGAAGAACTTAAAAAACAAAATGTCTATATGCAGGAGGAAGAAGGCAAACCTGCAAAGCAGTTTCAAGGTCTGTCGGTGAACAATCACAAGAAAATGTTCTCATGTATGGCCCGAGTCTTGCGCTAACTTCAACTCTCTTACCAGCAAGCATATCCATAAGCATTGATGGCTTATAACCAAACATACCGATTTCACCAGCAATCGTTGATCCCATCGAACATGAAATGTAATCACTCTCAGGGAGTTCAGAAAGTCCTCCATATGAGAACCCTGTAAAAAGAACCTGCACGGAAAACAAACAAAGTTACGGAACACTAAGTATAATAGAAGCTTAGAGCTTAATCTATTGCCAACTATACATAGACATAGAATTCCAAAATATTGTAGCTCTTAATTAATATTGCACCTGATCGTCCAAGAAGTCTGTGGATTTGTAGCAAACTTGCATTCCGTTTGATAATGTCAATTCTGTAACCCCAACTTCTGGATATTCAAGCTGGTGAATAACATCCCTTCATTGAAAATTAGTTGAGGATGAGATATGAGATATGAGAAATTAAAATTACAACCAGTCAGTGAGGTCTGCCTACTTTTACCCTAACAAAAGAGCTATTTAGTTTAGTAAAAGACTTAGAGATAGGATCTTATCAAGATTCTGATTCTTCAGATAAATCTTCCGAACTAGTCAGCTTCTCTAAGAAATATATAATGACACAAAGGCATTAAACTTTTCGGACCTATATTTTTCTAACCGGCGAATCTCTGAAACCTAAAGCCAAAAGAGCCAATATCCAAAAGTGAAGAAGCTATTAAGTCTGAGTGATTTTTGTTATTCTTTATAAGCAAACTTATAGTTATACTTCAAAACTTTACCCTGGAGTTGGTTTTACACTGACAACTTCTTCTGGAATCTTTTCCTCATCCCACGGAGCAATCTTCCTTTCTTCCTCAAGACTATTAACCTTTGAGACAACATTTTTCATATCATCAATTGTTGCAGCAGATCTAGGCTCCATTGTCTTGATCACACAACCGCATGATGTTCTTAACTTCTCAGAGTATTTGGATACATCCGAAGCTGATATTTCTGCATCAGAAAGGAGCCAATATAATTGATACGAGTTACATAATCAAAGTTTAAGTAGACTACATTATAAGCAGAGTAGGCATGTTCTCACGGGGTAGAAGAGTTTTCTGAAGTTGCGCCTCGTATTCAATCCCAATAACAGGTTCCTTGTGAAGGAAATGCTGCAAGATGAAACACAAATATAAACAAGATTTTCGTATAGGGGCAAGACCAAAAGCTGGACATTAAAGTTCATCATAGACTTTACCTGTATATATTCATCCCGCAAGCTAGTTGATTGGACTTGATCACGTTCCAGAAAAGCAGATTCAATCTCCGACATCATGAGAGCTCGAACAACAGATATTTCACGCTCTGAGAACCCATGAAGGCGTACCCTAGCAACCTAAAACACAAGAGAACCAATGAAGGGGGAGAGAGAGGAGAAAATGACAAAGACTCGAAAAGAGGGAAAGGAGAACAGACCTCGAGAAGCATAGACTCTAGGGATGACATAGTTCCTTTCTCTTTACAAGACGAACTCATTATATAAGCCTTCAATGGGCTCACGAGGACATCGGCAGCAACGGAGCACGCAAAAAACGGAGGGTCCTTTCTACGGGATAATTTGAAGAGTCTCTGGTTAATTGCATGTAGAAACATAGATTCTGCAAGCATATCCCTATAATCTTTCACCGTCTTCAGATCACATACGGGCATCTTATAGCTAATCATTACTGCAGACTACAAGCCAACACCAGGAAAGAAGCTTAGGACTCCGGAAATCGATAATACTGGAAGAGGTTTGGAGAGTTAAAATTTGACTAACCCCAGCTGCCTCCGACTCAACAAAGCAAGAAAATCGTGTCTCTTCATGTGAAGGAACAGGAAAGACTGGTATCTCTGGAGGATTGCTACTCGATCTTTTATCCTCGAAGTGCGTCTTTATCAAATCAACTACAGTCTAGAAAGAAGTCAGGAAGTCAAAATCATAAATGCTTGAGTAACCAAAGAACAAAAGTACTGTCACAGTCACAAAAACAACATAGTAGTACCTTTGTATCTGGAAAATCTCCAACAGCCACAACTGCCATATTGCACAAATGATACCACTTCTGGTAAAATTGCTTCACAGTTGCAGCAGGAACAGACCGAATCACTTTCTCCAAACCAATAGGTAACCGTTCAGCATACTGCAGTCAAATGAAAGTCTTTCAAGAACACATTGGAGCCTCTCTTAAACTACACAAATGATTAAGTAAAAAAAAAAGCCTCACATACCTTTGAACCTTCCATCATCAGCTGCCAATGCGAATCTTGCATCCTCCCAGTAGCATTTCGGTTCCCTCGGTACTCTTCCATAACAGCCCCTCTTTCTTTCTCCAAATCTTCCTTTGAGACTCGAATCTAAACATTAACAAACCGTTTACAGATTTTAATGGACAAAAAAACAAAAAACCAAAAATGGATCAAACAGTCAAACAGAGACATTATTACCTCGGAGCTGAACTCTGCTAAAATGGAAATAGCCTGAGATAGCAACTCAGGCTTATCAACGGGTACAAACAGCTCATATATGGTCTCATCCGCTGTAGTCATTGCGTTTTGACAGGGCCCAAACTCTGCTCCGATGCTCTCTAAGAACTTGACAATATCATGGTTTGTATATCTCGTTGTAGCACTAAATGCAAGATGCTCTACAATATGAGCGACTCCACGCTGATCCTCCTCTTCCAAAACTGAACTGCCAATAAACCAAAAGGTGTGTCAGCTACAGATTGTATAATTCAACACAACTTCATCCAAATTCTGTACATTTCAATTGAAAAAAATATATACACTACGAATGTATTCATGCATGTCACAAATCTATTCATAAAAAGTCACCAGAAGAATCGTTAATCAAAATCAAAGTTGGATCAACACATCAGAGAACAAATTAATCACCAATTCGACTCAGAACAGTAAAACGCCTAATCCTCGAGTTCGAGGAAACACGATTTAGCAACAAACAACGGATCAAAACCAAAACTGTACTCTAAATGTCGCCAAAATCGAGAAAGGAGAAGGCCTACCCGACTTTAACGGCGAGAGCTAGAGCGGCTCTCATTCTGGGTTTGGAGTTTCGTCGAACGTAGTAGACGAGACCATTGTCGAGTCTTCCATAGTCGGCACCGAAAGGCTCAGGCTCGTTCCCGAGTTCCTGTTCCATATCCACACTCATCAGTTTCAGCGATCTAAATCCTTGTTTCCTCAACACCTTCGAGCTCTCTCCCGCTATCAAATCCATCTCTCTCTCTCTCTCAAACTCCTTTCTCTCTCTACCTCACTCTGTCAAAATCAAAAATCGTTTCTAAACACAAACACCGAAACAAATTCTTTCTCCCTCTGGTGACGCACAAGAGTCCCACCTTCAAGATTTGTTCTTCTTATGTTTTTATTTTATTTTTGCCTTGACAATTAATTTTCCCGGTCCGCTTGATAAATTTGGTTCGACCAGTATTGGTTCAGTATACCGAATTTCCGGTTTTCGCTAAAATTCGATCGGACTAATCCAATTAGCGATAGTACAAAACCGTTATCATAACCGTACTGAACCGTTAAACCGGAACTACATTAGTTTTTCTCAACCTCCATAACAGATTGGAACAAAACGAATGCAAACAGACAGAGTTTTAACCACTCAAACAAAAAGGTTTTGATAAAATCTCTCGCGAAGTTTTTATAATCGAATCAGATTTTTTTCAAACTTTCGGGCATATGACTCTCTCAGCGACCAACTTGATCTCACGAATCCTTTCCTCAACCAACTGCTTCAGCTGCTGCTCTTGATCCGGTGTGTTTTCATCAACTTGAACGTTGCTGTTAGCTTCTTCTCCATTGACAGGCTTGAAAACCACAAACGATGCTTCTGGTGCGAACGAGCTCGGAACATCCACGACCTGTTTCGTCGGAGCTTCTATATCTTTTCCAAGAATGTCGGTCCTCACATGGTTCGTGATGACCGATGTGTAGTCCTCCATGTATTTCTCGATAGGGTCGAGCGCTAGATATATCAAGACCTCCCAGCATTTGAGAAACTGTTTCTTGTTGATCTTCAGAGTTTCGCGGACTTTCTCGATGGCATTCAGAGGCGGAGTGAATCGAGGTATCTGAGCTTTCTTCGATAGCTTGCCTTTAGTGAAAGTCTGAATAGCTGAATCAATGGCTGGCTTGATTGGGTCGAAAGCTCGCAAGCGGTTTATGTCAATGCAAGTGCGAATGTGTTGGAACTTTTCCGATGGCTCTTCCACTGTCAGATCGTAAATGTATTCTGCAACCGCCACTTTGTTCACAACCTCCACGAGATAGCTTCCAAATCCTTTCCCTTGGAAGGAAGGCAGGACCAGGATCTGGAATCACAATGAAGAAAGAAGACAGTCAAATCGCAAAAAACTGCAAGAAATTATTGAGTGATCTTTGAGGTGTTTATGTTATACCTGGCTGAGTCGCATACGTAACCTGTCGGGATAACGATAGAATTTATAAATCGCAGAAAAGCCGACAATTCGGTACGAAGGCTCCTCTTTTTCCTCTTTCTTTTGAATTAAGAGGTATAAATGCCAGTCAGGGTCAGTGACATCAATCGGGTTGCTGCCTGATAATAATGGACCAATGTCTTGTTAGTACTAATACGAGAAACAAAAATTTCAGGATGCCTTAAAAGAGCAAGGGTGTGTTAAAAGAGCAAGGGTGTGTGAGTGATTACCATCGACAAAAAGGAGAACAAGAGGCACCAATCGGCTATAGAGGAGTCCAGCATTTGGAGAACCAATTTTCATCCGCAACACCTGAGGAAAATCAACCATTATATATGTTTTTTTTTCTAAGCAAATCCCCAGATTCACTGCTTGATAAAAGCATCTCAAAACTAAATTGCTCCATTGGGATTGTAAGATACATGAAACATATAATGCGAAAACTACCTGGAGATCTGAAGGAGCCACTTGAGCATTAATGCTGCTTCCATCTATCGCTCCGGAATGTATTACCTCTCCGTCTGAGACCATATTCCTATAACAATCAATGAAACAGTTAAATAATTATACACAAAGACGATGAACAGAAACCAATTTAACAAAAAAAATACAGGAACAAGCTCAAGATAAGTATGAAAGTGTGTACCTGATAAAACCTTTTTCTGTCGAAAAGGTTTGCAGAAATTCATCCTTGTTAGCAACAATGGTCTCAGCAAATATGTTCTGGTGTGGAGTGAAGTAGTCAATCAGAAAAAGAAAAAAAAAAACAAAGAGCTAAAAATTGCTGGAGCGTCTTATAAGATGAGACGTGGAGTTTATTTAAGTACCTGTAAAGCAGATTTGAGGTCCGTGATGCCTTTGTCTCCCTTAAAACAAATAACAAGAGATAACATGAAATGATGCTCCAGAGTATATAAACAATTAAGTGGATTGAAAGTAAACTCAACACTTACATTGGTTGTGCTTTGGTATGTAACATCAGCATATGAATGTAATGAGATGCAATTGATCCATACATTGATCTGACAAAAAATGAATTTGACGTAAAGATTATGTTAGAACAGAACAACAACAGTGGGGAACCAGAAATGTAAGAAAGAGCAACGTAATTTTTACCTTTAAACCTTGGTAACCATATATCTTGCCATCTCCACCAAAGAAATCACTCAAGTCAACTGGATTCACGCTGGGAATTTCAGGGGAATCCACTTCCTCTTTGCTGGAAACTAGAAAATCACCCACCACGAAATTATGTCACAACAAATCCAAGAAACTCTATACAGACAATATTCCTATGACTCATTGAAAGAAAACCCACAAAAAATCAACAGAACACAAGCGCTACTACATGTTCAAACAACTGAAGAACTATCTCTTGATAGCAATTTTGTGTGCTGAGAGACATGACACAGAGCTGGGACTAGATCGTAGACTACATCACACCTATGCGTAACGAAACAATTTATATCATGGTGTCCTTCTTCAACCAACAATTGAAACAGCAATTCCAGGTACGAATTGCAATAAAGTTCAACGGAAAAATCAAAAACTACGAAAATGGAATTTAGACCAACTAATTGGACCAAAAAGTCTGAACCAGGAAACGTAACCCTAATTCCGTACGGAAAATATATCCCGAAAATGATCCTAAACTAGATACGCACCGAGATAAATTTTGATGCACTCGTTAGCCTCCACACCAGTATCTGTTAAGAACAAAACACCAGATTAGAAGAAAAATTACGTAAAGCGGGGAAATCGCGACCCAAGTTAAGACAACAGTAACGGAAATGGGAGATGAAATTACTCACCGGCGGGAGAAAATCCGACACGGCGACGCTTCCTAGGCTCGGCACCTGGGCCGGCGGCGGATTGCTGCTTCTGAACCATGGGTTCTACGGCGTGAGAAAGGATTTCTAAGGCGGGAAGAGAGTGAGGCAAAGGCGGGAAAATTGGAGGGTTAATGGAAATGAGAAGAGCGATACTCTCAGTAACGCTTAGGGATCTTCTTTATGTATAAAACTCAGAGCAGACGGAGAAATAGACACCACATGATCCGCACCGTGACTTCCATCATAACATAACAAGGCCCGCCCACGGCCCAAATAAAACAAATGTAATGAAATATAGGGACTTATTGCTTTTAGTCAAACATCATAACAACGAGGGCGTTTGGTCTAGTGGTATGATTCTCGCTTTGGGTGCGAGAGGTCCCGAGTTCGATTCTCGGAACGCCCCCATTCGTTTTTTCCTTTTTTTTTATGTTCTGCTGCTCTCTTTGCCAACTATTTCAATGAATGTTCAAAATTTCCCAAATGATCAATAACTTTAGAAACACGTAATTATTTACCTTACCTTCTCAAACTTTTTTTCATGATGGAAGAGGATACAATCAGGTTAGTTATTCTTCCTCCATTTATTGAAGTTCTAGTTTTCTGCCAAAATTGTTCAGCAAAATGGACCCATTTTAAGATGAGTCCATTTTTACCACAAACAAAAAAAAGTCAACTTGCTCAATTTAAATAAACATCTCGGTTTTCATAGAAAATTGAAATAATATCTAAAAAGGTTTGATATGATATGATTCAGTTTAAACATTTGGTTGGTTATGAAAATTTTCCCACCACCCTTACTTGTCCTTATAAAACAAAAACTACAATTTTAAATTTCAGTTTTGTTTTGGTGTTTTTATTGGATTTATTGTGAGATTGGAGCTGGTTAATATTAGTCAAACTTGTTTTCTCGATTAATAAGGTTTTGTTTTGTTTTTTTGATAAAATATACACTTTTTTTTGGGGTTTTTGACCGTTCGTGTGTCATGTTACGACTACCGGCGTCTATGGAGAAATCACCGCAAAGTTTTAAGAGAGAGAGAGAGTAAACGAAGAAAATAAAGAAAAACAAAAATCGGTTCTTTTTCCAGAGAGGTCTTAGGAGAGAGGAGAGAGAAAATAGAAGGAACCGCTTTGTATATAAGCTAAGAAAAGCCAAAAACATCTAGAGGCTAGAGGGGGAGAGGAAGAGAAGAAAAGAGAGAGCTTCTGTTTCTTATCCGCCGGTAATAAGACGACGACAGCGACGGCGGAAGCGGAGGAGCTTTTGTTGCCAATGGCGGATTCAAACAGCTCCGTTTCCGTCGACGTTGGAACGATCTATCTCGGTGGCAAGGTTCATACTTTTTTAACTTCCTAATTTTGATTTCCTCTGTGTTTTCGAAATTGATTCGATTGGGTTGTTTCTAGTTTCTTGAAATCGGATCCGAATAAAGCTCTTTTTTTGTTTTCTGGGTTTATCGTAAACTTGCCTAAATCTAATTATAATCTTCTGGGTCAATCTTTCTGTGAAACTTTGGAAGAACAGAGCTTTCTGATTGAGGTTTTGTGCAAGAAATTTTATGGTTTTTGTTATTCATTATAAGGCATTGTTATAGATTCGATTGATTTGTTGTTATAATAAATCTCATCTCTCTTTCAAATCAAATGATTGCCTATTTCACACATTTCAGAAGCTCATAAGCTTCTTTTTTTTTTTTTTTTCCCGGAAAATTCTTTGCTTGTGGACTTGTGAAGTTTCTTTTTTATGATTCTTTCCAGAAGGGATTATTCTTGGGATCTTCTTCTCTATTCAAAGATATCTCCTTCTTCTACTGTATTCCACTATTCCTTATTCTTGTCTTATTGCCTTTTGATTTTTTTTAATAAAAAAGAAAACTCCAGCTGTTTTTGTCTACCTTTAACCCTTTGTTTAATTATAAGATTAAGACTAACTGCTTCTTTATTATCTCATTAACACTCATATTCTTCCATCTCTAACGAAAACACTGGCATTCTCTTTATATAACTCCTCTTTTTACACTGTCATTCTCTTTTTATAAGAAAACATGAATCACAATGATTAGAATTAGGGCCATCCTTTGGATGATGATGAAGTTTTCGATTTTGTTTTTTGCCCTTAAAGTAGAAAGCTGCACATGGAAAAGCTCTAACAGAGATTTCCTTTATTGTTTTTATAGTATTATTTTCCACCTAAAGTAAGTTGCCATATTCCTAGCTTTAGTATACAAATACAAAAGCGAAATATATATTCTTTACTGAAAGATAAACAAACACATGTATTAAGAATATGGAGAAGACAATGGTATGAGATAGTGTATGGCTAGAAACTTCAGTTTTTCTTTTGTATAACAAAACTTGTTTGGTTTTCTTGTGTTCAGGAGCATCGTGTTAAAACTGCAAGTGGTGTTGTGTCTGTCATTGTCTATGGAGATCGAGAAAAGCCAGCATTGATTACTTATCCTGATTTGGCCCTTAACCGTAAGTCTACCGAATCTTTACAGGTGTACGACTAAATTACAGGATCATCTTCTATGTTTTGCTAAAATTTTAATGTTTGTGGTGCTTCTTCTTCAGATATGTTATGCTTCCAAGGATTATTCTTCTGCCCTGAAGCAGCTTCCTTGCTGCTACATAACTTCTGCATTTATCACATCAGTCCACCTGGTCATGAGGTCCATATTTTTGTTTCTCTTTTTTGTTAAAATTTGCCATATGCTTTTGCTTGGCGTCACATACTCACATGCTATCTTCGTTTCCTTGCATTTTTCACGAAGAGTTCTTACAGTTAGGAGCTGCTCCGATTTGTCCTGATGATTCAGTCCCTTCTGCTGAAAATTTGGCTGATCAGATCCTTGAAGTTCTCAACTATTTCGGGTAATGATTCAAGTTGCAGCCATAAAGAAGCTTTCTTTTATATTTGTCTGTTATAAAATGTTTTGTAACTAATGACGTATAAGCTTTTGTTCAGCCTTGGTGCTGTGATGTGTATGGGAGTGACTGCAGGTGCCTACATCCTCACCTTGTTCGCGGTATGTTCCTATATATTTTTTTAACTCTTCTCACAATCTGTTTCCTCAGACAAACATTGTGTTTATAATCTGTTCTATGTTCCAAAACTTTTTCAGATGAAACATAGAGAAAGGGTTCTCGGTTTGATTCTTGTCTCACCGCTTTGCAAGGCGCCGTCTTGGTCTGAATGGTTTTACAACAGGGTTATCTCAAACTTGTTGTATTTCTACGGAATGTGTGGAGTGGTGAAAGAATTTTTGCTTCAGAGATATTTTAGTAAGGTGCGGTAACTGCAATTGCCATGGTTCTTTACTTGTTGCATTACTTATTGAAACTGGTATTGAAAAAAAACCGCTTCTACTTGCAACAGGAAGTCCGTGGTAACATCGAGATTCCAGAGTCAGATATAGCACAAGCTTGCAGAAGAGTCAGTGTTTTACTCTCTTTGTTTTCTTACCTTTCAATACATAGATGATAGATCTCTCTGTATATCTAGTAATTGACACCGTTACGCTTTTGGTAATGTCCTCAGCTGCTTGATGAGAGGCAAGGCGTAAACGTTTTGAGATTTCTTGATGCTATTGATCGGTAATACAACAACCACCTTCCTTATCTAAACAGAACATTCGTCACGGTCAAATATTGATTTCTTAACATTTTGCTCTTGCAGGAGACCTGACATATCAAGTGGATTGAAGAAACTAAAATGCAGGACACTCATCTTCATCGGAGATCAATCACCTTTCTACTCAGAGGCTGTTCATATGGCAGCAAATTTGGATAGAGGATACTGTGCTTTGGTTGAGGTTTGAGAAAACCCAAAATCCTTTAGACTTCTTTCTTGACATAAACCAAAACATTTGGTTTTCATATTGGGATGGTTTCACATTGATCAACATTTGGGGTATTGGAATTTCAGGTTCAGGCTTGTGGTTCAATGGTAACAGAGGAGCAACCACACGCAATGTTGATCCCAATGGAGTATTTCTTGATGGGTTATGGATTATACAGACCATCTTGTTTCTCAGAGAGCCCTAGAAGTCCTCTTAGCCCTTCTTGCATTTCACCAGAGCTTCTCTCTCCTGAGAGCATGGGACTCAAGCTTAAGCCTATCAAAACTCGGATTGCGGCTTAAGTGTACGTGCACCCTACTGATTCATTGGTTCTAGTTTTGCTGAGGAGACAATCTTAGGGCTTTTGTAGATATAGAAACACTTAGGGAGACAAATTCAATCAAAACATATTCTTTTGTAGTCAGCCATGATAAAGACACGACAGTCCACAAATGTTGTTTATTATTTCATTTTTTTATATATAAATATGTAATTCTGTTGTTGTGACATTGTAACAATTGTTTTGTGATGACTCTGCACATTTTAGTAATCAAGTTCAATAACTACATTTTTTTTCTTTTTCTTTATGCGACTTTGTAACAATTGCTTCGTGTTTGGACTCTGCAATCATCTCGAGATTTTTCTTTGGATGAGACGAGGAGTGGCCAAAGATTGTTGTATCTCGCAAATTGTATTTTACACCAAATCCTAAACTTTATGCAATCTACAGAACTCTGCCACTTGAAATTAAAGACTCCACGCCAAACATTCACAAGCACAATTCAGTTGACGCTCCCAGTACACCAATGGATCCACAGAACTTTTATACATTTGATGATATCATTATCAAACAAAAGAGTTCGGCTTTGATCAAACAATTGGTCTTTTAAAATCATTTGCATCATTCATATAGACCTAGTAGTGGTTGGATATAAATAAGTATTGCAGTTCGAACTAGTTCAAGTCTTGAAAAACTTTTTGACCCGAGAACCGGTCCAAGAGAATAAACCCTTCTAAGTTCAAAGTTCAGTATCTAGGGTTTAATAAGAGACATGTCTAACAAGGCACACACATATACTAACATTAAAGCAGACCTTAAGAAGAGAATTAACCAATGTAGAAGTTTTACCCAAAAGCAAGTTTTTAGATACCGTATTGTTCTTGCAAAACGAAGCAGACCGAAAATTAAGAAACGAAATGCGACAGCTATTATCTCAAGTTTCTATCGTCGAACATAATCTCCGATTGATATGGACTTCAAGCAACGAGCGTGTTTGAAGATAAAACTCAAGAAATCTCTCTCTTCTGGTCTTCCAATGTAGCCTACAAACTTCAAAGTTTCAAGACTCGTCCTAAGACATTCAGGAACAAAGCTCCGTTTATTCTTCCAGCGAATACGTACGTACTCCTCATAAGGTGGATAACTCTAAGATTAAAAACAAACGAGAGAGAGAGAAAGCGTCAAGATAAAACATCAAAATGCTTTTAACCGACTATTGTCAATGTAGGAACTTACCTCGACGTAGAGATTGAGAACTCGCAGTTTAGGAGAGTTTCTAAGCAACCAAACAAGTAACTTTGACCAATTGTCATTACATATACATAGCTTCAGATATTCAAGGCGATTAAAGACAATACCAGAGCGATACTTATGCTGCAAATTTGACAAAGAAACAACAAACGATCAATTTTAATCTCAACAAAACCTGAGCTAAAGTGTTATCATACCATTTATATTATGGAATTTGAAAGATGCAAGAATATTTTACCTCATCTTCGCCGCTGCATAATTCACGTAACGAAAGTCTTTTGACATGAGTGCATTGCTCGAGAAGCTTAACGATATTTTGCATCACACTGAGATCTGCCTCTTCCAGCACTGGCATGTGCTCTGGTGAATGATAATCTTTGATCGTCGAATATGAAATACTTCAAAGAAGGGGTACCTATTATATACCCATCTACAGATGGATAATGGCCACAACAACAATCATTCCGCAATGTCAAACGCAGCAAAGATGGGACAATTACAACTATCACCGCCTTATCTGCTTCATCTTCACGTCTAATCAACAGATCTTCAAGAACAGGGCAATGAGATAGAAGAAGCCGAAGAGAATCTTCATTTGAGTACGTCACCTCTTCAAGTTGTAAAGTTTTCAAGGAGGGGAGACAAGCCGTTGGAGGAACATCCACAAGAATCCCTGAGCCTTCAGTTTTCAAGATCACAAGCGATTTGCATGTGTACAAGCTTCTCGGCAATATGAGTTCAGGTACAACGTAGTTACAAAAATAAATACTTAGCTCACGCAAGCAGTGAGAAACTGCAATTTCAACCCAACGTTTGATATCTTCAAATTGAAATGGCTGAAAATTTTCGAGGCACAAGATTTCTATGAACGGCGCTCGTAATGGCAGATTCTTGCAAATAAAATCGCGAATCTCAGGCTCATCTATATGACCGCAATCAAGCTTAGGCACCCCCATCCAGAGACGTTCCCATCGTTTTGACAAAACGCTAGTGGACACAGCAACTTTTGTCGGAACAAATGATAATATCTTCACCAGCAATTCATTAGGCAAATTACTGATTCTGTCCATATTTTGTTTCTGTTTTCCTACCCTGAAAATGTCAAGAAAACTAGTAAGACTCAACAGGATGTTGTCACAATCCAACCAAACCAATTTAGTTACAAGTGATAAACGTACAAGCAAAAAGTGAAAATGGGATAATCCCTAAAAAAAAAAAAAAACTGAATCGTTAGATGATATACCTTTTTTCTCTGCAATTCTGTGGAGCCTAGACTCGTCTTAAGTTACATATATAAAGGAAAACAGAAGATGAATTCAAAACGTCGTTTTATCTTACCTTTTACGGTATTGGACAAAGTTTGTTGTGCAAAATGTTATTTCCAAGACGTTCAATTAATTAATAAATTAAGTTTAAAAGCAGATGATAGATATTAGGTTGACGTGTCTCTAGGCGTCCATTAGTTAATTTTGAACACAGAAACGGATCCTCTCTATCAAAAGCAAGTTCAAGTATCTAATCTTGGTTTGCGAGCTTGAGAAATTATAGTGTCTTGGGTATATTTGGAGCACAAAGCTGACGTATGAGTGACATAGTATAGTGATCTGTAGATTGTTGCTTTGTGTTAACGCAAATTTCGACTTGTGGGTGGCTTCAAAATCAAAACTTGTGCTGAGTTAATCAACAATTGAAGGTTTTTAGATTGAGTTTCTCCCATTATTTACTCATTGTGAATAGAAAACGTGAAATCAACAATAACAGTATTTTTTTTTCAAAATTCTTCAATCTTTGAATAGAGAGATGCTTTGTTCGGGATACAATGGCCGGTTAGGTTATTTCAACTAGCCATGGATGTGCAATGTAACTCCGGCACGTGTGTTAATCCGAATCCGAGATCTTGGATTGAAGAATGAAGATCAAAGTAAGCCCCTTATTGTATTGAACATCCTAACAGTTTACAAATCCAACAAAGCTCTCTCAGACACTCATACCTCGCGATCTCTACAAGCGAGTAGTTCGAAAGGTTGTCGCTTTCTTTCAAAACACAGAAACAATGACAATACAGCAACTTCAAATAATGTAATCTGACCATTCCGAGATGAAGGAAGTGTGATCCATCGATTCTCCGGGACATTCCTCATCATGAATCGTTGGCTTCTCTTTCCCTCCCACGAGTCTCGCCGGATTTCCCACCGCCGTAGCTCTCGGAGGCACGTCGATCAGGACCACAGATCCTGCTCCTACTTTAGCTCCTGCGCCGATCAAGACGTTTCCGAGGATAGTCGCTCCAGCTCCGATCAAGCAACCGTCACCGATCTTCGGATGCCTGTCTCCGCAAGCTTTACCGGTTCCACCGAGCGTCACGTGGTGGAGGATCGAAACGTTGTTCCCTATCACTGCTGTTTCTCCCACGACGACTCCGGTTGCGTGGTCGAGAAGTATCCCTTTCCCGATCTTCGCAGCTGGATGGATATCGACGGCGAAAACGTCGGAGATTCGTGAGTGAAGAGCTAATGCTAATGGCTTCCGCGATTGCGTCCATAGCTTGTGCGAGACACGATGCGCCTAATCGAAATTTTAACAAATCAAATTAACTCAATTAATTGGGCAAAAATGCAGAAATTCAACTGATTGAACAATCAAGCTAACTAAAACATTCATAATTTATTGGGCACAAATCTATAAATCAAAACGTATAATGAAGAATTGCAGATTCACCAGATTGTAGAATCAAATAATCTACAAAAAAACTCAAATTTAAATGAAGCGAATTCTTGAAAACGAAATCGTATGTAGCAGATTCAACAAATTGAAGAAACCAAATCAAATACAAATGAATTGGGCAAAATTCTGGAAAAAAAAAACAAATCGGAAGATGAAGATTCACCTGAATTGCTAAGAAGCCTTTATAATTGAGAAGGCAATGGGAGAAGGAGATGCAAGCAGGATCACGAACGCGAGCAGCACGAAGATCTGCAACGGTGGCGTTGCGCAGAGAAGGATCGGAGGTGAAGGTGTTCAAGAACAGATCGTATAAAAGTGTGGAGAGAAGCGTCGAGGAGCAGAGCTTGTTTCCTAAATGAAACGAGATAGATCGCTCCAGTGACGAATGAGAGAGAATCGTCGAGTAGAGATAGCTAGCTAACGCCGGCTCCGCCTCAGCGTCACGGCGAGCCTCGGCTTTAATCTGTGTCCATAATCCCGCAGCCTCCGCATCGGCCGCCGCAGCAGCAATCGCTGCCGCAGCTGCTGCTTCAGCAGATTGAGATTGATTATCGGTAGCCTGATTATCATTTGATGGAGATTGATGTCGGAGTTCTCCGGCCGGCGGCATCCTAACGACGGAGATAAAATAGCGATTCTTCTCCTACCTCCTCCGATCTTCGAGGAATTCAATTTAAAATTTTACTATCCATAAATAAAAGATAATGATAGGCCACGTGGCGTCACAATTCAGATCCGTTAGATCCAGATTAATCCTTCTAAAATTCGACGGTGGTGATTTCACCGACAGCTCTTGGTTCCGACAAAACGTGTTTTTCACTGTAGAAGAGATCAAGAGAACACCTCACTGATTTTTTTTAAATTAATAATTAATGTGTAATTCGGTAGAGAAAATCGGTACAAGTACAAACAAACAAAACCGGCTTGGTACAAACAATTCCGGTTAGATGACAGACAACTTAACCAAATCATGAAGGGATGATTCTCATTCCCTTGTGCTCTTCACATCTTTTACGTCCTTTTACCGGAGATCTCTCACAGATCAATCCATCACACATTTTAACACCGCATGTCACTTGTTTTCCGACCACCGGAGGAACATTTACCGGCGAGATATCGCAGGAAGTTTTCTCCTTATGTTGCCAACACCTTTTGCTTCCTTTAGGAGAACTTCTTGTGCAAGGTAAGCCATTCTTTGTTGCAGCTTCACAGAAGCGAGTCAAAGCTTCTTCATCGTTTAGGTCAGTATGCGATTCGGGATCATATTTCTCGTCTTTGACGGTTTTCTCACGATCTGTCTGGTTAAGAAGAAAGAGGAAAGCGTTGATCCTCATGCCTTTATGATCCTCACATCGTTTTCTTCCTGAAATAGTTCTCTTAGTGCAAGGTTCCATGTTAGGTAAGATCACTCCACACATAACACCAGAGTCGTCGTGATTGTGATCTTGTCCGATAAAAACCTCGGGCTGTAGCGGTTTGCGTTTCTCCGGTGAGACACGGCAAACTCTCTGCCCTTTATGCTCTATGCATCTCTTTCTTCCTTTGACTGGACTTCTACTGCAACAAACACCATCTGCAAGTAAAACTCCACAGACAGAATCAGAACGAGAACCACCAATCTCATCTAATCTGTCTGAAACCGGTTGAGGTCTAGACCGGGTGAGTTTGAGTATCGAAGTGAGGAAACTACTACTCTTCTTCTCTCCATCAACATCGCAGCTTAACATCCTCTCTTGTTTAAGCACATGCTTCTCTCCTTTGATCCTGATACCAACTTGGTTCCGTAGAAAAGGAAACAGCAGTCTTGATATCCCGGACTTTCTCCTGCTCATGAACTCGCCATCACCGAGCTTCTTGAGCAGATCAAGCTGGCGTCGTTCCCCGTTGCTCCCTTTGTTCCACGCATAGTCAAACGTGCTCAAAAGCATCCCTTCTGTTGCCTCAGCTTCCCTCTTAGACCCCATCTGATAAAATCACACCAAAGCAGAGAAACAAACAATCACATGAGAGTTAATGATCAAAAGTTATAGACTTTGCAGAAGCCAAGATTACAGGATGATACCGGAGCCCATCTATACACAATCGAGCCATCTTTCGTGAATATGTCCTCGAATAAACCGGCGGTCACAGCCTTCTTATCCGGAGATTCTACGGTTTCACAGTTGTTAACTTTGCGCAGGTGAGCACCGGATCTTCCATAACGCTGGAGTCTAGTTCTAACGCTTTCAGCTTGTCCTAGATACGCAGCGAGGACATCGTCGGAGTCGAGCTTACGGGCTTGGTCTCGACCGATGACTGCTACACCGAGCTCATACAGACCGGGACAAGATTTGCGCGGTAAGCTCTGGACTCTGTATCTACACACACCGTCTTTTCCGTTTTTGAAATCCTCCCAATCGCTGGATCCTATTAGAACCTGTGTGTATACAGGTTTTAGTATCGAATATCACACAATCAGATCTCAGATTCTTTCATAAAAGATAAGACTTAAAGATCAAAGCACTTCAAGTTGCAAAATTAAGATCTGTGACAGAATGAGCTAATTAGGTCTAAAAGTGAGAAACTTTAACAGGAATCCAGAGAAGTGGAATTAAGTAAAACATGAATTTTGCGAAACCGTTATTGACCCATGAACACAAAATTATTCAGAATTTCTCGATATATAGCGATGCAAATTACCAGAAGCTTAGATTATTTCAAGGATTTCAAGCATCTGGTGTCGAATTCCAGGAAATCGAAGATTAGGCATTTCAATTCCACTGAAAATCAGACGTTACAACACAAGATCGAGTAAAAGCCCCAAACTCAGAAACTTTGATTTCAATAGACAAAATCGGAATTGAGGGAGAGGACCTTCCACTTGGAGAAAACGGCGTCGTGTTTGGTCCGCTTATAGTCTTCTCTCTTGTACACAGTGGGGACGACGGCGAAGGAAACGCCATCGCCGAAATCCATTCCGGTGATACACTATTACCAGTAAGTTTTAGTTTGAAAACTCACAACTGAAAAAAGATGAGAAAAGTCTCCCTCCCAAAAACAAAAGGGTTTATATGAAACAGTGATGAGATTTTTCTTTTACTTTTTGTTTTTTTTTTGTCGGAAAAGTTGTTCATGTTACCGTTGGAACGATGAAGCTTTCTCTGTACGGTTTATAAATTAGTGATCCTCTCTCTCAGTCAATGCTGAGAACGTAGTTAGCATAAATGTAACGTTTTGCTAATGAATAATCAAAGTTTTGTTGGTTAGATTGCCTTCCATGTTTGGGATTTCTACCAACCACCTTTCTTAAAAATTCCAAAGAAATAACAGATCTACGACCAAGAAGAGTCTTGATACTTTATTGACTAAAACCAAAAATGATCAATTTGATTAAAATAAAACAGTCTACCGAGAAGAGAAAAATAAAAACAATATTAGCATTGTGAACCGTTCATGGGGAGGGACAAAGGTCTATAATGAAACAGTTTCTCTGTCTTCTCTAAAATGCGCGAGGGATATATGTATACCTTGGTGTTGGCGACCATCTCTCTCTATCTCCAAACCTTATAATGAGGATGGAAGAGTTAAGAACACATGAGAACCAACAAAATTTCACTTCAGATTAGTTCTACTGTAATACATCTTGATTCAGATAATATATTATATATTCTTTCCCTTTCATAAAAAAATATCACATTGACACATTTGACATAAATTTAAGAAAATTATAAAAAGTTCTTATTTTACTCATCAAATAATATTTTTTATAATCAAAACAATAAAATACAAAAGATAAAACTAAATTTTTATTTAAAATTTTACATTGAAAATACAAACTAATATTTTTTATGAAACAAAAACAGAACTCTAAAATAACATTTTTTATTAAATAGAGAAAATAATTGAGAATCAATATAAAACCAAAAATACAGTATATTCTTTTTTTTTTGGTCGAAAACTAAAATATATCGTTATTTGTTGTTTAGAGAGTACTTGTCTTCATAGGTTGGTTATGTTAGTTTAATTTATTACTAAAAATATGAAACTTTACCCTAAAAGAGTAAAAAGTTCGCAGATTTATAAGATGGACACAAAAATCATAACCGAAAAACCAAATCATATCGAACCAAAAAAGTTATATGGTTTGGTTATGGTTAAACCTAAAAATCCATTTGACCATCATTTTTTTTATAGTTTTAGTTTAGGTTTGGTTTGGTTAAAAATCGTCAAACCAAAAAGTTTTTTCGGTTTTTAAACTAAATTTTAAGTAATTTATATTTTCCTAGTTTCTTAATTTAGTTTAGGTATATATTTTATTATTGAGCTTAGTTATCTTTATAATTTACTAACTTAACTCATAAATTTAAATTATAATATTTATAAAAAACATCTACATATAAATAATAAAGTAAACCTTAATTTTTCAATAAAAAATAACGTGATTAACTCATTTTTCTTCACATTCAAGTCTTCTAGTTCTAGTTTCAAGGTTACATGTATTAAATTTTAATCTAGATTTGTTTATTTTTTTATAATTATTGATTATGAAAGATTTGATCATTTATTTGTTTCTCTTTTTGAAATATGTCTTTATTGATGATTTTTTTATGATTTAGATTCTATTTTTTGAACTTATTGTTTTATTTCACTCATATTTATTATTATTATTTTCATTAGTTTGAATCAAAAATTTTCATAAAAGTATAATTACAAAAAAACCAAAACCAAATCATATTAAACCGAACCGTAAAAAATCAAATCATACCAAACCGAAATATATATGGCTTTTATATAGTTTGAATGTTTGTAAAACCGATAAACCATAAAACCGAAAAAACCGAACCAAAACCAAACCAAAAACCGAAATGCCCACCCCTAGATTTATTATTCCTAAAAATTATCATACTGATCGAAATTGTTTTGTTTAAATTCAAGTAATATAAACGTTGTAAGAAAAAAAAAATCAAGAAACACACACGTTTCTTGTGGGCTTCGTATCTTACAATTCCGTAAAGCCCAATCAAAACTCATCTGTAAAATGGGCCCCAAATATAAAAGAGTAAACGTTGCCTCTGCAACAAGGAAAACGGAAAACCCTAATATTCCTCATAAATCTTCCTTTTGGAGCTTTCCCTTTCTTCCTTCTCTCCTACCAAATCCCTCTGATTTTGTCGAAAGAATTAGTGCTAAAGATTCAAAATTCTGGCTTACATCATCCAGCTTTGGCCCACCTGGCCCCAACACCATTTCCGCAAGATTTTCTGATAATCATTTCTTGCCAATGGCACTAATACATTATATATACAAGAAGATTTCTAGAAATTTGAAGAAATTCAGGATATACAAACGTTAACTAAAGCTAAGATACGATCTGGTACAAGAGTGAAGCAAAAACGGCTAATCAAATCTCTGCCTTTTTGTCCTCTGCGCATCTCTTTCTTCCAATGACTGGATTTCTCTCGCAACAACCAAAGTTTTGAAGTTCGACTCCACAAACGGATGCAGAACAAGAACCGTTGATCTCGTCATCCCTGTCTAAAACCGGTACGGTTGAGGTCTAGACCGGAAGAACTGTTGAGTATCAACCTCACAGCTCAGCTTTCTATGGCAAATAAACTCGCCATCACCGAGCTTCTTGACTAACTCAAGATGGCGCCTCTCCCCATTACAGAATGTGTTCCAAGCATAGTCGTATATCCACAAAATCTTCGCCTCTGTTGCCTGAGTTTCCCTCTTATTCCTCATCTGATAATCAAAGTAACGCAGAGAAACAAACCAATCTCATGAGGAGACAGATCATAACAGTTGTGTACTATGCAAAATTCAAAAGAGATGATATTATTTACCTGAGCCCATCTATACAAAATCGAGCCTCCTTTCGAGAATATGTCCTCAAAAAACCTCGTGGGAAGATGAGCACCGGATCTTCCATATTCCTGGAGTCTTGACCTAACGCGTTCAGATTGTCCTAGATACGCAGTAAGGACATTCTGTGGATCAATCTTTCGACCTTGGTCTTGACTTATGACTGACACACCGAGCTCATACAGGCCCTGACAAGATTCAGTGGGTAAGTTTTGGTTTCTGTATCTACTTACACCTTCTTTTCCATTTTTGAAATCTTCCCAGTCGTTGGATCCTATCAGATGCTGTGTATGCAGTATAAGGTTAGCATAAAACATCACCACAATCAGAGTTCATCCTTGATAATCGTGCATTATAGAGATAAGACTAAGATTAAACCACTTCAACTTGCAATGCAAGAAATAAGGCTAATTAGGTCTAAAAGTGACAAACTTTTTTACCCTAAGTTGACAGAGACGATGCAGATAACCAGAGCTCAGCTTATTTCAACTAGCCAAGATATCAGTTCTCTCAACTAGAATGGAAATCAGAGGATACACAAGATGGAGCAAAAACTCTAGTTAAACTCGAAACTTTGATCTTAATAGACCAATCAAAATTGAGGGAGAGAATGAGATAGGACCTTCCAGATGGAGAAAGCCGAACCGTGTTCTGTCTGCTTGTAGTCTTCTATCTTGAAAATAGTTGCGCCTACCGCAAAAGAACCGTAGTTCTTTCCGACCAACCTGGTGAAGTATTATATATGAGACAGACAGCGTTTTTTTTTTCTATTCCATTTTCCGATCAACGGTGAAGCTTTCTCTATAACAGTTTTATGGATTATTTACCGTCCGAAGTTGGAACAAAGGATGTTAAACTAGTGCTAATGCATACGTAACTCTTATATATTGCTTAAACTATAGTATTAAGCGCCGCGGGTAAAATGCTGAATTTTGTTTTTTTTTTCTTCTTCTAAGTTTCTAATAATAGTAAGAAAAGAAACAGAGAATAAAATATAAAAACATTGTAAAAGATGAGATGAAAAGATACCTAATCTTCACAAGTTGGCTTATCATCGGCATATTCGATTTCGCCATCTTCAACGAATGAAGAAACGACATTATATATCAAATCTTTTTTACACAAACGAGGATGAAGAATGTGAAGAGAACAGAGTATCTAACAATTCAAACGAATGAAGAATAATGATGATAATAGAAAAACGTTAATCAAGTGAGATTCGTAGACGTGATTTCCGAATGAGGAGTTAGAAATGAAGACGGTTGAAAAAAAACATCTGACCAAAAATGAATTACTTTAAAGAAAACATTAACTGTAATGAATTAAATCGGTTAATTTTATCCACGTTTAATCTGTTTTTGCTAAATTTAAGTTTTGAAAATGGGAGGAGTTGAGAAGAGAGTGGCCACTCCATGAGATTAATCAGCACGTCCATTTTCTAACCACGGTCTATTAAACGACGTGAAAAAAAAAGAAAACAAATTCTTGTTATCGTTACTACTGCTCTTGACACTTAGATTGGATCAAACAATCAATTAGCCAATTGCATAATTTGCGTTCGAGGAGGAGATTATATAGGTAACACAAAATTTCATCTATTGACAAGGTCGACAATGAGTACTCGCTTCTTGTTGCATCCTTTTCCTCACTAAATCCTCAATCTCCAAAACAGCTCATGGATTCATAGGATACATAGGCACACAAGACATGATAGATACCATCAAATCTCCAAAGCAGCATTTAACTCTTCTCGAAATGCTTCATTTGCTCAGACATAGTACCCAATTCTGCTATTTATCAATAGCCGTAAAAAACGTTATCAATAAGTGTTAAAAAATTGTTAATTCTCTAATTGATTAGTGTATTTTCATTCAAGCTGCCATCAAATCCAAACTTTGATATTCATCCCTTTTTCACTTTGGTATATATAGTAAGATTTTAAGTTTATTCATTTCTAATATGAATATGACACATGATATATTCGGTTACATCACTAGAGTTGATTTAATGGAGCACCTTTCATGCTTTAATAAAGTACAAATCATCTTTACCCAACTTTTCTTTTTTCACTTTCTCCACTGAAACAAATGATAAAGCAAACATGAAAAGCATGCAAGTGCAACGTTCAACTCCTTAATTATCTCTTTTTTTTTTTACTTTTCTTATTATGATTTTCCAAATGAATTATATTGAGAACCGATTCTATAATGTTCTTTGATGACATAAAGATGAAAACTTGGCTATAACTTGACAATGAAGAAAGAAACGGTCTTATTTTTAAATTCAAGAAAATTGAAAATAAAAGTGTGATAAAGGAATTAAGGATTATCCTTTGACACAGCTCTATTGGATTCTTTTTGCTCTCTTTAGAATAAAGCAGAGTCCTTTGTGAATATATATTTATTCTTTTTTTTGTCCTTTATTTAGTTTCTTTGAATTAAAAAAAAATGCAGAGACAAAATAGAGAAAGAGGAAGAAGAAAGAAACTAAGCTCCCAATCATATAATAATAATAGCCATTGTCTCTTCTTTCAAACGGAGCTACAAATCCTCCAAATACTTGTTCTTCTTTGTCCTTTACTCAGATTTTATTTTTTAACTGTTCCTTTTGGAGCTTTCCTGTTATCTCCTACCAAATTCCTCTGATTTTTTCGAAGAAATTGTTGTTGAAAATCCAAAAATCTGACTTACATCATCCAGCTTTTGGCCCACCAACAAAGGATGAGCAAATTTTTCTTGTTTTCTACAGCAAAGCAATGCTCACACCATTTTCGTGGAGCTTAAAGTCTTATAAACCCAAACAAAGCGTTGAAATTTCTCAGAGAGAGAGAGAGAGAGAGAGATCTAATTTTTTCAAGTCTAGGGATTGGCTACTAAGAGAGAGAGAGAGAGAGAGAAAGTACTGTGGGTTCTTGTGCTGTTGTGTTTTGTGCATCTGTGTTCTTGGGTTTGATAAAAAAAATACTAGTTTCAGAGACATTGAATCTCACACACTTATACACACTCACACACGCGTAAATTTCTCAACTTTATTTATTTTTCTGAGCTTCTTCTTGGGTCACATCTGAAAGCATCTTGGATTGCGTGATACTTCCACTTTCTCATTTCTGAAAAAAACAAAAGGTTTAGATTAAGTGGAGTGTTGAAAGTGTATGTAAACAAAGGTTGAAGAAGAAGAAGTTTGTGGGTTTATATACATAAGGCTTCTTTCAGTTTCTGGGGTTTGTGATTTCTTAATCTAGAGAGAATGAAGCAGAAGGGTTGTAGAGAGAGAGGTGTTGTAGTAGGGAAGAAAGTAATGGTAGCAGTTAGGGCTTCAAAGGAAATCCCAAAAGCAGCTCTTCTATGGACTTTAACTCACGTTGTTCAACCTGGAGATCGAATTAGGCTTCTTGTTGTTGTTCCTTCAAATTATACAAGTAACCATCTTTGTCTCTCCCCTTCTTTGTCTCTACTTCACAGTCTGTTGTTTTGCCTACTTCTTGTTTTGTCTGAATTTTTTTTTAAAGATTTCATATTTTTGTTTGGTTTTTTCAGGTAAAAAGATTTGGGGGTTTTCGAGATTTACCACCGACTGCGCCTCTGGTTATGGAAGATTTCTTGCTGGAACGAATTCGGATCGGAAAGATGATATTCATGAGTCTTGTTCTCAGATGATGTTCCAGTTACACAATGTTTATGATGCAGAGAAGGTAAAAAGACTCAGCTTTTTTTTTATTTCATGTAGATTAAAAAGGTAACAGCTTTCTCTTGGTTAATCGGATCCATAAAGAGTTTCATTTGCTTTTACAGATAAATGTTAGAATCAAAATTGTTTTTGCTTCACCTGATGGAGTTATTGCTGCTGAAGCCAAGAAATCCAACTCAAACTGGGTGATTTTAGACAGGTAACAACACTTTACATGTGTTGCAAATGCATAGTTTTTTTTGAATTGTGATTTACTTTTTGCCTCTGAAATATTCTTGAACAGGGGACTGAAGTATGAGAAGAAATGCTGTATTGAGCAATTGGAGTGCAATCTTGTGGTGATCAAGAAGTCACAGCCTAAGGTTATTCGTCTCAATTTGGTGAAAAACGCAGATACAGAGCATCCAGAAGCTATTTCGAGGCTAACCTTAAAGTCTGTCGTGTCCCGGAGAGGCTCAAGACCCGGGAAAAAGCTGAGGGAACCGTTTGTAACTCCGTCTAGCAGTCCAGACCAAGAAGGTTCTTCACAGACCACAACTGATATGGGGACTTCGTCTATATCTAGCTCTGATGCAGGAGCTTCACCGTTTCTAGCCTCTCGAGTCTTTGAAGGCCTCAAGAAAGATAACTCGTGGGTCAGTGATGGAAACAAGAGTTTCTTCGAATCTGACTCTGACTCTGACATCGAAAAGTGGAGTCCTTTGTCAATGGCCTCCTCATCTTCTCACCCTGTGACAGCATCTGATATCCTGAGTCCTAGTGTGGATTCATCGAAAGCTCAAACCGAGACTCCGAGAAAATCAAGATTCTCGGTTCTAAGGCTCGGTTCAACGAAGAAAGAACCTGACGCGGGGAAGGAGATCCGTAGATCCGATACGTGCTTAAACAAAAGCGTGAGGGAAGTGGTTTCTTTATCAAGAAAGCCAGCTCCTGGACCTCCTCCACTATGTTCTATATGTCAACACAAGGCACCTAAATTCGGAAACCCTCCAAGATGGTTCACATTTGGCGAGTTGGAGACAGCAACAAAGGGGTTTTCTAAAAATAGTTTCTTGGCTGAAGGTGGGTTTGGTTCGGTTCACAGAGGAACTTTACCAGATGGTCAAATCATTGCAGTCAAGCAATATAAGATTGCTAGTACACAAGGTGACAGAGAGTTCTGCTCTGAAGTTGAGGTCTTGAGCTGTGCACAGCATCGGAATGTTGTGATGCTCATTGGACTATGCGTGGAAGATGGCAAAAGACTGCTCGTTTATGAGTATATCTGCAATGGATCCTTGCACACTCATCTTTATGGTAAAAAACTTTCTACTTTCGGAATACAAAGAGCATTCCTGCTTTTTTTCGTTTCCTGTAAAATGGCTACTAAAGGAAAGTTTCATTAGGTTTGGGGAAAGAGCCGTTAGGATGGTCAGCGCGGCAAAAGATTGCCGTTGGAGCAGCTCGTGGGTTGAGATACCTTCACGAAGAATGCAGAGTTGGTTGCATCGTTCATAGAGATATGCGTCCTAACAATATTCTCCTTACTCATGATTTTGAGCCTTTGGTAAAATAATCAGCTTCAACTTTTGCTCAAGCTCCCTCTGTTTCTTATGGGTGTGTTGCAAAGTTTTAAACTTTATACTTTTTTTTTCTAGGTTGGAGATTTCGGACTAGCGAGATGGCAACCAGAAGGAGACAAAGGAGTAGAAACCAGAGTGATTGGAACTTTCGGGTACTGTTTATGCCATAATCATTGAGAGACTCGTCTTCTTCTTGATCTACTACTAGTTGAACACACTGATCAGAAAGAAAATGTTCTGTTTTTTTTCTTCCAGGTATTTAGCCCCTGAATACGCGCAAAGCGGACAGATTACAGAGAAAGCAGATGTTTACTCTTTTGGGGTTGTGTTAGTTGAGCTTATCACAGGAAGAAAAGCTATGGACATCAAGCGTCCTAAAGGCCAACAATGTCTCACCGAATGGGTAAAAAACCATAAACACATTGTATCAAAGTTTCAATGTCTAAAGCTTTGATGGTAACAAGAGAGGGAACGTTTTTTGTTTTTTTTTTTGTTGCAGGCAAGACCGTTGTTGCAGAAACAAGCCATTAAGGAGCTTCTTGATCCGCGTCTAATGAATTGTTACTCTGAGCAAGAAGTTTACTGTATGGCGCTATGTGCTTGCCTCTGCATTCGCCGTGACCCTAACTCGAGGCCACGAATGTCTCAGGTTTTGCTGCCATAACTCATCTTTGAAAAGTCTAAAACCTTAAAATCGAATTTTTCGAATGTTAATGTTCTTTTCATCTCTGGATTCAGGTGTTGCGGATGTTGGAAGGAGATGTTGTCATGAATCCAATTTAGAAGCTTCACAGGGAAAAGGGTTTTCTTTCTCATGGAGTTTGTAGAGACTATTTAGAGTTGTTACAGCTTTCTTGTTAATGAGTTTTGTTTTTGTATATTTAAAAGATTGTTAATGAGACACAAAGATTCAAGTCAAGTTTGTTTAGCTTAATTGTGTCTTTAAATTAATGGCTATGTCTTCGTTCGCAACATCTTTTATTTACGGCTCATAGTCTTCATTAACAATACACACAAGAACACCATTAACATCACCACAATACACTTGTTTAATTTGAGAACAAAAACTCCAATAAATGAGGGCAGAAACAGATAAATTATGTGTTTTAAACTCAATTATGTGACTTCTTTTTTGACAAGAACATGAAAAACCGTGGGAACGAAAGCTTTTTCTTCTTCTTTCCGGGCTTGGTCGATGGGAACTGACTGATATCAGAGTTCTCTGTACCATATGACTCACTCGGGCTGGAGGTGTAACCAGCAACCTCAGATGATTGCACCAACTTACTTAGCTCATTAGCTCCTTCAGAGCTCGCCCTTTGGATTTTCTCAGTGTTGACACTTTCACTAGCCTTTCTCTTCTGCTCATGCTCCGCCCTCCACTTCCTCAGCTCCTGTTCCACCCCTAACTTCCCCTCTTTCGCCTTCTCCGCCTTCTCTGTTGCTTCTTTCAGAGCTTTCTTTCTTGCGTCCATGTCTCTGTTCACTTCTTCCAGCTTCTCCAAGCTTCTCATTTCTGCTTCTTTAGCTTCCTCGATCCGAGAAACCACTTCCGCTACTCTTGCGCTCGCCAGCTCTTCCGCCTCGTGAGCGCGTTTGCTGAGCTCGTAGTACTCTTCTAGGGAAAGAGTAACGCTTCGTGGAGAATCTGTGTCATTACCTTTCAACGTTGACTCACTCTCTTCCAAAGCCTTGATGGCAGCTAAGGCCAGCCTCTCTGAAGCTTTAGCTGCCTCGATTTCTTTCTGCGCAGCGAATAGCCTGCTCTCCATTGTACTTGCCCCAGCCTTGGCTTGCTCTGACTCTTCTTTGGCCTTTCGTAGCTCTTCACGAGCAATCTCTGCAAGCGACTTAGCTTCATCAGCCTCTTCTGCTGCTTGCTGAAGTTGCTTTGGTAGCTCCACCATTTTGTCTCTCGCTTCTTTCTCCTTTGACTGAACCGAAGCTATTTCCGACCTGGTTCTGTCGATCTCAGACTCTAGAGAAGAAACCGCTATGGAGGCCATTCCTTCTCTCTGTCTGATAGACGCAAGAGCAGACTTTTCTTTCTCACGTTCCAGCTGCAAGGAAGAGGAGGCTACTTTCAAGCAATTCACTTCCGCGGCTACTTTCTCTATATTGGCATTGACTTCTTCAAGTTCCTTCTTCGCAGAGGCAACAGCTGCGTGCAAATCTGGATGACTCATCTTCTCTGTTGGAAGATCGCTGTTATCGTTTGACTCACATGCTTCCTGCTTTAGCTTGGATTCCATATAAGCTACAAGTTCCGCCTTCAAGTCAAGAAGCAACGCCGAGGCAGTGTCGAGCTTTGACTTTAGTTCTTTCGATGAAAGTATCTGTTGGTTGAGTTTCTGGACTTCCTCTTCCGCTTGCTTCAGTTCCTTCTCCCAGCGATGTGTGTCCTGGTCTCTCGCCATGGCTGCTCCAATCCTCTGTTCTTCTGCCTCCAAATGAGAAGCATGCGCTGATTCCAGCGACTCCTTCGTAGCTATCAGCTCTATGGTGAGCTCTTCAACTCTCTTCTCAACTTCTTTCGATGCCAACATCGCTTCCTCAACTTTCTTGACAGCCACATCTTTATCTCTCACAAGATCATCATACACCTTGTGCAGAGCTTCTAGCTCCTCCTTGACCGAACGCAGTTCCGCAACCGCTGATGTATGCCTCGCCTTAGCCACTTCAAGCTGCGTTTTAATCGCGACGCTCACGTCGTCAGAGATTCCTTTTTCCATCTCCTCAACCCTCAGCTTAGCAAGCTCCGAGTCCTGCTTCGCCTGCTGTTCTTCTGTCTGTGCTCTCTCCAGATTAAGCTTCAGCTGCTCTATGAGCCTCCTCGTGCTCTCTAGCTCCTCAAGTACTTGCAGTTTCGCAGTCTCAGCGAGTTCCGAGTTTGTTTTGTACTCCGGAATCTCCTCCTGGATCTTTTTAAGCTCTTCTTCTATAACCTTGCGTCTCTGCAGTAACGTACAAGAAAAGTTATGATAAGAAAGACCTAACAAAAACCAGAAACAACACACATCTTTAGTAGTAGTATACTACCTCTACTGCTTGCATCCGGTGAGATTTCCAGTCAGTGATTCCTCCAAATTTCGAGACGACTTCTTTAACAGATTCAAAAGGTGCTGCGGTATCGATTAAACCTCTATAGGAGTCCATGTTTTTGGGTGTTCCGGTACTCTTGACCGGTGATCCAGCGAATCTTGGAGACAAGAGCGCTCTAGGCGACGAAAGAGTTCTTGGTGATCCACCATTTCTTGATGTACTCACCGCAGCCTCGGTGATCTTTACACGAGGTAAACAATTCTCACCGGTAAGTTCATCAGGCTTCACCGCTTCTTCAGCAATTGCTGTATCAGGATTTTGTTTTTCGGTTAATCCCACAGCATCAGAAGCAACAGCTGATTCATCAGGATTAGACAAACTGGATGGCTGAAACGTGTCATCCACATAAATTTTGGCATCTTTAGGATTATCAACCTTGGTTGCAGATTGTATGTTAGAATCATCTTGACTCGCTGCTGATAAGATCAACTCAGGATTTACTGTTGCAGCATTGTCACTAACAACATCTGGGTTCAGAGTAGCCTCAGATGTTTCTGGACTGGTTTCAACTTCAGTAGCTTTTAACTCCGCCATTTAGGCTGTAACCTGAGAATACTACAGAACAAAATACTGAACATAAAGAAACATAAGGAGACTGCAAAGGTTATACTATGAGACTGTAACTCGTTTTGTTTAAGGCATAAAGAAGTTAGCACGTTTACATAACTAAACGAAAGCATTTGTAATGACGAATCTTTGCACAAACGAAACAAAGAAGCAAATGGTATTATAAATTTTGTTAAAATCCATCTGCAAAACAAGAGCACTAGCCCAAACCATGGAGTTTACATGTCCTAGTCTCTGGAAAATGATACTACTAATTGTATATAAAAATTCTAGTTTCAGTGAAGTAACAACGCAGAGAAAAAGGAAATAGAATTCAAGAACGAAACATAGGCTTAACACATACTCTCATCAGGATCATCGGATTTCTATCTTTATGTGAATAAATACCAGTTACAGGACCAGAGAAAAAAAAAATTAAGGATTAGGGAAATCGGAGAACGAAGAAACAATTCTGAATTTCTAGAATCCGTTAATTTTATGATCGAAAATCAAGGATTAGAGAAACAATTCTGAATATGGAATAAAAACATGGGAATCCAAAAAAGAAGTACAGACTACGATTTAACAAAGAGACGAGAAAAGAAACTCATAAATATGAAATAAAACATGGGAATCAAAAAAAAAGGAAAAAGACTTACGATGATGATCGGAGCTAGTTGAAGAGCTTAATTAGATTCTTGAAACAAAAGTTTCAGACAGAGAATCGGCGTTCGCCAAGACAAATCATGATGAGCTCGTTCGTTTTCTCTCTCATTCTCATCTTCTTTATCCATCTGTCATTCTCTCTCTCATAATTCTCGGCTTGTTCGTTTCTCTATTTTTTGTTATTATTTAAATATTACCTTTTTTTGTTTTTTTGTGGTCTGAACGATTTTTATACTTTGAAAATTAAAAAAAGAAAGAATCGGTTGCTCCTTTTACCAACAACTAATCCAACACTGCAACATTTCTTCCGGTGACAGAGGAGGCCGAGACTAAAGAGCCCCGGATCTTCTTCTCCGGGACCGAGCATAACCCAATTAGCCAAGAAATCAAATCCGAATCGTTAATCCGATCAAGAGGGAAAAACCCAGACATTCTTTCTGAAGTGCATAAGGGGAGACTCTGGAGCAAACTGATAGATACGACTGAAGGGGCCTTTTAATGGGCTTAATTAATGGACTCGTGCTTAGGCCCAACTCAGCTCATTATTAGGCCACTTGAGTCGTATAGTTTGAATATTTTTTCATAACATGTAAAAATTTTAAATTTAAAAACTAAACAATGGAGTAACTGGCTAGCTCCTTGTTCGATTTTTAAACATTTGGGAAAACAAAAAATCAATTTAGGATTTAGGGTTCTTCTCAAATGATCTGGTGATTGTAGTAGACAGACTCTGCTTCTTCGCAAGGTGAGGAGAAGTTGTAAAGGTATTTCTCGGCTTTACACTCCTTGATTCTGTAAATATCATTTTTATCTTCTATTTTAGAGTAGTCAAGATATTGCTAGGGGTTTTTCCTTCCAATCCCTGATAAAATTTCGAATTTTTGCTTTAGCATACCGAGACCTTTTTCGTTTTCACAAAATCTTTCGTATTCGTGTTGTTTCCAGGTTAAATTCAAGTCGAAAAGTCTTTATCTTTTCGTCTCTGGTTGCGAGATTCCGGTACTGGCGAGTGAAAAAGGAACAAGCTTTGAGAGTTGTTATGGACCGCTAGGAATACATTACAAGACTCCGGGCCTAATGCTAATCTTTTTGTGATACATTCCCATTCTTTGAAGCAGTTGGAAATTGTAGATGAGTTTGGTGGAGTTAATGTGATTGGTAAAGTCCCTAAGCTTGTGGAGGCAAGTCTTTACACCACGGACACAAAAGGGAATGCTTTGGAATGCTCCCACCTTTGCCAAACGTCTTTCTCTAACCTTAAACGGATCGGTATAATTTCGCTGCTCTTCCATTGATTTGTTCTGATGGTTATAACACACTTGCAAAACCGTGTCTGACTTCTTGCTTTGTTCGTTTCAATACACTGTTTCATCTGCAGGCTCATTATCCTAGTGGTAACATTTTCTTCCAGCTTGTGCGTTTGGAGTTCCGCGGATGTGACGAGAACTGGTCGGATTTGCTTGTGCATGTGCTCCATCATTGCCCTATACTACAAATTCTCAAGCTTGCTGTGTTGTACGACGGGCTGGTACTTTTTCATCATCACCCCCAAAGAGTGAAAAAAATCATGATTTTATCTGTTTAAACCAATGCGCTGTTATTTGTACATGGGTTTAGGAAAAGGAAGAGGACAAGGTTTGCTGGATTCAGCCGAGCTGTGTTCCCGAATGTTTGTTGTTCCATCTCAAAACCTTTGAGTGGAAAGAATATGATGGAACAGAGAAGGCGAAAGAAGTGGCGATTTATATTCTGAAAACCGCGGGGCGGTTAGTAACCGCAACTGTCGTCCCCGAGTCACTCAGGGTGAACAAACGTCGGGTGTTTGAGGAATTGGAATCTGCAACGAGGGGTTCAAGAGCATGTGAGCTTACAATGGGCTAAGGAGAAAAATTAGTGTTACCAAAGTGTGTTGTTGAAACTGCTAGTAACAGGGTCAATGTGGATTTCTATCAGATAGCTATTATAAGCTGCTTTGTAGGTTCTTCTATCTTTTGCTTCTGTCCTTTTTTTGTGTGTTTGTAATTTGCTTATCAGAAACTAGTTGAATGTGGTATTACACTCTATGATGTCATTCCTCTAAGAAGGAGAAAGACAACAACTTTGTAGATGATTTGCTTTTTTTGGTCTGGATCATGGTGCAAAGCTGTTACCATTTTTGGCATATAAAATAGAAACATTAAATTCTAGCAATCATAAAAAAAAGCCATCATCATAGATCCACGAGCTAATTGGGTTTGAATGTTTTCCAGTTTGCCGATAGACTTTTCAGTTTACTAACATTAGAGAAAACCAATTCAGAATTAAGGGTTTATCTCCATTCTCAAATAACGAACTGGTGAAAGTGGACTCTTGTTCTTCGAATGTGACGAGAAATCTGATACAAGGGTACGTCTCCGCTTTAATTTACCTTCTGTATCATATCATCCTTGCCTTCAATTCCATCATGATCCCTGAGGAAATTGGATTTGCTTGAAAACCCTTCTGAAATTTCAAAACTTTTTTCGTATTCGTGTTGTTTCCAGGTCAAAATCAGATCGAAAAGTCTCATCCTTTTTGTCTTTTGGTTGCGAGTTTCCAGTATATTATTGACAGGCGAAACTTGAAAGAAAGAAAAAGAAGCAAGCTTTTAGAGTTATGGACAAAATAAGTGACTTGTCGGATGATTTGCTCATCAAAATATTGTCACTAGTCCCAACAACAGATGTCATCGCCATGAGCATATTGTCTAAACGATGGAGATGTCTTTGGAGATTGGTGCCAAGTCTCATCTTTGGTGAGGATGATGAGGAAGAGGAGGATAGGGAGCATGAAGAGTTCACTTCGAACGTTTACTGCAGAAACTTTTCGCAGTTTGTCTATGGGACTTTGCTATTACATAATGCACCGGTTCTAGAACGTTTTCATCTCAACAGTGCTTCAGAATGTGGCGTTTCAGAGGTTGATCTATGGGTTAGAATAGCAGTCGATCGTTTCGTGCGTGATCTGAAGATACGTTTTCGTTATGGATACGAGCTTATAAGGCTGCCGAGTAGCTTGTTTAGAAGCGAAACAGTCGAGACTTTGGAACTCCGATGGGTGATTCTCTAGGAAGTTCCTTCTCGTTGTAGCTTTCGATCACTCAAGACATTGCGGCTTTTATTTGTCAAGTATGCAGATGAGGAATCTTTCTCTAGGCTTATATCGAACTGCCCCGTTCTTGAGGATTTGGTTGTAGAAACTTGTCACGATGACAATGTTACGACTTTCACTATCAACGTGCCTTCCTTACAGAGTTTATCCATTAGGCATACATTGCAAGACTTTGGGACTGATGATGATGTGTTTGTGGTACATTACCATTCTTTGAAGCACTTGACCATTGTGGACTACTTTAGTGGAATTGAGTTTATAGGCCATAATACCCCAAAACTCGTCGAGGCAAATCTCCTATCTTTGTCCTGCCAAGCTAAGGTTCTAGCTTCTTTTCCAAATATCAAGCGTCTTTCGCTATGCTTAGATAAAGAGGTACTTTGTTTGCACTTTTCTCTTTAGATCTTTCTTGGTAACGAATATAAATCTCCAAACTTTCATTTGGTATTACATTGCCTGCAGTATCCTACTGGCTCCGTTTTATCCCAGCTTGTGCGTTTGGAGCTATGTTCATGTGAAAGTAACTGGAAAAATATGCTTGTGATTGTTCTCCAACATTGCCCTAAACTACAAGTTCTCAACCTTGCGCTGGTACTTTCTTTCTTCCCTAACTTTCATCTTTGGTTTCAAGGTTTAAAAAGTCTAATGAATGCACTTTTACGATTTGATTGCAGAACCACTTGGTGTCGGAGGACAGTAAGGTTTGCTGGATTCAGCCGAGCTGTGTACCTGAATGCTTGTTGTTCCATCTCAAAACTTTTGAGTGGAGTGAGTATGGTGGATCTGAAGAAGAGAAACAGGTGGCCATTTATATTCTCAAGAACTCGATGCGATTAGTGACTGCAACTATCTACCCTGACCCACTCGAGTTGGCTTCCAAACGTAAGATGTTTGAGGAATTGGAAACTGCATCAGTGGATTCAAGAGCATGTGAGCTGACAATGGGATTAGTTTGAAGTGTTTAACCATGATTACTGTCTTAAACGATGGAAACCTCTGTGGAAGATGATGCCAATGCTTGTGTATGATGCAGAATCTTGTCTCAAAACTGGATCCTTGCAGTTTACATGAAGCTAACTCTTCTCAGAACCCTAAATATCAAACTAAGGAAGCTCTCTGATTCCTTAGATACTCTGTTATTGTTGGAATCTTTTTTTCTTCTTTTACAGAAAGAAAACAGAGGAGTTTATTCGGTTCCTTGGGACATGTTGAGCTTTGTCTTGTTTAATGGTTCAAACAGAGAAAGAGAGAGACTTTTCTAGATGATTTTTGTCAGAACACGTTGAAAGATGAAACCGAATTGGTCAAATCTTTTTAATCCTGGACTCTGTCAATAAGATCAAGCTGACATTTTACAGCATAACTGTTGTTCTGACAGAGTCCAAGATTTTTTAAATAATTGTGCAAAATTTGTTTCATCTCTCTGTCAAATCTGAAGATATTGATCAATTTACTTCTTTAAATCTGAAAATTTGTTTCATTTTTTAATTTTTAGGCGATGAAAGCTGCTAAAAGGGGATTTTAAGATGTTTACATATACAGATAGGATCAGTCACTTGTCTGACGATTTGCTCTTGAGAATCCTCTCGTTGATTCCGGTAAGCGATGCAATCTCCACAAGTATATTGTCTAAACGATGGAGATCTCTGTGGAAGAAGATGCAGAAGCTTGAGTATGATGAAAACTCTCGTCCCAACATCGGTTCGATTGGATTTGTCGAATTTTGTGGCAGGTCATTGCAATTACACGAAGCTCCTCTTCTTAAAACCTTGAATCTCAATATTTGTAACCACTCTGATTCCATAGATTCTCTGCTATTTCCAAGTATTCGTTCCACACTCCTCGAGATATCAATCACATCTTCTCATTACTCTCCTATCAGATTCTCTTCTAACCTCAATGTCTTTCAAACACTCGTCGTGATGAAACTCCAAGAACAGATTCTTGTGGATGTCTCTGTCGATTCTCCGGTTTGTTTCCGGTCCCTGAACGCCTTGCACCTCACGCGTGTGAGGTACTCTTGCGATCAATCTCTCTCTAGACTTTTATCAGCTTGTCCTGTTCTTGAAGATCTCTTCCTCGAAAGACTCTGCCGTGGTGATAAGTTTTTAACCATATCAGTCCCTTCTTTACAAAGATTGTACATCATTAAACAAGATGGATCTTCTTATGACGATGAACCGAGATTCGAGATAAATGTTCCTTCTTTGATTTACCTAATGATCGATGATCGCCAAGGTAGTTTCGATTTCACCGAGGATATGCCTAAATTGGTGGAGGCAAATGTTTCAGTTTGTCAGTTTAAAAGTGGGAAGCTTCTGAAATCTCTTGCTTCAGTTGAACGTCTTTCTGTAAATCTATTCATTTCAATGGTAAAAGCCCTAAAAACACATTTCTTTCTCCTCACGCAATCTCATTTCATTTCATATAAACTATAACGTTTTTTTCGCGAGCAGGTTACGCATCTCACCGATAGATTCTACTGTAACCGGCTTCTTCATCTGGAACTACACATTCACCAAAACTTCCGGTCAAATCTGCTCCTGCGTTTGCTCCAAGATTCCCCTAAACTGCAAGTTCTTAAGCTTCACCAGGTACAAATAATTCACCAGTTTCTTTCCCTTATTAGTAGTTACCTGTTTCAAGAGTTTTAAATTGGTCTAATGCAATTAAATGCCTTAATGTTTCTTAAGCGACATTGGATTTGGTTTGGATTTATTGACGAACACCCGTGTTTTGTCCCCGAACCGAGCTCTGTTCCCGAATGCTTGAGCTTCCATCTCGAAACTCTTGAATGGATAGGCTATGGTGGAAGTGAAACAGAGGAAGAGAAGGAAGCCGCCGCTTACATATTCAAAAAAGCTCGTTGTTTAAAGAGTGCTTTGATCTCTCTACAGTCAACGGTCATGAAGAAAGATAAGACTATGATCAAGGAGTTGGAATCTATGTCTAAGGCTTCAACCTCGTGTCAGCTTGTAATTCAGCTTTCCAAGTATTTTTAGAAAATTTGTTTTAACTCTCACTACAAACTACATTTCGAATTGCTTGTTTTTTTTGGTATTGGCGATGCTATGTTCTTGTTGTACGAATTTGAATTTACATGACTTTCCCTGTTAGTAATAAGTATGTATTATCATTACCTTCTTAGGTTAGATGTTAAATAACCCTGAAACAAGAGTTTTTTTTTTTTTTAATTCATTCTAGAATCTAGAATCTCTGTTTTCTCATAATCAGAGAAAGTGCCTTCAAGAGCTTATTATTCGAATCTGATTTTTCATTGTACTTATCGGACTTGTTTCCGTTAGTGAAAAGTATTATTAGCATTTTAGATTTTATACAACTCTGAAACTGAGGAGTCTTTTTTTTTTTTTAATGACAACAAGAAAGCAGAGGATTTCTTTGATCCTATGCATTATTAATTTTTTTCTTTGAACAATATTAAAATGACTTTTATTTTTTATTTTTTGCTTTCTATTTTTATTCATATTTTTCATTTTTATAATTTTTCATCTCATTCTGTCACATTTCATCTTATTTCTGTTTTGTAGTTCTCGTTATATAATTGGAATACATTCACATATAATATAAACTTTTGTTCTATATTTATAGTGAGACAAGATAAGATGAAAATAAAAGTGAACAAATTCTCCTTCTAAAAATTTGATTCCGCAAATTTCACATAAACACTTGAACTTGTAAATATTTCGCCAAAAATTTACTTAAAATAAGATTACAAAAACTTTCAATAAAAAAACTGATTTCACAAATTTTCTGCCTATAACATGAATAAGTAATTTTCCCACCAAAAAAACTTATATCAAAAATATGATTCAATAACATTTTATCAAAATTTTGATTTTGTGAATTTTTTTGTCAAATATTGTAAATCCATAGATTTTATGTCAAAAATATGATATCCAATTTTTTTGGAAAAATATGTTGTCATAGATGTTTCGCTAAATACTTGAAATCTGTAAATTTCTTTGATAAAATTTGTGTTGAAAATGTGATTTAAAATTTATTTAACAAAAAACTCATTTTCCCATTTTTTGTCAAAAATTTAAGCACTTAAATTTTGTATCAAATTTTAACATTAAAATTTATTTATTGATAAAATAATATCACAAGACATGTCATAATTACATCATCACTTTCATGTCACATTTAAATTGCTCAAACTAAATATTTAACCAATCAAATTAAAACAAATCAGCATTTTTCACTAAATTATATTTTAGATTAATATATGAAGAATTGGATTTGGTAAAACCACATGAATAATTGTTTAATTTAGATTTATTTTTAATAATTTATGTTTTTTACATATTTTTTTAATTTTTAAAAAGCTTTATTACTTGATTAGAGCTGGACTGAGGTTTAGAATATAGGCACGAAAATATTTTGAGCCAGACCGAACTTAAATATATATGAGTTTTATGGGTTTCAAAAACAAAATAAAACTCTACTTAAAGCTAATTTGTTTGAGTGTAGCTAAAAATAAAAATAAAATAAAAATGCAAGGTTAAAAAGATGGAAAACTTTAACAAAAATAGGGTTTCATATCTCTCCTAATCTTACGATCTTGTTTCTCTGCTCGTCAGCCAAAATTAGGGCACTTTAAATCCTCCTTGAGATCTAACGATTGGGGCGATGAAATCTGCAAGATTGGGAATAGAAGAGGTTGCGTATCCAGATAGGATCAGTCGCTTACCTGACGATGTGCTCTTACAAATCCTGGCGTCAGTTCCGGTAAGAACTGCAATGCGCACAAGCTTATTGTCAAAACGGTGGAAATCTGTGTGGAAAATGATGCCGATGCTTGTCTATGACGATACTTGTCCCTACACTGGTCTTGTTGGATTCGACCAGTTTTGTGGTATGTCATTGCCATTACATCCTCATCTCAAAACCCTAAATCTGAAACTTCAGAAGAACTATGATTCCTTAGATACTCTGTTATTCCCAAACATTCGATCCACTCTCCCCAAGCTCACAATCACTTTGAAATCTCATCCTTGTAGTTACTGTTCTATCAGCTTCCCAAATAATCTTGACGTCTTTAAAACACTCGTCGTCTTGAAACTGCAAGAAAGGATTCTTGTGGATGTTGTTGGTTCTCCTGTTTGTTTCCCTTCCCTGAAAAGTATGCACCTGACATTAGTGAGGTTCGCGTGCGAAGAATCTCTTCGCACAATTTTATCTGCTTGTCCTGTTCTTGAAGAACTCTTCCTCCAAAGACTTTCCAGCGTTGGCCGTTTCTTGTTCACTATATCAGTCCCTTCTCTACAGAGATTGTTCATCACTAAAGAACCTGGCTATTATCGTGACGATGACGCGAGATTCGAGATAAATGCTCCTTCTCTCAAGTACTTAGACATCTTCGATCTCAGCGGCTGTTTTAATTTCGTTGAGGATATGCCTAAATTGGTGGAGTCTGATGTCGCAGTTCATCATTCTGAAACTGACAAGTTTCTCAGATTTTTTACCTCAGCCAAGTTTCTTTCGATACGTTTATATGCTTCCAAGGTAAAACACCCTTCATGGAGAGTTTATAATGCTTTATTACGCTTTCGGTAACGATGTAATAATGTTGTGGCGTGCAGGTTCTGCTCCTTGCGGATAACGTTTCTCAGTCGCTTCTTCATCTTGAACTACACATTTACAACAAGATTCCGTGTAATCTGCTTATGCATTTGCTCAACAAGTCTCCTAAACTACAAGTTCTCAAGCTTCACGAGGTACATTAGAATTTTTCAATTTCCGTTCTTGGTGATTGATCTGTTTCAATAGCTGAAATAAAATGGTCCACTTGTCAGAAACATTTAATGCATACCCGGGAGATCGATGATCGGCCACTTTCAATGTGTAGTCCGAGCTCGGTTCCTGAATGCTTGTCCTTCCATCTTGAAACTCTCCAATGGAGAGGCTATGAAGGAACTGAGGAAGAGAAAGAAATCGCGGTTTACATCCTGAAGAACGCTCCTTGTTTGAAAACCGCTGCAATCTCTATATATTCAGATTCAAAAGAAGGTCCTCGAGGCGGGGAGAAAGATCTAATGATGATTAAGGAGTTAAAATCTATGTCTATGGCTTCAACTTCATGTCGGCTTGTAATTCGTCTTGACAACAAATCCTAAGAAAATTAGTTTTAACTCTCGCTCAAAACCTACATTTTGAGGTGAACCTAAAGATGCATTGTTCTTATTATGTGAAACTGAATGTTTTTACTTGGTTATTGTTGGAGTCTCTTTGCTTCGTTTACAGAAAGAAAACTGAGGAGTTTCTTCATGTTCAAACCTTCAAACAGAGAAAGAGAATCTCTTCTAGATGATCTTTTGTCAGACCAACACTTATATATTAGATGAATTTTTGCTGTAAAATGCCAACTTCATCTTTTTGACAGAGTCCAAGATTTAAAAAGATTTGAAGATGTTTACATATTCAGATAGGATCAGTTACTTACCCGAAGATTTGCTCTTCTGAAACCTCTCGTCGATTCCTGTAAGCTATTCAATGTCCACAAGCTTATTGTCTAAACGATTAAAATCTCTATGGAAATCGTCACGCAATCTCATTTCATTTCATAAAAAACTACAGTATATAACGTTTTTTGAACGGCTTCTTCATCTTCAACTCGCATTCACCAGGCTTCCAGTCAAATCTGATCCTACGTTTGCTCCAAGATTCCCCTAAACTGCAAGTTCTTACGCTTGACCAGGTACTAGTATGATAAGCCTTTTAACAACAACAACAGAGGAGTTGATTTTGATAGATGTGTTTGTAGATAGATATACAATAGTAGACTACCTTGCAACTCAAGTCTTATTAGTATTAGGATGTTTTCCTGAGAAACAGATCATTTTATGGCTTCCTCTTTGATTTACTTATAGTACTACTACATTAATATTTATATAGTTAAAGCCTACTTTCAAAATTGTATGTAAAATCCAGGAAATATAAGTAACTAATTTAAGAGGTAAATTAAATGGATAGGCTATGGTGGAAGTGAAACAGAGGAAGAGAAGGAAGCCGCCGTTTACATATTCAAAACAGCTCGTTGTTTAAAGAGTGCTTTGATCTCTCTACAGTCAACGGTCATGAAGAAAGATAAGACTATGATCAAGGAGTTGGAATCTATGTCTAAGGCTTCAACCTCGTGTCAGCTTGTAGTTCAGCTTTCCAAGTATTTTTAGAAAATTTGTTTAAACTCTCACTACAAACTACATTTTGTTTCCAGTGACAAAAAGAAAGCAGATGAGTTTCTTTGATCCTATGCATATCTTGTTTGTTCCCAAGAAGCTGAAATACAAAAATATTGTCTTTTTGAGCTTTTTGTGTCGTTCATGTTTCAAAGCAACGGAGAGGGAGAAAGATGTTGTCTTTCTTGTAGTTTGTTTAGTTCATGATTCAACCACAATTTGGCTTGATTCAAAAAGATCTACGAAATATATATTAAATATTAATATCGTGGGGTTAGCAAAACAATTTTAAAAATATCAGAGAAAACAAAATAAAACTCTACCTAAAGCTAATTTTGTCTGAGTGTAGCTAAAAATAAAAATACAAGGTTAAAAAGATGGAAAACTTTAACAAAAATTAGGGGTTCATATCTCTCCTAATCTTACGATCTGTTTCTCTACTCGTCGTCAGCCGAAATTAGGGCAGTTTTATACCTCCTTGAGATCTAACGATTGAGGGCGATGAAATCTGCAAGATTGGGAATCGAAGAGGTTGCCTATCCAGATAGGATCAGTCGCTTACCTGACGATGTGCTCTTACAAATCCTGGCGTCAGTTCCGGTAAGAAGTGCAATGTGCACAAGCTCATTGTCAAAACGATGGAAATCTGTGTGGAAAATGATGCCAATGCTTGTGTACGACGAAACTTGTCCTTACAATGGTTCCCTTGGATTTGACCAGTTTTGTGGTATGTCATTGCCATTACATGAAGGTCCTCTTCTCAAAACCCTAAATCTCAAACTTAGGAAGAACTCTGATTCATTAGATACTCTGTTATTCCCAAACATTCGATCCACTCTCCTCGAGCTCACAATCACTTTGAAATCTTATCCCTGTAGTTTCAGTTCCATCAGCTTCCCGAATAATCTTAACGTCTTCAAAACACTCGTCGTCTTGAAACTCCAAGAAAGGATTCTTGTGGATGTGGTTGGTTCTCCTGTTTGTTTCCCTTCCCTGAAAAGTATGCACCTCACATGTGTGAGGTTCGCGTGCGAAGAATCTCTTTGCACAATTTTATCTGCTTGTCCTGTTCTTGAAGAACTCTTCCTCCAAAGACTCTGCAGTGTTGGCCGTTTCTTGTTCACTATATCAGTCCCTTCTCTACAGAGATTATTCATCACTAAAGAACCTGGCTATTATCGTGACGATGACGCGAGATTCGAGATAAATGCTCCTTCTCTCAAGTACTTACAGATCTTCGATCGCGTAGGCTGTTTTAATTTCGTTGAGGATATGCCTAAATTGGTGGAGGCAAATGTTTCAGTTCATGAGTCAAAAACTGGGAGGCTCCTGAAGTTTCTTACTTTACTTGAGCATCTTTCCATATGTTTATACCCTTCAATGGTAAAGAAAAAACTTGAATCTTTCATTTTTCCCCTGCAATCTCGGTTTTGTTTCTTTGAATTTAGTATATTTGACTTTTGTTCCTTGCGTGCAGGCTTCACATCTTACCGGTACATCAATCCCCAAGGGGCTTCTTCATCTGGAACTACATATTTACGACCAACTTCAGTTGAATCTGCTTATGCGTTTGCTTCAAGATTGCCCTAAGTTACGAGCTCTCAAGATCAACCAGGTAAAATGCACAGTTTCTCTTCCGATTTTGCGGCTGCAACCATTCAGAGCTTTAACGTTCAATGCTTTTATGTTCGATCCTCAGAAAAATCGGGTTCACACCGAAGAAGATATCAAGGTTCAACCGAGCTCTGTTCCTGAATGCTTGAGCTTCCATCTCGAAACTCTTCAATGGATGGGCTATGGAGGAACACTTGAAGAGAGAGAAGCTGCGGTTTACATTCTGAAAAATGCTCATCGTTTAAAGACTGCTTCCATCTCGTTACATTCAACGGGCACGGAGAGTAATATGTTGATGGTAAAGGATTTGAGATCTATGTCTAAAGCTTCCGCCTCATGTCAGCTTGTAATCGAATTTTAAAACTTTTTAAAAGAAATACATTTTGGATTTGAAAACTTTCAGAGGAGATATCAAAGCCTTTTAAGGTTTGACAACAACAACAACAGAGGAATTAATCTGATAGATGTGTTTGTAATTTATAGATACAGAGAAGGATCTGATAAGTGCAAAGGGTTGGAGAATCTTTCTCGGCCTTTCTTCACTTGTAGTCTTGCTTTACAAATGAGCAAATGGTGGAAACAAGAAGAAAGATTACTCACTCTCTTTGCTTAGATTTTTTCTCGGGGGCTTTTTCTTATCTCTTTTAGTTTGAGGATTCCTCAAAATCAAGTTAGATGTATAGAACAACTTTCAGCATCAATGATTCATATTATGAGGCATAAACGATCTTGCTTCTACAGTATATCTTCATCATCTGAGTTATTACTGATTCTGACCATTGCCATATGTTTATTGTTTTGGGTCAAGAATCTGTAAAAAAGATAGTCGTTGTTCTGATTTCTTGTGGGGATCATAAGTTATGTAATATGTTGTAAATATGTGTGTATGGATATAACTACTTTCGTGATATGCAAGTCAAGTTTCTTGTAGGGGAACAGAGAACCAGCTCTGCTTTGGAACCAGGACAACGATGGTTTTTTAATCAGTTTATCAAACCATTCGCAAGTTTCCTGAGAAATCATGCAGGAAACACACACAGTTGTATCGTTGGGTTTAGGAATAAATTTGATTTTCTTATGATCGTTCGTCTTATGATGTTGATCTTCTCTAGGTTTTTGGTTCTTAATATATATTAATATACTGTTTGATAGTATTATTCTTAATTACTTTTTAAAACTAATCAAAACTCAAAAGCATAAGCTTTTTACAAACTGTGAAACCTAAATAAAAGCCGATTCAAATTCAAACAAAATCTTAACTAACTAACATAACATATATATATATTTTTAAGTATCATCTTGCTATTCATTGCACTTTAACTAAATCTAATATATAATAATTATCTACCCAAAAAAAAAAAAATTATTCCTTTTCCTAAGACATTTGGGATTTATTTTACCTTTTCTTGTGCAAAAATTAGGGTTATAAATAGAGAATGACTCCTCTATACCATTGTCTAATACATGCGCAGTAGTTTTTGGGTGTGCTAGAAATTTGATCCAACCAGGTACAATATCGATTTCCTTTACTACCTTTAATTACTCAAAATGCCGCTTTTGAATAATGTAGAAATATTTTCACAGTTACATCATACTTTCTTTGTTATCATCCTCTGAAACAACGATTTGATTTCAGATATAGAGTTTCTGTAATTCTGTGTGCTTTTTTCATTGTGTGTTGAGGTTTTTCTTTGACTTAGTAATCTTATAGTTCTTACTGATTCTGACAATTCCATATGTTTAACCTGGGAAGCAGTATCAGTTCAAAATATCGTCTCTTTTCTTTTAACTTTTGGGGATAATTTACATATTATTAGTTATATATGCCTACAATGGTATGTATGTCTATCCATTGATGTGCCTTGCAATTTAAGTTTCTTATAAGGAAACAGAGAACTTGCTCTTATTTGGAACCAGTACAGTAATATGTGTTTAATGACATCTGGTTTAAGTCTCTCTTATGGTTTAGGGTTTTGTGCTTGTTTCTTTTCTTTTTTCTGATTCTAGGAGTTAATGACTTTTGTTGTGTGTAGATATTTTTCTTTGCCCACAATACTTTTTGACTCATGAAACAAAATCTGATTTTTGATTCAGGGATTATGGCGACGGTTTCTGTTCCTGTGTTTGATGGGAATCATTATGAGTATTGGAGTGTAAAAATGAAAACGCTTTTGAAGGCTTTCGATCTATGGGATGTTGTGGAGACAGGAATTGATCAGCAAGAGGAAAATTCATCGACATGTCATGAATTCGAAGGAGAAAGTTATGCATCATCATCGTCATCAGAATATTGGAAACAATGGCTGGAGATGAAAGACAAAACAGCGCTTCACATCATCCAAAGTGGATTAACCTCTGAGGTTTTTCCGTGGATCGCTTCGGCTACGTCATCGAAGGAAGCATGGGAACTTTTGACGGTGAAATCAGTTGGTGGTCCTATGTTTCGAGCTCGAAGGCTTCTCGATCTCAAGAAAGAGTATGAGAGAATGAAAATGAGTGACGCGGAAACAATTCATGAGTTTAGTGAGAACCTAATGGAACTTGTGTTTTCTATGAAGTCTTGCGGATGGGAAGTCGAAGATAAAGAAGTGGTGAAGAAGATTCTTTCCTCTTTGCCTCTTAGATTTGATGGAGTGTTGGTCCAAGCTGCGGAAACACTTTCTATTAGTGATCTTATCGATTACTTGCTAGTTCATGAATACAATACGAAACCGGTTGAAGAATCTTTGGAAGAATCGGTCATGGAGAATGTTGGTGTGAAAGAAAGAAATCTCCAAGGAAAACATGCAGTGTTACTCTCCCGAGCAGAGATAGTTACGTTTTTGTTTGGGTATTTTTTGTTGTGCGTGTGTTATTCACTTCTGATCTTCAAGTGTTGTTTTTACGATCATTTTTAAGTGTTTTAAAAAATAATTATTTATCCTTAATAACTGGATCGGATGTGGTAAATAAGAGCTGGCGACTAAAAGAAAAATTAGAATTATACTAAGGTAAATACGATCTGATAATATATTATTCGGTATCCTTATAAATTAAAATATTGTTCTTCATAGTGCTTTCGATCAGTCAGTAAACAGCAAAACATATCGCCAAAAAAAAAAGTAAAAATAAACAAATTTACAAACCCTTGAAACCTAAATAAAATCCGATTCGAATCAAATATAAAATCTTAACAAACTCAGTTTTTTAAGGAAAAATTAATAAGGTCTCGCTTTGATAATATTATCTACTCTTTAAAATACCTTATTTTTTTCTTCCTTTTTTTCCTTTTTCTTATCGAAATTTGGGCTCTTTTTCCTTTTCCTTCACGGGTCCGGTGCATAAGTTGGTGTTATAATATAGCTTTCCTCTTGACAATTGTACATGCGCAGTTGTTTTTGGGTCTACTCAGAAATTTAATACAATCAGGTACACTATCGATTTTATTCTAAATACTCAGTTTTCCCAGTTTGATTACTCTATAAAGTTTATCTGTAAAATCTTTCTGTTATCATCAGCTTGTAGAATCGTTGTTTGAATTGATTTAACCACAGACAACTGTGATTAAATATATCTGTCATTATATTTGTTGACGTGCTTTGCAATTCAAGTTTCTTGTAAAGAAACAGAGGACTAGCTCTGTTTTCGATCATGTACATGTGTTTAAAGTTATCTTGAGTGAGAAGCTTTGCGATTTAAGTCTCTCATGTTTTATAGTTTCTGCTTGGTTCCTCTTGCATATTCAATCCATATTTCGTTCGTTTTCGAATCATATATTGTCGGATTCAGGAATAAACTAGGTTTAGAAATATAAGGTTCTTTCATATTTTTTTTTAGCTTCTCATAGGTTTGGGACAAAATCGCTCCTTAGAACTTCCTTTTACCAAACGGATCGTTCTCGGAAACGATTGGATTTTTTTTGCTGAAATCCTGAATCTATTGCTGAGATATATGGATCAATATATATATATATATATATATTCTTGCTAATATAGTAACGGGTTTTCGTGTATATTTGACTGATGAAAAAAAAATCCGATTCTTTTGATTCAGGGTTACACATTGCAAGAGTTAATTCAAAGCTTAGGAGCTAATGGCGACGATGTTTGCTCCTGTGTTTGATGGGAATGATTATGAGTGCTGGAGTTTAAAAATGAAAACGTTTTTGAAGATTATCGATCTATGGGATGTCGTGGAGAAAGGAATTCAGCAAGAACCGATGCATGAGGCTTCATCGACATATGATTATTACGACGAAGAAGGTTATGCATCATCAGCCGCTGAGCACTATTCAGCCTGGTGGAAACAATGTATGGAAACGAAAGACTTGAACGCGCTTCATCTAATCCAAACTGCATTAAGCCATGAGATTCTTCCATGGATAGCTTATATGCTGCATCATCAAAGGAAGCATGGGACATTTTGTTAGTGAGATCACGAGGTGGTCCTATGTTTCAAACTAGAAAACTGTTTGATCTCAAGAAAGAGTATAAGGATATGACGATGAAGGATTCGGAAACGATTCATGAATTCACTGGGAGACTACTGGATCTTGTGTTTCGTATGAGGTCTTGTGGGTGGAAGGCTGAAGATAAAGAAGTGGTGAAGAAGATTATTTCCTCTTTGCCTGCGAGATTTGATAAAGTGATGGTGGATGTTGCGGAAACACTTTCCATTAGCGTACTTGTCGATTGCTTGTTAGTTCATGAATACAATCATACGATATCGGTTCAAGAGTGTTTGGAAGAGTCAGTCGCTGAAAGTGTTAAGGTGGAAGAAAGTTTTCAAGAAGAAGCTGAAATATTGTACTCTTTGAATGAGATCACTCAAAGCCAAGTGGCGTCCATGAAGAGACAAGGAGAAGTGTTGTCATTAGTGCAGCAGAATCAAAAGATGCTTATGCAGTTGCAGAAACAAATGGTGGCCTTAATGCAACATACACTCTAACATTAGCCCTAACTTAAAAAGAAGTAGTTGTAAGCACTTGGTTTGGTTTTTGTTTTTTTTCTTTTTTCTTTTGAAAGATCACCCCTGGAATTACTTCTGATTAAGTTAAAACTTAAAACTTCAAAAGGTTGTTTATCGATAAGTTTATGATTTGATTATTATCCTTATTAATTGGATCTGATGTGAAAAGAGGTAGATATAGCTAGTAATAAATTGAGGCAAATAATGTGATTACTAGGGAGGGCTAACAGAAATCAATATACATAGGGATTGAAAGAGAGATCATAGGAGAGGATTGAGATATTGCCGTGAATATATATAACAGAGTAAAACTCTGAAACTCAAGTTAGCATCTCTGATTTTGCCAAAGCTTATATTATATGAGGTCAGTTCAAAAAGTTCTTACAAAAAATTTCTACTTTCTTGATACTTAATCTTCATTCTGTTAAACTCTTCCTCATTGACTGGAAATCTCTAAAGTTGCTCGCTGGGCACACATTTTTGAAAATTTTCATTGAAATTTGTAGATCCTTTATTTTATTTTCAGTTTAGGGTTTACTGGCTTTTGGGTTTGCTTTTCCTTTTTTGGTTAATGAAGATATTATAGAAGGATATAGAAACATCCATAAGATCTAAAATAATATTAGTAAATATATTTAGAATATTTACATATTTGTATCTATCTAGTTTAGGAAATCTTTTAACTATACATATACCTGTGTAATTCTAATATTTATTTTATATCTTATAAATACTTCTATATCCTCTTTAGAGATATTGACAGTTTAGGTTTTGGGTTTCTAAGAAGTTTAGAAATCAGAAGAGCTAGAGTTAGTAATATTTTCTGAGGAGGTTCTTGCCTTCATCTTGTAGCTATGGAGGCTCAAACGCAGATGAAAATTCCGGTGTTTAATGGAGACGACCATGAGATTTGGAGTATAAAGATGAGGACTCTTTTGATGGCTCGTGACCTGTGGGATGTTGTAGAGAATGGAGTCTCGGAAGAAAAACCTTTCCAGTGTACGGGAGATTTGGCCGAGAGACAGAAAGATCTGAGAATCAAGGATATGACGGCTCTTCACATGCTGCAGATGTCATTGACTGACTCTGTCTTTTTCTGCATAGCAAGCGCCACATCGTCCAAGCAAGCATGGGAGCTTCTCAAGGCAGACTTTGGAGATACCAAGGTGATACGGGGTAGGAAAAGGATGGAACTTGATAAGGAGTATGCTCTCATGGAGAGGAAGAAGGAAGAAAGCGTTCATGAGTTCACTGAGAGGTTTAGGGAGCTTGTGACCCGGATAAATTTTTATGCAGCCTACGGTAACGTTCCTGATTTTGTGCGCATACAAGATATTCTTTCCAAGTTGCCTCCAATGTATCATGAGGCTGTAATCGAGGCTCGTTATTTACACGGAGTTAATAAAGAATTTACACTCACTGAAGTTTTGCACATCTTGCGAGAAGCCGAACGGTTTAAGAAGCGTGAAGAAGCTTCGCACAACAACGAAACCTCGCAATGCTACTCAAACAACAAGAGAGGAAGACGATAGATAGCTTCTTCTACCTATGTTTTTTTTTTCGCTGAAAAATAATTCAGTAAGTAATAAAACTAAAATTTGTTGCTTTAGAGTTTAGTTTAAAGATTGAGATGTGCTGTTCTATAGATGATGCACAAAAACGCTCACAAAACGTTCTATTTTTGGTAGTTATTTTTTTATTTTTCTCTTCCTAAATCTTATTTTTTTAAAAAATATTGAGATGTTGTCTTCTTGAGTTAAAATGTTGAAATCGACTTCTGAGAGTTGTGCGTTAGGTGGACATCCATTCTTGTAACCGTGGCACGTGTCTTTGATATATAATAGAGATAAAGAAACAGAGAATCGGCAAAAGAAGTAAAAAAAAGTACAAAACAGAGACTTTTGTCATGTTAAAAAAAATGGAAGTCTTTATATGAGAGAAGAAGAAAGTGTTAACGAGTTAATTGGCAAAGTTGTATTGCGAACCGTTTAAGGTTCTATAAAATAAATATTCCTGATTATGATGTCATCTTTAAGATTCTCAAGAAGTTGCCCTCAAGTTTTCATGAATCTGTATTGTATGATTTGTATTATACATTCGCTCGTTAAAAGGTTGTGAGCTGATGAATGGATGCGAAGGCTTGAGAGTTATATGAAGAAGCTTCAGGGGGCGAAAAATGGTGTGAGTTTTTCTAGTTTGGTTGTTTCTTATTTGCCATACAATTTTTTTTTTTTTTGGACAACTTGTTTTGCCATACAAATTAATATTGTGATTTTGTTTTCTTCAGTTATAATCTTAGAAGGCAGCATTTTAAAAAAATTGGACCTACCTCACTAAAAACAAATTTCATTGGACTAGAATATTATATTTTGGTAGGATGAATCAACATTAATATTTGACAAAAAGATAGGAATCAACATTACAATATTATTTGTTGTATGTGATATATATGAATTATCCAATAGAAGATCGAATCAACATTAATAGATTATTATATTTGTCAACATGAATCCTCCATCATATCATATTGTAGGTAAGTTGGATAGAATCAACATCAATAGATTATCAGAGGATCAAGAATCCACATTAAGCATTTAAGTTATACGATCGATGTAGGCCTATCGATAATCATATAACTAAGTAATATTTTTTTGGTCACAACTAAGATCAAATAGAATCCTCCAATACTAATAGAATCCTCATCATCGTCCTCCAATACTAATTACTAACTCGACGTTCCGAACTTAGAAAATATCATTAGAATCTCCGTATTACGACTAATTCTAACCATAAACAATAAATAGTTAAATGCATGTTGGGTGGTGCTTTGTCTACTATTGTTTAATAACATTATCGATTATATTTGAGCAAATCAGGCAATCTTTTGAATAAAATAAATGTATAATATGAGTATGACTCTTCCGTCCAACTAATATATTAGAAAAAACATATGATCCAAAATATATTCTAACAAACAAAAACAATAAATATATGATTGTCTTTTTCAAATAAATTAGACCATTTTTGTCGGTTTTTCTCTATTTTACAAAATGTGAATTTAGTTTTATTTTATTTTCCAAATTGTATTAGGTCATCCAACTACCCATATCCCCAAAACTATTGGAGGATCCAAGTCTTCTCTCTCTCAACCACAAAGCTACATTTCTTTTGCAAAAGGATATAGGCCTTTATATATAACTTTATAAATACATATAGATTTTATTCTTGCTATGGCTACCTCGTTGTCTCTTCAAATCACATATTCTATCAAACATAAATACGAAGAAAAATTACATATAAATAAAAGACTACGTGAAAGATAAGTTAAGATTTCGTTTTTATGAGCACAAATCAATTAGAATCTACATTTTAGTCCATATTAATGATAAAACCCCACTGATAAAGACATATTTTTCCCCTTTTGTTTTTTTAGCCTAAACTCGTCTTCTTATTGGCTAAAAATAGGAAAACACCAACTTGGACTACAAAATTTAAATTATATAACCCTTCAATTAATAAACTTGGTCTATCCAATCATCTTCTCTCTCTATGCTCTCCACCATTTTACATAAAGCCCAAAATCTCTCTTCATCATCAACATCATCTCTCTCTCTCCCTCCTTCTCTTCTCATTCATTGCAATGGGTAGAAGATGCTCGCACTGTGGAAACGTAGGACATAACTCAAGAACCTGTTCTTCTTACAGAACAGGAGTTATTAGGCTCTTTGGTGTTCATGTAGACACCACAAGCTCTTCTCCATCACCACCTCCTCCCCCTCCTCCTCCACCGTCAAATTTTGCCGCCGCGATGAAGAAAAGTTTTAGCATGGATTGCTTTCCGGCATGTTCCTCCTCCTCTTCTTCCTTCGCTGGTTATCTCTCTGACGGTCTCGCTCACAAAACACCCGACCGCAAAAAAGGTTTCAATTATATAATAAATTACTTAATTACGTTTCCCTTCAAATCTTTAACAAAATAAAAATATAAAAATGTTCTGCTTCAAATTATTAGAGGGTTTAGTTTTTTCAGTCATATTACTAAAAAAAAATTGCAATAATAAACTCCACCATGAAGTCAAAATGATTGAGGTCAATAAATAAATGAATTGATAACTGTATATCCTTAGAAAATACTAGAGATGGAAGTTTTGAAACCCGACCCTTACCGGCGGGTTCGCCCGGTTAAATCAGAATCCGGTCATTTATCCAGGTTGGTTCTATTTTTAAAATCTAAAATTTATTAACCCGGCAAAATCGAAAAAAACCTGCGAGTAACCCATGATCCAGTGATCTGTTGACTCGATTGAACCAGTAATTTTAATTTTTTTTATAATTTTTTTTAAATAAATAATCTATAATTAAATTATAGAATTTTGTTATTTTATGACTTTTGTTAAGTTTTAAGATTTGTAATTTGTATGAACATTGAATTTTATTTTTCACCTGTTTATGTTATGTTTTGAACAATATATGTTATATTTAATAATTTGAACAGTTTATGTTATATTTTATATTTAAATCTATTTTTCTATTTTTAAAACTATATAATATATATATATATATATTATATAAAATTTTATTAAATAGTTAATTTGCGGTTGACCCGGATCAACCCGAAAATCCAATAACCCGATATACATTCCGGTTTGTTTTCCAAGTCAGGTTTGGAACAAAATTCCAAAACATCTGACAATTCGAAACGGAAAGATTTATAAATATAAAACCCAAGAAGTAATTTAGGCTAAGAATCCTTTTTTTCTAAAACATGCAACCGCTAAATTTCAAAATGATTCGTTTATTAATTGATCTTTATTTAAGTCGGCCTTGGGTTTTGTTCATTTTTTTTTTCGATTCGGATTATGATTTATGTTGATTATGATTAGGGGTTCCATGGACAGAGGAAGAGCACCGAATGTTTCTAATTGGATTAGAGCAGCTTGGAAAAGGAGATTGGAGAGGAATATCTCGAAACTTCGTCGTCACGAAATCGCCGACACAAGTGGCAAGCCATGCTCAGAAATATTTCCTCCGGCAAGCCACCACTCTCCATCACAAGAGACGCCGCACCAGCCTCTTCGATATGGCAAGTTCCAATCTGTTTTCATTACATAACAAACATAATTTACATTTGCATGGAACTTTGAACATGCTTTTAAGGAACCTCCATATAAAAAAAGGTCACATCTTCAAAAGTTCAAACAGTTTTTCTAGTTGTTTTTTTATTTTTTACCATTTAGAGCAACCTCAATGGAGAGCTTTGAGTGTTTAAAACAAAATATTTTAATAATAAAAATAAATAAAAAATAGTAAAAAGATCTTAAAAAATAGACACAGTGTCTAAAATAAGATATTTTATTGAGTTAAGACACCCGGTGTCTAAAATAAAATAATAAAATATTTTTAAGACCTTCTTACTAAGTTCTCTATTGGAGTTGGTCTTACATGTCAAAATTCGAGGTTTTAACTTTAAAATAGTCTTTATATAAATAATAAGAAGTACATAAACACAAAATTTCTTGATGAATCAGAAGAAACAAAAATCTTGAATTGTCAATTTATATTATGTAACAGGTTTCGGCCAGCAACTTTGAAGAAACCAGTACTATTCCATGTAATGATCATAATGGGTCGACCAAAGAGGTTGTTTGGAAACAAGGATTAGTCAATACTCGTCTAGGATATCCAGATCCAGTAATACCCGGGTCGGGCAATTCCGGTGGAATCGATCTTGAGCTGAAGCTTGCGTCACTTCAATCTTCGGAATCAAATTGTATTAGACCTATCAGCGTTACGTGAATATATATAACACGTTAATATAATGGGCCTAATTAATATAACTAAAAAATCATGTATAATCATCGATCTTATCTAATTTGATTTTGATCCATCTTAGTTACTTTGATAATTTGGTGAATGTTTTTCTTAGCATTGTGACATTTTCTGCTTCAGTGCCTTGGATCCACACTTCGTTCGATACGCAATGCTAAACAAAATTATTTTCTCTTCTTTTTTTGTTTTTTTATAAGGTCTTCTTTTTTTTGTTCAACTCTAAATTTATAAGTTTTTTTTTCCTTTATCAAATTTAACAAAAACCTGCGACATTACTTTTAATATGCGTACTGGATCATTTACGTAGCTAAACCGTTCTGGAATAAATTAATATTGTTGATTTTTTTTAAAAAAAAACGAATTTCAAACATAGTGTACAGATAACTTCAAGAATCGATAGTGATTCCACTAGAGCTAAATAATCTTTTACAGTGAATCCACTTTCATACAAAACAGAGAGTGTTTATCAGAAATCGATACAATTTTGTTGATAGGGAAACCAAAAAAAAAAAAGGTCACATTTTAAACATTTCTATATTTAGTGCAAGTTGTGCTAATAGTGACAAAGTCTAACATTTCTATATTGGAAAGGAAACAAAGTGATTGGAGGACAAAATGTTCTCCTTTTGGATGTATAAAAAACTAATTTTCCTTTTCTTGGTTGAGATTTGGATATTGGGATTGCGGATACCCAAACAAGATAGTATTATGACTAGATGTCAATGAAACCATTAATTCAGAGATTGTGGGTGTTGTCTTAAAGTTTAGTAGGTTTCAAATATTTATCGTCGTAAATAGAGAGCATAACTGAATTCTCGACAAAAACCTACAGTCTACATCATAATCCTTACCAATCGGAGGTTGTTTTCAGTTGGGAAGATGCAATCGCCATTCATCGAAAGATAATAAATTAAAGTTTCATAAACAATTAAATGGTTAAAATTTACTGTGATGTCTTGTCATCATGCATGCTCTTGTTGGGTTGTTTTCAAATGAAAAGTATATCATCGCCTTGCATAAAAAAAAAGGAACGGTGCTTTATAATGTAGATAAAGAATTTATAAAAATATTTTAAAATACCTTATTTGAAGTGTTAACAAGATCTTCACAGTAAAATATAATTTATTGAAACATCCATTTTTCGTTGTAATTTTGCGTAAAAAATTATGATTTGATCCCTCTTTTATTAATTGATCATTCAACTTTATAATTAAAATTTTGTAGCTTTTGTTGCCAAAAGTTTAAAAAATGATTTTGTATCATAATATATAATTTGTCTAGTTTTTATAAGAAAATGGAAAATTAAATCCTCACCTAAAAACCACCAATTTGACAGTCCTATATGAACTCGAATCAAACTATTTAGGTAAATACATTCATGCATTTCGTAATAGTTTTATAATAGCTATATTTGTTTCGCCGAACCATTGGTTGATAGTATTAAAGAAGTCATACAAAAAAAATTACTATTGGTGTGAGCCTGTGAGGGGGTCCCTCGTTATTATGTGAAGACACCAATAATCACTTTTAAGTTACAAAGACATTTCACCCAACCCCCTTTTGGGGGTCCTTTGCTTATCAATGACGACTATATAGTATGTGGTCGATAATATTAATGCCAATAAAATATCCTCATCTACATTTTGTTTTACATATGCTTGGTTTCTATTATACAATACATATAATATATCACCTTACAGTGCTATAGATTTTTTGTAAAACTGTGGAGATTATGAAGCTTTCGTAAGTCATCAAAACGACAAAACATATGGTAGGAATGCCGAATGAGACTTTTGTTTTAAATCATGGAATGAGACTTTAACATGTGACGTAGATCGAGAAAGATAATTGTGGTTCCTGTCTCCTAGGAGAATGTATTCTAGTTACCCTTTCGGACGAGTTAACTTATTATCGTTGTTGGATTCATTTTGAAATTACTATTTTCGCTTTTTCCTTAATAAAGACTACTTATACATATATTGTTGAGTTTTGGCTCTAGCAAACTCCAAATGTAACTAAGAAAAAATGTATAGTTTTTACAGTTTAGTTTCATACTCTCTTTATAAAAAAATATTTAAAACGTAAAAAAGAACTATTACAAACAAAGTGCATTAATATGTGTGTAAAATATAAAACGACATGTTTTAAAAAACAGAGGAAATATTTATTAAAATATGTTTAGGATAAATATGGTAAGAAATATATATGGGCTATACTTTAATGGGCCTCTCTATTAAGATGGACCGAGCTTATGTACGGAGATATTCTCAATAAATCATCCCTTTTCGGTTCAAAGCCTTCCAGTTCCAGGGACAGGGAACAGTCTGGTTTAAAAAGGTGAAATCTGATGTTTAAACAAATTTCTTATATATCAACAAATGGTGATATATTATGTATAAACCTATGACCTATTCACGGTATTATACAAGCTATCAAATTTGTATTATTTGCACATTTTGGATCAAAATTGCATATAGGATATATTATGTATAAACCTTTTGGATCAAATTTCTTATCTATAAACCTATATATATATATATATATATGACCTATGACCTATTCACGGTACTATACCTTTTGGAACAAATTTCTTATCTATAAGCATATTGTTAAAAACTGTCATATGCAACTACATTCTAGTTTTGTGATGATCAAATATTGTAAACTATTATTACAATCTGGTTTAAATAGATTCATCCAATGCCACAAGGTTAAGCTTTATTTTTTTTTTTGTCATCTGAATTTTTATTACACAAACAAAGGAGGAATACAGGGGAAAGATACAAGATCTAATACAGAGATGAGATACAGGATGGAAAACTGACACATATCCGAAATTAAAATATGATTATGAAATACCAAACTACTACAAATGAAAAACACGATCTAATGCATAAGAAATAGCAAACCTAAATAGAGAATCCGATTTCAAACTCCAAAGAAGTGACAAACACAGATCTGCAAATCTTCTGAACCTCCTGGAGATCCAGAAGACGAGAGTATCATTGCTGCACATAGCAGACCAAACGATAACACCTATCTCCTCCCGAGAAGATGAGAGACCACCTCTTCATCAACAAGTAACTAACGCTTCATAATCCGGCCAGATCGGATCTATAGATCCTAATAAAAATTCCGGATGCGGCAAAGTCGGACACGACCAAGAGCGCCTAGGTAAAAGCCGAAAAGAACAGGGAGCAAAGCCAACCCCTCCACCTTACCGACAAAGACAACGGTAGAAAACAGACCGGGAAACGCCACCGGCGAAAAACAGCGAGAACAGGGAAGAAACTACAGAAGGAAAACACACCACCGATGGAAAAAAACCGAAATTCTCTTTTAGAAAAGCTAAAATCTCTAGATCTGAAAACCAGATCTAGATCTGCTTTTGGAAAAAAACCATTAAAACCAAAAAATGAAACTGCCACAAAACGAGAAAAAGAAACTGAAAACAAAACAAAACAAAAGGATTGACCGATGTTGTAGCTGTGGAAGCCCACACACATCGGCCGATATCAAAACAGATCGGCTAAGGTTCGAAGAAAAGAAGAGAGAAGGCAGAGGAATTTTAGAAGTGTCCACAAGGCTAAGCTTAAAGCCTTTTTTTTCTATCGTCTAAAAGCATATTATTGAAGACGTTTTTTTGTTTTGCTATCACCGTATTAGAATCTATTATTATGTGCAAATAATACATCTTTTACAGTCTGTTTTTAAAAAAAAAAAAAATTATCCACTATTACCATCTCAAATGCAGCTTTTGGCTCATCTGCAGAAAGTATTAAAGAAGGAAAACAATATTAGGGGAAACTTATCGCACAAGGAACCTACTTTTTACTTCCATAACAAGAAATAAAACAAAATTCAATAAGGCTTCATTTTCTCTGCAGAACACAAACCTGTTTTAGGTTCATTGCCGTGTCAACAACACTAAGCCTGCGAAACCCACCACAATCAACGCACGCATCACCTGAAAATTACGAAACTATGATGAGTACGTTTGATATATTTCGGTATCTCAAATATATAAGGCGTGTTAATAAACAAACCTGCGCATGAGGTCCTCTTGAACTTTCTGAATCTGCGGACTTCTGTTTCTTTGATTTCTCAATATTCTTCCACTTGTTGTTGCTGTCCATTTTCGCTATGCTTCTGCACCGGAATCCCCTCTGCAAAACGTTTTGGTTAAACGCAGAATCTGAGATTATATCATACAAAGATTGTAAGAAAATATCAAGAAGTGCTCTTATATACCTCATCGATGTTTTCCCTGCTGGATTCTTCTTGCTTCTTCTGTAACACATTTGCTTCTACCAAATCCAAATGTCTCGTTCCAAAATCTGTTTCGCGAGAAAAATTCTTTGCCTCATCTGGAAATATCCAGAGACGGGATCCTCGTGCGTTTTCAAGTTGAGAATCCTTCAAACGCACAGTTTTGTTCAGTTTCTTCTCAACATCCTTTACTTCTACCACCGAGCTTCTTTTTCGCCTCTGCTTACTTAACGAGTCACTTCTTCTCGTGCTCTGTTCGAGTCTCTTCTCCTCTATAACTACAGTCCTTTCACCTCTCGGAACTATTACTATATCATCACATCTCTCTGTGTTATCTTTACACACTGTCTTCTCCATATTATCCTTAGAGCTTATCTTCCTTTCTTCCGGTTTCTCTATATTTACAGAGCTTTCCGGTTGTTGTGACTGCGCCTTAGTCTTCTCCTCCACATCTTTACAAGTTTCAGTTTGAATCTTCCCTGTCTGAAGTTTTGTTTCCTGTCAGAAACAAATTTAGAGAATCTTACTCAAATCAAGATTTTTTGAAGATCTTGAGCACAAAGATTCATACTCAAAACCCCAAAAAGAAAGTACCTGAGTCACTTTAATCTCAAAGTTGCTAATCATTTTCCTCACATTGCTCAAGGTTGTCTCTGACATACTCCGCCTCATTGAATTCCGTTTAGGGTTTCTTTCCGGTTTGCTCAAAAACCCTTTATCTTCTTGCTTCACTAACGATACACTCTCCGGTTTCTTAATCTCTGGAAGCTTCTTGCTTGAAGGCTTCTTGATTGAAGAAACATTTGAATCTGAAGATGATGGTTGATTTTTAGTCTTCTCAACTGTTTCCTTTACTTCAGGCTTCCACGTTATAAGTTTTGAAGAAACCGGTTCTCTATCTGCACCAATCTAAATCAGGTGAAAAGAATCAGTTGCGAAAGATGAAATCTTTTGAAATTTGTACATGCGAAATGTCTAATTAATCATTACTTTAAGCTCGGTTTCTGGAGACAGACCAAGATTTGTCTTTGGACTAGCAGAAGCCACGGTGTCTCGGTTTGGCATTGGACTTAAAGAAGACAGATCTCTCATAACATCAAGAGCAAGAAAAGAGACAAAACAAAAAAACATTTAGAAACACAACTCAAACAATGTAAAACAAACAAACACACAAAAAGAGTAAAATTCTTATTTCTTTTCATAGACTAACCTGAAGCAATGCTTTTAGATTTGGTAAAAACACTGCCATTGACGAGCTCTTCGTGCTTCTTTCTCAATGCAGATTGTCTCTTTCAAAGAAATCAAAACCAATGGGTTCATCAAGATTGGAAAATTACAGAGCTCAGTGAACAAAAAACAGAACATATAGAAAAGAATGAACTGTAGTACCAGAAAACGTATGCGATTACGATCTTCTTCACTAAGAACAAACTGCATTTTCAATTTGACATCTCCATAGCCATTGAATGAAAGCTTCTCTTCCAATAAGCCACTCTCTATTATCATTCTGGTCTCTATCTCTAACCTCCAAGAAGTCTCCAAATTCAGAAATCAAAGATTATCTAATAAAACAACCAGCTTGATCTCTAGGGTTTATAAGAGAGATACCTCTCTGTAATATTCCGTTTCCATTGACATCTAACAGAGTAACAATCAAATTTTCTCGGAGCCTCGTAACTGGACTGTGCCGCATTATGTCAAAGAGACAAGAAAGTGTCAAAATTTCACAATTTAGAAAAGCTGCTGAAAATTCAAAAGGATCAAGTAGTAAAATTACAAAATGTAGTCTCCTGAATCCGAAGTTCGATACTCTAGCTTCCCCATAGCAACTGGTACAAGAAGAGAAGTAAACAAAAATGAATTTTTAGTGTTTGTTGATAAAGAAACTTAGAATTCGATTTAGGGAAAAGAATCAAGTTAAGACCTTTAATGGAATTGTTTGAAGAACCTGGAGAAGAAGATGTTTGAACATCAATAAGACCCAGAACTGAGAATTTGAACAAGACATATTCTAATTAGTGCTAGGTAAGTCTAAAAGGGTTTTTGATCGAAATCGAAAAGTTGCTGTTACCTGAAACTTGTATAGTTCCTGGCATTTATCGAATGTATGTATATACAAGCGCAGGATTGAGATTGAGATTTGTGAAATTTGCGATTTAGTTTGATTGTTGTGGAAGAAGAGAAAGAGTGAGGGAAAATCAAAAATGGTGGATTAGATGGAAATATAAGTTTGTGGTTGGAATTTGATTTTTAAATGTTGAGGGAATTGAGAGGGACCCATTAGTCCATTACTTTTTTTTCTTTTCTTGATGAGTTTGATTATTTATAATTACGACTCTAAACTAAACATTCTCTAGATGCCGCCAATTTATGCATTTTTTGCCTCATTGTTCGATGATACATAGTTAATAATAGTTTAGGATTTTCTTAACTATCTTTCAAAAAATAATTAAGAGTGCATGTTTTTATTAGACATTATAGTCATCTATGATATAAAGGTACAAAATTCTATTTTATTTACATACTGAATAAATTATAAAATATATAAACAGTTGGACTTGACACACTACATTTTTTATATACATTCATCCATGATTGGCATGGCAAAGTACCATACCAGTGACCCCTATAAATTAAAGACGAGAAAAAACAAAAAGAAGAAGTAAACTTCTGAGGAATTAGGTCAACCGTATCTATGTTTTAAAGGAACAACGGAAAATAAATTAGATTTGAACCCAAAAAAAAATGGAAAATAAATTAGTAAGATAGTTTTGTGAAAAAAAATAGAAGAAGAAAATATGTGGGCTTGCAAATTTTTTGAAGATCTCTTTTAACTTGATTATGTCGTCGCTTAAAATGCAACACAAACGCATTATCTTCTTCACACATGATCTCTTGTCTTATACACACATTCATATGTTCATTATCAACCACCTTTTCCCTCATCCATTCATAAATCTTGTGTTTAAAATATATTCACAAATGATTGAATCCAATAAATATTCAGTATTCAATTCTAATCTTGTTTAAGGGCCGTCAAAAATAGAGAGTTTGTTTAAGAAAATTAAATGGCTTGGTTATGTCACCGTTAAAGTCGGTCATCGATATAGCATAATCTTTTTATCTTTATGATTACGCTAAATTGTGATGACATGCATTAAGACAAAAAGATAAATAAAAGTACTCTTAACTGATTATATTATTTCTCAAAACACGTTACACATACAAAGATGTAAATAAACAAAAACACCCACATTATCGAGTGATTAGTAGTGCTTCATTGGGGGGAAAACACAACATAACCCCTAAACTAAAGTCTCCCAAAACATAATTATTATACTAAACTCTCACACACTCTTATTATAAAATGTTTTGACTTATCGTATTAGACCAACTGCAAAAACTACATTAATCACTCCAAGATTTAACAATCAATCATTATTATGATTACTATATATGGTATATATGATTATAAAAATAAACCTCTTTTGTAATCAGAAGATATGATAGTTATCTGATCAACCATGAACCATTCCATACGACAGAGCCATGAGCAAAATAGCAGCTTCCTTCTCATCTTGTGGGAACACTTGTTGATAAGCTGAGCTTTTGCTCAACATTATCGTCAAGTCATCGAAGCAAAGTTTGTTCGACGAAACTGAAGAATCAGAAGAAGTTATCGATTTGCTGATCTCCGAATCTCCGGCAACTGTGCCCGCCTCCTCCTCTTCTTCTTCTTCTTCTATGGTCTTGCACTTTTTTGCATTGGCCACCACCGGAGAGAGATTGTATTTGTTTCCTCCATTAGATCGTTTTTTCTTGTTTTGCAACTTCTTTTTCACTGGTAATTGTTGCAGCCGCGCCGCCACCACCTCTTGGTCGCCCGCAGCTACGGCCGCAGCCATTGCAGCCCGCCTCGCCTTTCTTTGTCTTATGCCACATGCGTTGCAAAGAGACTGTAGCAAATAAAATAGTGAAAAATAATGTGTGCATGTGAGTTGTAGTTTATAAAAAAATAATAAATGAAAATTAATAATTTAACATAATACTGGACTCGTATGTGTTGTATGTGTTTTACAAATTACACTAATTAGGTACATATATGATATCAAGAAATATCGACTAATTTACCTTGGGACCTCGAGGCCCACTTCGCCAAAGAGGAGTCTTGGTGGTGTTACAGTCGGAGCAAACTCTAATCACGCCATTGTTGTTACCATACCCATTCTCGTTTATTGTATCGTAGCGGCTTTCCATGGTCGTCCTGGTCGAGACTTTCTTGAGATCTTCATTGTGATCTTCTTCGAAACTAGTCTTATGATTTAAAGGGTATTGATCTTCTTTATGACTATTATTATTATCAGTGTGATCAATGGGCTGTTTATTGTTGGTGATTGTCTTCTTGATCAACCGCATCTTTGGGGACATCATCCACTTGTCGGAGTCTGAAGTGGGTTTTGTCGGGTTTTGATGAAGAAAATCGGTAGTGTCTTCGTGATGATCTTTTTTCCTTATCGTTAGTTTCAGTCTTGTCTCTTTCTTTGGCACCATGTGATCGTATGATGATGATGATCCACCGTTAAACATCCTGGCCTGATATATATTAACGATCAAGGTTTATAATCAACAAAACAAAATAATAACTTATATGGTTTCTTAAAATTCCCCCTTTTTAATTGATCATCTATATTCTTTTATGTAAAGTTTTCTCAGTACAAATTTGATAACTAATATTCGTTGTATGAATTTTACATGATCAGGCACAATCTCAATAACTAATGAAAAAAAAAGATCATTCAAGAATAACATTAATACATATACAATTAAGGTTAATATATGATTATAAACATATATATATACCTTGAGGGGTTGAGAAAGATGGAGATGATCAGCATGATAAGTGTTGTTGTAGGCAACATGTTGATCTTCTTGAGAGTTGATCAAGAAAGGGAGGTACGAGGAGAGAGACGAAATGGACGAGGAAGAAGATGAGGAATTAGAAGGAACTTGATGATGATGATGATGAACAAGAGACGAAGAAGATCCAAGAGGATAGAAAAAGGGCTGTTCGTGATGGTTTTGATCTTCGTTAAGATCTATAGAGTAATGAAAATTCGAACCCATTGATGAGAAAGATAGATGAAAACACAGAGAGAGAGAGAGAGAGAGAGAGAGAGAGAGAGAGAGCTAAGATGAGAGATCGAGAGAGATCATAGACGGCAAAAAGAGTCCAAGCTATACTATGTTTGATCCTTTTTAAAGGCCATGAGATGAGACACGAGCCAAACACACATGGTATTTATTATATATAAAATATAAATTTAGTATATATATAAGGCTTATGTGATTCTAGAGTTACTTTAGATACGTCTATGTATACATCAACTTGTACAGTGAATTTTAGAAGACATGGATATATATACTATTCTTAAATCCGACGGTCGGACCTGTCCGTTCGTACTACTACCCACAACAGATTTTAGTTCGAAGCATATTATAATCCAAGTTTTTAAAAGTATATCAAATATATGATTAAAAATGTTATACATATTAAAACTAAGAAAAAACAATTAAAAGAATAAATAAAAAGGCATTATATATTTATATAACATGGATTTGTTTTATCAACTATCGATTTAGTTATATATGTTTAACGACTACATAACGATTCGACAAGATCAGTCCAACATTTTCCGGGTATTCTATATCTAAGATGGGAAAAAAAATGTGTGTGGCTTGCCGCTTGCATATGTTTTTATTGTTAATGTAGAAGAAACAAAATTTAAAATAAAGTTCTTATTTCATACAATTGCCTGAGTCATGGCTTCCTTAATTTATGCTATATTATACCGGACATACGATTCAATACGATGATATGATAATTTGAATTATTATTTGGGGTAGGATTATTAGAAATGGGGTCGTTATTAAAATGTAGAGTAATTAAATAGATAACATAGTTATCATTTAGAAATATATAATTAGTTAATGTAGAGGTTCACGTGAGTCCATGGCGCCCATACGAAACCAAACATATGAGACAAACTTTGTGTATGTGGAATGGTACTGGGCGACCCCATTCAGAACAAACCCTATCTGCAATTTCTATACCCCACTAGAGAGACAGAGAAAATTTAAATTAAAACCTAATTTATTTAAACATTTGGAGGGTGAGAGCCACACAAATCATGATAATAATTGAAACAAATAAGATCCTTTTACTTGTAGTCTTTTCAATCTAGGGTTTCCTAGATCTCAAGGTTCTATGATAGAACAAAAAAAGTCAAAATTTGGATTTCTCATGTTCTTTTCATACCCCTTAAACTAAAAACATATTGTATCAATTAAGCACTAAAAAGGTTAAGATATAATATCAACTTGGTGATTTTCTCTATTACTTTATTGATTAAGACTTATCAGTAGAAAACAGTTTATAATAATTTTGTTAAAAATAAAATTAAGATGTTATTCAACAATCCCTTTGCATAACTAAAAATAAAATAAAAAGGAATCCAATTAATATTTGATTTTCGAAAGTAAAAAAATAAAGAACGAATATTTTCCAATTGAAATGACGAATGGAATAAGTATTAACTATCTTTCTTTTTTTTTAAAAAAAAAAGAGCCAGTGGATCTACTTAATTAAACCCCTAATATTATAGATTTTGTTGTAAGGGCCATCAAAATCCTAGCATGACTTGCTAAATATCAAATAAATATAACATTGCTTAATTTGTTTTATTTACTAATAACTAAAGTTGACTCATTGGACAAAACAAATTCAAGATCTCTTGAAACCCTAGCATACTTGATGTAGCTCGTGATCCTTTCAACTGCATGTGATTCATCAATAATCCCTCCCAGAGGAGAGAGAAAGTGGGAAGTGAGGCAGGGGTTGGAGAGAGAGAGAGAGTGAGGGGAACATAAGAGAAGAGATAGGTTTAGAATGGCAAAGGAAGAAAAGATCCCCACCTTAGTATTGCCAAACTTATTCAATTCCTTCTCATCAGATTTTACAGATCATAGAGGACCCCCACACACAAAGAGACACTCTATTTTAATTCAAAATTACAAATCGGCCATCAGTTTATATTTGTATATATCAATAATCCATTGGCGATCAAGAGAAGCAACGATCTAAGTAGTTTTTATTTTATAAGGAATGTGAATATGATCTATCACTCTCTATTTTTACCAATAAATACATGATTTTTGTCTGTATATCGTATCAGATCCTGAGAGAATATGAAAGCAAAATGAAAAAAATAGGAATCTCACATTTGAGATAAAATATATTAATCTATTTACTATTAATTGGATTTGTGTAGAAAAAACACGCATACACCAAAATTAATATGGTATAGTAATTCGAACACAATCAGTCGATCTATCTCGAACCAAATTTAATTTAATCTAAAATAGTTCTCGTCAGTCTGGTTGAAAATTTGATCTATCTAATCCAACTTGAAATTGATCTTATTATAAAATTATATGAAGAAGAAATTGATAGAAAACTATCACTTATTGTCAATAGATTTAAATTGAAAGTTTGTATTATTAAATTTTTAAATCGTTGTTTTCGCATTTGAGAGTTTTCCTTATTTCCAACTTGCTGGACTCGTATAGATTCATGGGGTGTTAATTATTAGATACCAGCACTCACATGCCAGGAAAAGGTCGTTTGTTTTCTTTTGGGTAGATTACGATTGGGTAGTTTTTTTTTCTGCTAAAAATTACTATTGGGTAGTTAAACGGTAAACGGTGTTGACCTAAAAACCGGTAACGGTATGTATCCAAAAGAGAAATAAGAAAATATATTTTTTGGATCAATAAATAAGAAAATTTGTTTTACTATTCCCTTTTGCATGACTGTGTATTACTTTTCAGTCTTGTGTTAGCTTTTCAGCAAACTTTTCATTTCTTCCGAAATTAGGCCAGTCGTCCATTGATCAAAACATGTTAAAGAATTTCGAAAGCATAAAGCACAAACTTCTTTTTCCGAAATCAGCTTATCCTTATGTCTAGAAAAGTAAGAAAATGTTACCTTTTTGCTCAAGTGACAAAACTAAACAAATCAATTTTAAGTATATATCACTAATATTCTAAGATGTAGCCTTCACGACTGCTTAGATGGCGCAGTTGCGGGTTTACCATATATGTTCAAAAACTTTTCTTCTTTGTTAAAGGGCCATTCAAAGACTTTTTGTATTTTGGAAAATAAAAATAAAGTTAAAACCAGATCAATAAGGGTATAAATTGTTGATATGAGACAAATTGTTATAGAACAAATGTTTTAAAGCAGATCAATAAGGGTATTAACATTAATAAAGTTGAAAAAAACTGACTACGATGAAACAATTGAACGGCAGATGTTTTCACAAACATTGTAAAAACCGCAGCCTTGGGGAAATTTTAGAAAAACAAATTGACCAATATGCTCTTCATTAGAATTAGAATGGAATGAAAACGAAAAACTATGTGATGTTGTAATATAAATAGTATATTAATCTGTAAAAAATATATATGTCAATAGTATATGAATCTAAAATAGTTAGATCATATAGTGTGACTTAATAGTTTGTGTTAGCTAGTGCTGTTGTTTTTACCATATTCAAAGTTACTGTTGACAATAAAAAAAAAATTCAAATCAAAATCTTAAGAATATTCTGAATAATTTATGATTAATTGATTAGATGCTATGCATATGTCAAACGTTATATTAGTGTCTAGTGAATTGTTAACATAAATGTGATCATGATTGCCCATCATGATGGAGTTTTTGATAGTTTTGCATAATCTTCAAAAGAAGAGTATTGTATGAAAATCGAATCTTGTAAATGGTATAAAACAACATACATGTGATCAACCGTTAGACAAAGAGGCCACCATTATTTGTTTACCAGTTACTGCCAATTCTAACAAAAAAACGATTGTTTTTCATAAAAAATACAAACCAAAGGTGGTTTGACTAATTTTCTCTCATCTGTATATTTAATATTTGACTGCTTTTCTTTTGTTTCTTGGTTCTTGGAAAGCGAGCTAATCAGAGCCGTTGGATCGGAGCGATTTACGGTGATCGATGTGAGAAGAGATAGAGCCATAGAGAGACAGGGATCTTGCTAAGCTAGCTTCTCTGAGCTCTTGAGGGTTTTGTTCTTTCAGATACTAAAAAAAAAGGACACCATGCGATATTATCAATTTTCCTCAACGTTATGTTTAAAAAATATTTTATGTGCCTGCAGATATTTTTATATCTAGCTGAATCTTATAAATCAAACGTTCAACTTTAACTTAAATTATATTTTAATTTGATGTTTAAACTCTTAAGCCGAGACACCTACAAACTGAAAATACTGATTGAAAATGAATTTAGCACCTAACCTACAATTGCGAAGAAAATACTATGTTCTAATTTCTATGTTGCACAATGTTTTATTAACCAGCCATTCCGTAAAACACTCAAAATTAGTTTCAAAAGAAAAAGAAAAAAAAAAAGCCTGAGCGAAGAATATATTTCGATGGATCACTCTCATTTCACCTGAGAGAATTGGAAATGCCATTAGATTGTTTCACTCATACAATAGGAAGAAAAGAATAACAAAACATTACAGTCCTCTCTAAAATAATAATAATTTTTTTTATTCTAGTTAGCTTAGTTTATCGTTTATTTAACGTTTCAGTCAGCTAAACTGCAATATTTTAAAACATAAAATACAGTAAACCATCACATGTACATGATATTGTAGCGTCAACTGAACTTCATATATACTTATAAGACAAATAATACATTACATCTTCACTAGTATATATAACATATATTGGTAGACGATCAGCCAAAATTCAGACTAATTTTCGAAAGTTAAAGCTGACAGTGCCACTATCTAATTTCGCAGTTATCAAAGCTAAGATGCGTCTAGTGACCACTTAAGTACCATCGCTTAATTAGTTTAAATTTTTCTTATTTCTTAGATACATAACAAACATTCTTTTGTCAGGGGAATACAGTTTGAGATATCAATTGGTTATTTGATTATTGGTCGTTCACAAATCACAACAGTCTTCGGTTATTCCATATATATATTTTTTTTGGAGTATAGCTCAAGTTCGATCGAAACAGATTGATC